TTAAAAAAAAGTATTTAATGGGTAGGTTTTTGTTGTTATCAGGAAGATTTGTGGTTTTGTTCTCATAGTTTTATCTGTGGAATACCGACTGTATAATAGCCTGTTTTCTATTTATTTAGTATCTGTAATTCACTTTTGTAAATATCAGGATTAGCATATGTCCATCTCCCAATTTTATCAACTCTAGTCTTCCTCGGTGTTTGCATCTGTACTAATGAGCAGCCATATACCTCCACTTCTTGATGCAGAAGTCCCCTTGACTGTCGTCTTCTCTCACTAACCTACCATTATGAGTGCATTTTCTTCATAAAGACACTTGCATTGTATCACAAGCCCTGAGGTATGGGATATCCCATAACCCTTGCATTCGCTCGTGACTTTCAAAGCTCCATAGCCCAGTGTTATCCTACCTTCACCCTTACTATGATCAGAATACTCTTCTAAATTGGCACAAGTCTGTTTAGTAACCATGGGCCATTTCAGGACTGTTTTTTGTTTTGTTTTGTTTTGTTTTTTACCCAAAGTTCCAAAAGCCTGTATTTTCCTAGGTATCCTGTTATACATAGAAAGGATAAGTAAGACAAATGTCCTGCCCATAAGAACATAAGAAACTTATTCAAACACCTGGTCAAGGAATACTACTTACTCCAAGCTGTCAAAATCAACACTGAGACTTCGTCGCCATCTAGAATTACCTAAAAGAAAATCTAAATGTGATATGCTGGGTAGGAAACTGTGAAGGAGAGATAGATACTAGGGACTCCACTTCTCAACATTCTGTAGCAGCTAGGAAGCAATGAGAGGAAGCAAGAGCCCAGGGGGTCCCAACCTCCCCATCAAGGGCATGCTGTCAATGACCTAACTTCCTTCCACCTCTTGGTAGCATCAGCCCAGGGGTCCCAACCTCCCCTTCAAGGGCATGCTGCCAATGACTTAACTTCCTTCCACCTCTTGGTAGCATCAGCAGTGGGAATCAAGATTTAACAGGGCCTTAGGGGGGACATTTGTAATCCAAATCACAAGATGGAAAGACTAAGAAAATCTTGGGCTGGGGAAATGGCTCAATTAGTAAAATGCATGCTGTGCAAGGACGCAGACATGATTCAGTTCCTCAGTATGAATGTGAATCAATGAATCAATGAATTAATGAATGAATGACAAAGGTGGGGCTGGAGAGATGTTCAGTGGATAAAGTGATTGTTGTGTGAGCATAAAGTACCAAAGTCTGGATCCCCAGAAATCACTTTAAAAATCACTTATGGTAGTCTGCCTATAGTCCCAGCACCCAGAAGGCATACAGCATCTGTTGGGGACCAGGTCACAATAAATCTCTATTTCTGGGCCCAAGGTACTTCTCAGAACTCAGGTGCCTTCCCACAGATGAGCCTGGTGTCAGAGATAACCCATCCCTTAACAATGCTTCATTAACACCTGTGCTCCCTGGTGCAAACTCCTGCTTCTGACAGTCCCCTGCCCCATTCCTCAGCGCCTTCTGCCTAACAACCTCTGATATTCCTCTGCCCTGTCCAATCACGTTCCCTATATAAGCTTGTAGGAAATTCTCAATAAACGGAGCTTGGTCAGTCATGTTGTCTTGCTCCCACCTCTTGTGTCTCCTGTCCCCCATTTTTCTCCCCTCAGGATAACCCACGTTGACTTGGCCCCACAGGTCGGGGCAAGCATCCCTACTACAAGGTGGCTAGCTAACTGAATTGGAGAGCACATGTTCAGACAGAAGTGTACAGTGATTGAGGAAGATAGCTGACATCAACTTCTGGTCTACACATGCATGCACACACATGTGACCCTCAACACATAGAAATTCACTAAAAGGAAGGAAGGAAGGAAGGAAGAGAAGAGAAGAGAAGAGAAGAGAAGAGAAGAGAAGAGAAGAGAAGAGAAGAGAAGGACAAACAAGTGAAGGCAGGCAGGCAAGCTGGACACAACAAGTGTGAGCCTACAATCACAGCAATGGGGTTAGGGACAGAATTCTTGGAGCTGCTAGCTTGCTGGTCTAGCCAATGAGTTATAGGTTCAGTTAGAGACTGTCACACACACACACACACACACACACACACACAAACAATGAGTTATAGGTTCAGTTAGAGACTGTCTCACACACACACACACACACAATGAGTTATAGGTTCAGTTAGAGACTGTCACATACACACACACACACACACAAACAATGAGTTATAGGTTCAGTTAGACTGTCTCACACACACACACACACACACACAAACAATGAGTTATAGGTTCAGTTAGAGACTGTCTCAAACACACACACACACACACAAACAATGAGTTATAGGTTCAGTTAGAGACTGTCTCAAACACACACACACACACACAATGAGTTATAGGTTCAGTTAGAGACTGTCTCACACACACACACACAATGAGTTATAGGTTCAGTTAGAGACTGTCACATACACACACACACACACACACACACAAACAATGAGTTATAGGTTCAGTTAGAGACTGTCTCAAACACACACACACACACACAATGAGTTATAGGTTCAGTTAGAGACTGTCACATACACACACACACACACACACACAAACAATGAGTTATAGGTTCAGTTAGAGACTGTCTCAAACACACACACACACACACACACACACACACACAAACAATGAGTTATAGGTTCAGTTAGAGACTGTCACACACACACACACACACACACACACAATGAGTTATAGGTTCAGTTAGAGACTGTTTCACACACACACACAATGAGTTATAGGTTCAGTTAGAGACTGTCTCACACATACACACACACACACACAATGAGTTATAGGTTCAGTTAGAGACTGTCTCAAACACACACACACACACACACACACACACACACACACACAAACTGAACAGGTACAGAGCAATTGAAGAAGAGCCAAACATAACTCTCTGGCCTCCACACATAGATACATACGAATGTGTGAACATGTACACATAAAATCTGACTAAAGTACGTTAATGTGCCACTTGGTTCATTATGACAAATTTAACATTCAATGTAAGATGAATAAGGGGGGAAACTGGGTGCGGGATACATGGGAATCCTGTACATCTTAACCTATTATAAAAGGAAAGGCTATTAAAACGGAAAAGGAACATATCCTACTAGAGGAAGGTTAGCAAGTCAACAGCATGCACAAAATGTGCACAAAATGGTGTTTCGAACCTTTAAGCCAGATCTCTCTGACTTCACAAAACTTTAGGGACAGGGGAGGTCTTCACTAAACTGCACATCAAGCCAGAGGTCCATGGCTCCAGATTAAGACCTCCTTTAACTCAGGGCGGCAGTGAGAATCTGAGTGTCTAGGAACAGAGGTAAATAAGAGTGATGGTGGGAAGGGTAGCAGCACACGCCCCTCCCAGAGGGTGTGACGTCAATCTTTATGCTATCAAGCCACTGTTGTTTCTAGTGTGCCAGCCATATATATGGAGGTAGATGTAAGCTGCTCGTGGGTGTTGGGTGGCGTTTTCACCATCTGCTTCAGAAGCAGCTGTTTGGCAACTTGTTTCCTGGGTTAGTCACAGTGCAAAGCTTAGCCCCTGTTGAGAATACTTGTTGCCTCTTTTCCTGCTTCCTAATTTAGCACTAAAGAACACCACATAGTAACTCTTGGGAGAGCAGGTGCTGAAGCTGCATCAAAACCTAAGGCTTTGCTGAATTACATGACAAAGGGTATTTACACTTGAACACAGGTTTACTCATTGCTAACAATCCCTCACACCACTCTTCATTTTGTTCTGACTTTTCTTAAGAGCTCAGACTTCAGGTTCCTGAAGCACCAGCTTTTAATTCAGTTACATGATTGGATTTAAGGTCCACTCCAGAGATGGAACCCATGCCTGAGACTGCTCAGGTGGCTGAGAACCTGGGACTAGATAGGCCATGGATCTAGGGGGAAACCAAATGCTATTGTTGTGCTAAAGAAATGTATCAACAAAATGACTCCGAGTGGCATTCTGTTATACTCATAGATCAGTGTCTTGCTCAGCCATCATTAGAGAAGCTTTAGCTGTAGTATATGGAAACAAATATAGAGCCAACGTGCAGAGTAAGAGATCTTGAAATGCTCAACCCTAAATGGGGTATCTCCATCAATTCTCTCCCCTCAAGGCCAAGAGAACTTTACAGGAGGTGGGAAGATTCTAAGAGCCAGAGATGGCAGCCACCAAGGAAACAAGGCCTTCCAGACACAACAGGGCTGCTGAAGGTATGAACTCATGGAATAGGTAGCAGCGTACATAGGGCCTACAGAGGTCCAAACCAGATTGGGTCCCAAAACTGAGAGGGGGAAGTAGATAGACTCTCCCATCCCTAAATAAGAAATTATTTTCATTAGACAACAGCTCACAAAGGAAAATTTTTCTCCAGTAGAGTCTCACTGAGTATACAGGCCCCATACCCTGAAGTAGATGCCTAAGTCAAAGTGGTACTTTGGGAATATTTTTGCTCATTTTTTGTCTAGGTATTTTCCCCCTTACTGGCCTTCTGCTTATATATTTTGGTTTGTTTTTATGGGCTTCTGTGTACGCACATGTCTCTACATGCTATGTGCTTTCTTTTTTCCTGTTGTGTTCTCTCCATCTCTCTCCCCATTTGTTTTCTAAAGATTGAGAAAAAGAGACATGGAGTTGGATGGGTGGGAAGGATCTGGGAGATGAGGGAGGAAAATTGATCAAAACATACTGCATGAAAAAATATTTTCAGTAAAAAAAGAACTTTCAGTTACTAACATACAACTCACTCTAAACTTAAAAGACAAAGCTCAGAGTTGTCTGGTATACTCTAATGGGTTTCAATGATCCGGATATAATACACAAAGTGACAAATGTTTCCTGCCACTGTGGCAATGTTCTATATCTGGATGTCTCTTAGTAATACATTTGTGACTGCAAGTCTGACATACATGACAACATGGCTCGGTGAGGTAATAAACTGATAAGTCTGTATTTAAAACAAAAGCAGCAAGACCAGTTTAGTGAAAACTACTTTTATTTAAAATCAAGTGCATAGCACTCATCTAATCCTGCTGTGTAGACTTAGCACCATATTCACTGTGTGTAGTTAGTCATAGCACAGATATTTTGGTTTGTAGTTTGTACTTGAATAGTGTTTATTTAAGGAACTCTGGTTAAGTCCTTTTTACACATCATTAACCTTTTCACAGTACATATTTAATGATGGTCCAGTAATCTCAAAACAAAACAAACCTTTTAAGACTAATTAATAAATTAAACAAAACAAAACAAAACAAAACAAAACCCACACAGTCCCCCCAACCCCAAGCTAACTGCTGTTGAGTTACATCTATAATGCATTCCAATGTTGTTAAAATAGTCATGATTCCCCAGCCTCCCCACCTGGGTATGCAGCAATAGTCATTAACTATTGGACTCTACCCACCCCCAAAAGAATCAATCCAGTGTTCTTTAGCTTTTTAAATATAAACTGGAAAAAGTGTTAATAAGCTTTTTAAAAAGGCAAATATTCTGACAACAAGAATGACACAGAACCAACCAATAAAAGCATTTGACAAGACATTAAATTACCACAGGCACTGGCTGTTGTTTCAAGTTAGGATTTCTATCCCAATAGCTTACATTCATAGCATTACTGAGGTAGTTACAATACTGAAAACTGGTTTCCATGTTGCTGGGCACTGTGAATGTGAAAGACACATCTTTTGAACCTACTTTCTCCTAATAATTCAAGTTTTCTTAAGGTAAGAATTATAAAATCCAATTAGCAGCCTTTTTAAAGAGGAAAAGTGATAGCACCGTTTTCCTGCTTGAAAACTGGACTGAGTGTTCTTACCTGAGTGGCCTTTCATCACCAGACTAGTAAGTCCACACTTTGAGCTCTGCATTCTAAATATCAAAGTTAGTTTCCTTCTAAGGAAGGAACATTTCTCTAAGAATTCCAGCTGGCAGAAGCTACCACCTGCACTCCCCCCTGGAGCTGCTCTATCAGCCCATCATGCCTGGAGCCCTTCCCTTCCCAATAAAGGCCATTGGTTGATTACCACGACTTCTGCTGCATACCCACATCTTTATAGTGAGTTCTCAACAACACTCTGTGGTAGCCACATCTGCCAGTTTCCTTTCTAGTCAAGTGCTACCTTATAAAAACATAGACACATCTTACTACTTTTAAACCACAAAGTTTCCCTCCACCAAATCTTTCTTCTTCCACAGATAAGAGCACAATGTATACAGTTTATCAGTTCTCCTTTTACTTTTTAAATTTACCCCCCTCCCAATATTTTATGGCCAGGTTGCCCTTACTATAATGACTATTATTGCTGTTTTCACTCGCTACCAATAAATTGTCCTAGGGCAGTTGTATAACCATTGTAATGAAGATGGCTACTGAAATTTTAATCAGTGCCCCTGCTAGCTTAACCTGACTTGCTGGATTCCAAGGTTGCTTACAGAACTACCCTCCCCATAACAAAGTGCTGCATTAGCCCAACCTGAGTACTACCCTGGCCACCATCAACTCCAGAATAATCCTACCAGACTCTACTCTAGCACAGATACTATACAGTATGCCTTCTCCTGAAAATTGAGTGACAACAAATCTGGATATAAACCACTGATTGCACTGGGGGACGCACAACCTGTCCACACAGGAGTACCACAGGACCCACTTCATTCATCCTGTGCTACGTTAAGATTCTCATCCTAGCAGGAGCATTGTAGCCTATGTTACACAGGTAGTTCACACTCTAACACTCCAAGGCATGTTGGTTATAGCTAAGTGTTTCCAAGTACTACAAGTTCCCTGAGTTAAGTGTGCTTAATCCTGAAGGATCGAGGCTGATCACTTATGGGGAAAAACTAGCAGAGTAAAACAAAAATTATGATCATGATTTCAAGGTATGTATCTGCTTTGCCCCTAATTTAGTATATAAATCCAGACACATATATTATTTATGATAGGAAGTTATATAAAATCAACTGTGTTTTTTTTTAACTGAACAGATTAGTATACTTAGCAACTGGTAAATTTGAACTCAGAAACCCACCAGTAGGTCAGAAAGACTCTGAGCTGAAAGATTAAAACAATTCTTCAAAAATAATACTGTTAACTTTCCTTCATAAAAGATGGTTTGGCAAGTCCACAGATAAACAGTTTAAGTCTTTGATGTATGTGCCAGCATAATACCCAAAGGCTGCCACAGCTCAAATCTCAGAATGGCAAATTGTCGGCTATATTGAGCATTTTGAAATATCTGGACCATCTGCCAAGGGCTGGAACATTTCTGTCACAGGGATTGACACACGTTAGTATCTGCCGCGTCCTCCTAGATATTCAAGGTACTGAAAGAGATATTCAGTCTCCTGGCGCTGGTGCCTGCTGCTGCATTCTGATACGATTTGTTTCCTTTCTTTTTGAAGAGTACAAAAAGCTTGCCCCAGAGCTATCCATCTCAGAACAGTCTGGGTCAGTTTTGACCTACAATATGTATGTCATCACCTCTCAAAGCATGGAGTAATACATGGGAAATGTTCATTTATCTGGTAACTCCGGTTATAAGAAACATTAAGACAGGGTTTAACTTCCACTGGTATTGCCAGGGACGTCCCAACACCAGTCTGCATGTGGCCAAGGCCCTGAACACTAGTTTGGAAGCCTGTAGGACAAGTCTGAAGAGTGTAAGATGAGGTGTGTGTGGTAGACGCAATCTGCGGACGACTTGGCTGTTCTGACACGGGGTGTCGATACTGCATCGAGGTCTGATGAAGATACTGAGGTTGCTGGAAGTGAGCTGGCCGTGAGGGCTGAGCTGTCTGGAGCACACCTAGCTGTGCGGACTGAGGAGCTGACTGTCCCCTCTGCTTGTTCGCTTCTTTCACATCATTGTCATGAGCACTGAGACAAGAGAAAGGGAACAATAACAACCTGGCAAGAACGCTGGGAAGCCCAACTCCCACCTCTGCCACAGCTTACTTCACAAACTGCCACTACTACTACCTAAATAGCAGGCCCTCTACCATCATTCTAACACCAGTGACAACTTCCTTATATCTTTCAAGGCCTTTATCTTGGTATAAACATTGCTGAAGCTGTGAGAATTCTTTCCAAGTTGGAATTTGCGGTCACATTCTTATGACCCTTAAGTCAATGGTTCAGAGATGGGAAAGGACCAGTGTCAGTGCTATGGGTCTGCACAAACACAAGAGCAACTCCCTCGCCTGTCAGTTACACAGGGTTTTACCGGCAGTGGTAACTTAGAAGTACCCCGAGAGCCTTTGAGAAGTAGTTTTTAGGGTATACACTAAGGACAATGCCAACTAGAAATTATAAATGGAAGAGCAAAAAGGCTTACACTAATAGTCGTTCAATACACTGCACTAAGAAATCCCAGGAGTAAGCAGTAAGACGATGCAGTCTCGTAGGCCATGTTGGAGAAAGACGAAGGATAATCCTTGAAGAAGCCACACATGCAGCAGCTACTAAAGAAGGTGCATAATTTAGAAAGGCATAATCTGTGGAGACACCAAAAATGAACTTAGGCAACAGACTACATGAGTCACCAGTGCATAGTCACATGAGGGTATTGTCAGTAACTCACCTTGCAGAGATACTTCCAAGAAGTAATCTGCATATTTGGCCATGTAGAGTTTAGTCTTTTCCAAACAAACCATTGGCCAGCCGTCATGCAGGTCTGTCTCATGTACTGCTTCAGAGAGGTAATACTCAATGAAATGGGCAGCTGTGGGAAGGCAGAGGTTCCACTGAAAGGTCTCTAACAGTAACAGTTCCATATGCAGCAAATTCTGCTTTGTTAGCACTAGATTCATGTTAGTCATACAGCCCAGGCTGTTGAGCTGCTCCAGCTTGGGCACACTGTCTTCTTTCTCTTCAAATTTACCTTGTAAAGAAGGGGGAGGGGTGGAGAGAATGTTAGAGAAGTGATCTTTGGAGGTCTTGCCAGTTAAATGGGACCTGTCTTGCTAGCAGGATTCAGATTTATGGACACTGTCCCGTCTATCTCATACAGATGTACCTACATCAGAGCGTTCTTCTCTTCCCTGTCTGCAAGTTGTCTTTCCTAGTACTTCCCCACCCTCGTATGCCTAGTGTCCTATGGCATACAGGAAATAGTCATAAATGCTAATGAAGCAGGAACTACCCACTTTTTTCCCCCAGAAAGTGTCCTTTTTGTGGGCAGCTGGCAAAGAAAATTCCAGAGCATCGAAAATTTAGCATCAGAACTTTATCCCGTTAAGTGCTCCACACTGAGCTACACCATTCCCCCCCAGTAGTTTTCAGCTTTTTCTGAAAACTGGTCAGCATCGAGTATTTATTCTTAGCAAATTTCCAGCATAATCTCAATGGCAGAAAGGGGGGAAGTCTGGAGGGAAAACTGAGTGAATGACTTCAATACAGGCACTGCTATTTCAAAAACAATTAATCCCAGCACCAGGGAGGCAGAGGCAGGCAGATCGCTGTGAGCTTGAGGCCAGCCTGGTCTACAGAGCTAGTTCCAGGACAGCCTCCAAAGTCACAGAGAAACCCTGTCTCAAAAAACAAAACAAAACAAAACAACAACAACAAAACAAAAGACAGAAAACAAATCTACCTCTACCTCTCCTGTAAGTTTATTTTTCAAAAGCAGGGCTACGTGTGGAGCATGCAGCATGACCGTAATCATTTATGAGGCAACAGCAGGACAGAAGGCAGGTGACACTGCTTGTGGTGCAAACCTGGAGCCCTAAGTGCAACCCCCATAACTCACGGGTGAACGCAGAGATCAAACTCCACAACGCTGTCCTCCAACCCCACACAGTACACACACCCAAGTTCGAGTTCCCTTCCCTCCAGTAACAATGTTTGAAAGAGAAAAGGGTGCTGAGGGGGAAGTCTCATCTCCTTTTAAATCCCTCACTCAGGGTAAAACAGGAATAAAGGTGACACAGTTGAGGTTTCACTATCTGAAGGATCAACTTCTGAGAAAATACTCATCCAATGCTCCAACTACTGAGGAATGAGATTTTCTTCCCACCTAAGAAAACTGTTTCTCCAGATTATGAATCAACTTACATTTAAATTTCCAAACAAGCATTACCACACATGAAGCATGCATTTAGGTACTTCTACAACCCATGCCTGTCTCTGGGACATGGTAGTCCATAGAAGAACAGAGATTAGGACTAAAGCACTTGACCTCTCAGTACTATGTTCTACTTTACACTGAAGTTTAAAAGTTATAATTACAGATTCCTCACAAGGGATTTTACATTAGTTCTTCAAAACTACTGTTAAAAAGTTAGTTTTCAAAATAACTGCTTTAGTATCTTGATAATGAGTTCAATATTATCTGCTTTTGTTGGAAACCTTATAACTTTTTTATTCTACTCATTTATTAACAATTTATTGGGGAAAGTTAAGACTGGCAAAGCAGGAAAACTAATGTTTCCTGGTGAAGGTTCTCTTCTTGAAGTGGATTTGTAACATTGGTTAAAGCTGCTACCACATAGTACAAGCCAGGGCCAATCAGCTGACTAGTGTTGCAGCAGTGGGTAGCCAGTGGGGCTCTGCTCACTCTGGCTCATCTTGGCGCAGGAAAAAATATTGCTGTCTACCTACGAGATAGCTTAGGCAACAGAACTGGGATATAAGGGGTTGTCCTTGATGCCAGGAGACTCTAAACTCCTATCTTGAGAAAAACTTAGGGGCTACTCCTACTCTAGACAGACTGTGAACTTCTTTAAAACTAAACCACTTGTTGAGGTACTGGATCTTGTGCAAGCCTTATGCATGTTAGGCAATTGCTACACAACTGAACTATATATTGACCCTTTTCAATTTTAATTTCAAAACACTGTTTTAAGTTGCCCAAACTAGCTCAGTCTCCTCAGTATCTGGAATTAGAGACATACCCCATCCCCAGCTCAAAACTACTGCAGAGAGGAACAAAACTTACATAATTCAGAGTTTAAGAATCTAGATAGCCTTTCCCACTCAATGCATGTAAGAATGGCATTTTACAACACCACAGTGGTCTTCATGACAGTGATCAGCACCACCACGGAAGAGGAAAGGAAGTCACTATTCTCACAGCAATAACAAGATGTTCTATAGAAGGAAAATGATGCAGGCATTGCTCAGTCCCTCCAGATGAATCATCAAGGCTTCAAGCACCTTGCCATTTGTGTAGCAGCAGCACTGGCTGCATAGTTCAAAGGAAGGCTATAAAACTTAATGAGTTTATTTATATCATACTTTAAGTTCCTTTGAAGAAATTAATATACCATAATTCACTGTAATTCAAGGATCAAGGGTGTTTCATATTCTCCCCCTTGAAAATTTCATCACTAAAAACATAAAACTGTCTATGGTCAATTTCACAGCTCAAGCAACCAAAATGTTACATAAGGTCAGCCAGTTCACCCAAGGTCAAATAAGCCCAGTGAAACCAAAAGTGGAAGCCAAAAGGAAGACTTTTATATTCTCTATCTGCACTTCAAACCAAAACATCATGCCAGATTATATGTGAACAGCTATCAGGATGAGACTTCTGCATCTGTGTTTCTGAATATCTAGTTATTAAAGAAATGTCAAGAAGTTTATATGCTGGTTTCCAAAGTTAAAAATAAATTGCATGGGGTTGGAGAGAAAGTTCAGCCATTAAGAGCACTAGCTCTTCCAGAGGACCCAGGCTCAATTCCCAATACCCACGTGGCAGTCCACAACTGTCTCCAACTCCAGTTCCAAGGGATCTGACACTCTCAAACATACATGCAGGAAAAACACAAATGCATATAAAATAAAATAAATCACTTAAAAATAAAATAAATTGCATGCCAGGCATGGTGGCACAGGCCTTTAATCCAGCAGTTGGGAAGCAGAGCATGTGGATCTCTGCATTTACAGCCAGTGTGGTCTACATAGGAAGTTTCAGGCCAGCCAGCTACATACTAAGACCCTGTCTAAAAAATAAATAAACATGCTGCATTAATAACCACATTTGGGATTCTAATTCAGTCTTAAGTTTTGGGGAACTTTATTATAATGATATATACTCAACTACATGGACAAGAATTTCAAAAAGTGTGAAAACATCAATGAGTTACATGCATTCACATCTATCATTGTGTTAACTGCTATATATAGTTTAAACATTACTACTTGTTCATACATGCAGATCACAAAGATCAGGGTTTTGTTTTCACTTGAAAGGAAATACCAGAAGCCATATGATTATATTGATAAAGGACCCAAACAGGAAATGAGGATAAAGGAAATTCATATCTGCTTCCCAGAAAATAAAGAATTAGAGGCCAGAAACAAACAGCAGGTTGTCTTTCCCTTACAGGAAATGTACAGATCAGCCATGGAAACCACAGGTTTTCAAACACAACAGAGAAGATTGCTATAGTGAGGAGAGTAGATGGTGCCACCTGGAGCCCAGACAACATTCTACTCTTTTGTTACCAAATAGAAAAGTCATCTACACATACAAGAATCCTCACAAATTACTAAGACCATCAACTTAACATAAGCACACATCAGAAGCCTCATCTCCCAGGCTGCTTCCAAACTGCCCATAAGCTCAACAATGTTCAAACAAGCTGAAGCAAGCCAGGGAAAACAGCTGAAATATACGAAGTTACTTTTCTGGACAAACAGATCTACTTTAGAAAAAGCCAGACTCCTGAGGAGTAAGAATCCAGGCTAGAGATTTCAGAACAGCATACTAAGGGAATTGGTCAGTACAATGCTCAACTTTTTATGCTGCAATTTTCCTATGTTGTCCTACTTGCTTCTCACAACTTTATAAGCCAAGTGTCTTCATTTCCATTTTATAAAGAATTAACTTGGGGCCCGAGGGTTATTGAAATTTACACTGTTAGTAATTCAGCCCTAAAAGTCTATCACTACATTCTTGACTCCTAAATACTATAAAGTGCTTTCAAATCAGATAACGTGCAGGTCCTTGCTTCCCATTTCCAGTACTGTAGCTACCCAAGTAGGCAGATAATCATTAGCTCCAAGAACATATAAACTGTGATCTGTCTTTGACCAAATTACACAGACCATCCAATTAATTATTTTATAAAAGTAGACTCCACCAGGCAGTGGTGGCGAACATCTTTACTCGGAAGTACATGGGAGGCAGAGGCCAGGGAATCTGAGTTTGAGGTCAACCTAGTCTACGGAGCCAATTCCTGGACAGCCAGGGCTACACAGAAAAACCCTCTAAACAAACAAACAAAAGAGAGAAAGACAGACAAACAGACAGATAGAGGGAAAAAGGATAAAAAAGAATATAAAAAATACTAGATTCCATGAATTTGTAACATGTCAGACACTGAAAACAGACTATCAGTTTATAGCATCCTACGCTTTTTGACACAGTATTAGAGATTGAGCGGATAGATTGTCACCAAGTTCTATTCTCTTCAGTTCTAACCTAGTGGGGGCAAGTACTCCAAACTCTTACCTATTACTTACTCAGGAGGGCTGAGGCCTTGATGTGTGCACTGAACACCTCCCCCCTCTACCTTGGAAAAGGAAGAATGTAAAAGCAAGTCTCAGGAAAACAGGTCACAGATGACAGGAGAACAAAGGGAGGAGGTATCGATTCTTCCAGTAGTAGGTGGCTGTGGTCTCTGAGTGATAATGCTCCCATAGGCTCCTATGTTGGAATGCTTGGTCCCCAGTTAGTGGAACTGTGGCCTTGTTGGAGGGGGTGTGTCACTGAAGGTGGGCTTTGAGGTTTCAGAAGCCCCCACCATTCTGGTTGGTTCTCTCTCTGCTCATCACTGTTGTCCAACATGTTAAGTTCTCAGCTGCTGCTCCAGCACCAGGCCCGCCTGCCTACTGCCATGCTCCCTGCCATATGGTCATGGATTCTACTACCCTTTGGAATGGTGAGCCCCATTAGATGACTTTGTAAGTTACTTTAGTCATGGCGCTTTGACATGGTAGTAAAGTAACTAAGACAGTCATAAGCAAAACATATCTGACCTATAGCAAATATGAATACTATACTGTATTACCAGAAAATAAGCTTTAAAAATTACAGACTGCCACATTAATTACACCAAATAATCTTCCATAGAGTAAAAGGATCACAACCATAGATTGCAGTATATAATTTAAATACAAGAACTGAGAAATCTACTTCAACCATCCTAAGACACTACAAGAATCAAGTCCCGTTCCTCTGCGAGGGAAACAGGAAAGTATAGGAACTTATCACTGTGATGGCAAGCACTATATGGTGATCAAACTTTTCCTCCTGCAGACAGGGTCTTGCCATGTTGCCTGAATGTAGGTTCTAACGAACGCATCTTGTTAAAATTCATAGTAACCAACTACATTTTGAAGTGAACATTAGTAAAGCCATGTAATATAAGTATCCCTAGCTACTTTGGTAAGTTATTAGCAAGCAAACTTTAGTCACAGTGTAAGTTATTTTATGAAACTGTACTAACATCATTCATTATTTACAATCTATCAAGCTTAGCTTCCTATTTGGTTCAGAATGCTCGAAGAACCACAGAGAACAAGCTGAGACCTGGCAATGGTTGAGTTGACAATAGCAGTCAGAGTAGGCCATAAAATTATTTTTCATTAATGATCTAAAAAATTTAAAATAGTATTGCTTTTATGTTTGATGGCCAGAGTATATCTCTATTATGGGGTAATTCTGTAATCTAACATTCAAACTTACTTGCAGATTTAAATATATCTGACCTGTCAAGTATGGGTTTTTCCAATCTTACATAGACACACTCTAAAGGGCTTCATTGCCAGTGATGAAACACATAAAACTTTAATTAAAGTTAATTATAAATGTGTAAGTACTACTTCTCTGGCTTTAGGGTGGGGAGGCAGGACAATGTGTCTAGATCTTAAAGGAAATCAGATTTTAAAGGGAAATAAGGTATTCAGGAAGTACACAGCATTCTGCTAAGAACTTGTCTCAGGAGGCACATGATGAGATCAGACCAGCATCTGAAAATTATAAGGGCTCTAAATGCTACATTAATCAGTTCTCACCCTAACACACAGGCAATGGGAAGCCATCATTATAGCTGGGTTTTATTTACATTCATCTGGTTTCACAAAAGATCTGAAATGATTTTAAAAGTCATTCAAGTAGAAGTCTTGAAGTAAAAAATAAAACTTAAGAGGCTCAGATCTGCATTGAGTTTTATAGGTTTATTAATATGTAAGAAAGAAGTTGTTTTAGAAAGATCACTAGCTCCATAGCCTAATGGGCATTTTCTTATAGCAGCCATATTGGATGCCAACCTTACGTGAGATCAAGGTTGATAATAACAACTATATACTACTTTGAAATAAGGCTTGATGATATGGGTAATATAAAAGCAATACCAAAAACTATTATCAATTCAACTACATATCAAATGCGATTTTACACTGTTGAATGAAGAAAGCCTCAATTTTAACTCTTTTAAGTTCCTTCTCTTCAGTGCAGACACTAACAAACAAGATGAATTTCAGGACCAAAACTAGCAGCACATTCAGTATGGGTAGTAAGTAAGAATATACTGGCTTTTTGGAGCCCATTTCCTACGGAGGGATTCCTTGCTCAGCCTAGATACAGTGGGGAGGATTTTATGACAGCCTTTGTTGATTCCCTATGGAGGGTCTCACCCTCTCTGAGGAGCAGATAGCAAGCGATAGCCAGGTGGGATGGGGAGAAGATGGGGAGAGGGAAATGGGATTAGTGTGTAAAATAATATTTAATATTTAATAATAAAATAAAATTTAATATTTAATAATAAAATAAAATAATATCTAATAATATTTAAAAATTTTAAGCTGGGCGGTGGTAGCACACGTCTTTCTTCCCTGCACTCGGGAGGCAGAGGCAGGCGGATCTCTGGAACGACAGCCTCCAAAACAATACAGAGAAACCCTGTCTCGTAAACCAAAAAAAAAAATTGTTTTAGCCAGGCGATGGTGGCACACGCCTTTAATCCCAGCACTCGGGAGGCAGAGGCAGGTGGATCTCTGTGAGTTTGAGACCAAGCCTGGTCTACCGAGCAAGTTCCAGGACAGGCTCCAAAACAATAAAGAGAAACCCTGTCTTGAAAAAAAACAAAAATTTTTTTTTAAAAAGGAGTCTACTAGATTACATACTGAAGCCACTTTGCATCAGTTGCAAAGAAACCCGACTGAGCTGGACATTGGCAACTCATGCCTTTAATCCCAGCACTTGGAAGGCAGAGGTAGGTGGATCTCTGTGAGTTCAAAGCCAGCCTGGACTACAGAGCGAGTTCCATGACAGGTTCCAAAGCAATACAGAGAAACCCTGTCTGGAAAAAGAAAAAGAAAAAAAGAAACCCAGCTGAGTTCATTAAACCCACACCAGGTAGCTAAGACAAAGTGTGCAGCACAGCACCTTTAAGACATAGTTTCTCAACTCCAGCTACACTGATGTTTTGAGTCAGAGGATCTTTGTTCCAGGGACTTGTTCTTTGAATTGCAGGGTGTTTAGCAGCATTCAAAGCATCTACACATTAGACACTGTAGCGATCCCTAAGTTGCTTCTGCTTGTCAATCCCTGATCAAGAACAACTGCTCTCAATCAAAACAGTATGTCAACATTACCTTTGGGATTTTTAAAGTGTTAAAAAATAAAAATACCCAGTCCCTAGTATTCAGATCCTGGCACAGTGCATTACTCTGTAGTGCTGACTGGGAAGCAGAGGCAAGGGAATGTAAGGGTCAGCTGGTTTTCTCCTTTCCCCCTTTTATTTAGTCCATGCCCAGACCATGGGATGGGCTCCTCTCATTTGAGGTGGGTCTTTCCTCAGTTAAACCTCTCTGAAAACTCCACATAAATATCCTTAGAGGTGTACTTCCTAGGTGATTCAAAACCCAGTTAAGCTGGCAATGAAGATTAACCAGTAGATCTGTGGTGCTTAAAATTTGTGTTTGTATCAATTTTCAGGATGTAGGGCTTGAGCATGTTTTTTTTTTTTTTTTTTTTTTTTGGTTTTTACGAGACAGGGTTTCTCTGTATTGTTTTGGAGGCTGTTGGTCCAGCCCGGCCTCGAACTCACAGAGATCCACCTGCCTCTGCCTCCCGAGTGCTGGGATTAAAGGCGTGCGCCACCACCGCCGGGCCTGAGCATGTTTTCTTAAAAAATGCCAGAATTATTTTTTAATATCTAGCTAACAACCACAGTATATACTTCCTAAAAGCAATAAACTGAAATGACTGGGATTTGAAAATAATTCACTGAGTTCTCTATAGTTTTACCATATAAACAATGTAAATTTTGAGTCATGTAGATCAGATTCATACTCACTTGCTAGAAGCAGACAGGAAAGCGCAACTAAGTGCAGCTGCTGAATAGAGATGTCATAGCGGTCCATGAACAGGTCCAGCAGGTAGACAGCGAGATGTCGGGCAGAAGGGCAGAGAGTGAAGCGATTGCTCACGATGGCAATCAAATCAGCAAAATATCGCCTGAGACTCAGTTGAGGGGATTGGCCCTTGTAAGAAGGCAACTTCAGCTCCTAAATCAAAAGAATATATAATCTACAAAAATATCTTTACAATGCAGACTTAACATTGTTTTCCTAACATATTGTGTTTTAAGAGCTTAAAGACACTCTGCTGAAAGGAATGTAAAAATAAAGTTGAGTGGGAAGAGGCTGTATAGCTTTAAGAAAAGCAAAATGCACAGCCAACCACACTCCAAATATACCCTTCCTCCAAGGCAGAGAGAGAGCAGACTGTGAGTATGCTCCTGGAACTGTGCAGACAATACACTTTATACAGAGAGACTAGGACTTACCCATCAATTATCTTTTAACCTTACTTCCCTTCTATCAGTTAGGATCTTTACTTTGCCACCTTTCATATACACAAAACTTTTTAATAATCAGTATTCACTCTCAGGACAATATTAACAATTTGTTTTTAAACTCTGTAATATCAAGAGACTCGGGGGCTGGGAATGTAGTTTAGTGGAAGAGTATATTCTTATCATGTGCTAAGACTTGGGTTCAGTTCTCAGCAACATGGAACACACACACACACACACACACACACACACACACACACACACACACACACACAGTGGGTGGGGAGGGGTGTCCCAAATGTGTATCAAGATGGAAAGTTTTCAAATTCATTTTGTAAGATGAATGTAATACCGAGAATAAACCTCATGGGTAATCACAACAGAAGGAAGAAACAAATACCAAAAGCACACAGAAATAAAACAAAACAAAACAACTAAAGAGGGAAGTACACTGGACTTCATAAATAAATTGTATCTTGAAGGACACCATCAGAATGAAAAAAGCAGCGTACAGGATGGGAGAAAATGTTTAAAATCATATATCTGGTAAGAGGTTAGTAGCCAAGTAGCCAAATTAATTTTTTAGCTTTCTCTTTTCTCTTGTTCTAGAGGGCTAGGAATTGAACCCACGGCCTTGCACAGGCTAGACACACTGTTACTTAGCTACATTGCAATCCTTCCCACATTACATAAAGAATTCCTATAACTAAAACCCAACTTTAAAGTGGGAAAACAGACACTTCCCCTAATAAAACACAAACGGGGACTAGGGAGAGGGCTCAAAGGGCAGGAGAGCTTTCTATGAGAGCGACCCACACTCAACCAGCTGGGCACAGCTGCACATGCCTTCCTTCCAGCATTGGGGAAGGTAGTGGCAGGCAGACTCCCAGGGTTTGCTGGTCAGTCAACCTAGCCAAAACAAGTTCCTTTAGTGGAAGATCTTCTCAGGGCAATATGATGGAAGAATGACACAGGAAGATATCAAGAGTATCAATCATGTACATGTACCACACATAAAAATACAAAGTAACACAGAGACATACAGAGAAAAACCATAAAGTAACCAACAAGCTCAGAGATGCTCAACATCATTAATCTAGAAAATGCAAACCAAAACCACAAGCTACCATTTCATACCCATCTAGCTTCTTATTACAAAACAATCCCACCCCAAAAAATGCCCCAAAGAGAAAATAACAAGCATTCCCAAGGCTATGAAGAAACCCATACCCATTACTAATGGTAACAAAATGATTCAACTGCTGTAGATAACAGTGCTGTAACTTATAAAAACTTAAATATAGAATCACTCCATGATTCTACATTTCCACTTTCAATTATATAACCCAAATATTTGAAAGTAGAAAGATAGGTAGGTATTTGTATACCCATATCCATAATGCCATTACAAACAATGAGCAAAATAAGGAAATAACCCAAATGCTAATGGGCAGATGGATGAACACAGGAACAGGCACGTGCACAGTTCAGCTTTAAGAAGGAAATTATGGCCCATGTTGCAGAATGAACCTTAATATGCTAAGTCACACAAATGGACAATTAATATATTAACATGATTCCATTTACACCAAGTATTTGGTCAAAGTCACAGAGGCAGAGTAGAGTAGTTGTTATCAGGGTCAGGTGACAGACGAACTGGAAAGAGTATAGAGTTTTAGTTAGAAAGATGAAAACTTGTAATTTATAGCCCCAGGAATAAACAGTGGAAATTGTTTCAAGTCTCTCCCTAGCAGGTGAATTAAAATGCAGAGATCATTACAATATACTGTTGACATCACAGGATATTGAGAAGACCAGAGAAGACATAGCTTGGCCCACAGGATAAGTAGTTGTAGAAAAAAAGAGGCCTGAATATTACATTGAAAGACTAGGAATTGCTTTATTTTTAACTGTTAGTTTTACCAACATTAGTAAAAACAGTCTGAAACCCCAGGGCCTTCAATATGAGATTTTAATCATTGCTATTACTGTATGAACATGTGATATTTGTGGGTAGGCACACACACCATGTTGTACATATGGAGATGAGAGACAGCTTTGTGGAGTTGCTTCTCTCCTTCCACCTTTATGTAGACTACAGATAAAACTCAAATCACAAATACCTGTTGAGCTATCTCACAATATCTCATATAACCTGCTGAGCTACCTTCACCAGTCCCAGACATTTTAAATATGTCCAATGAAATTCACTTGTCTTTTTCAGTGGGAAAGTACTGACTGTCAGAGCCAATTCTCTTTGTACAGGCACCATAGAAAAAGAGACTACGCTTTCCTCAGCCACAAGTTTCTTCTGCTGTCTTTTTTCAGTCCCTTAGAATGGAACACTCTTGTTCTGGTTTGTTTCTCAGGAAATCCAAAGGACCAAAACACAAGGAAGCCAAATGTACAACCTCAAGTCTTAAGTCCTCACCAACTAACCACTTCAAATGCCATCCTCTATCCAGAGATGGTTAACTGCCTAGCCAGGATGGAAATAAAGTCTATAGGAAACTCTCAAATGTAACTACAACTCTTTGGGACCCACATTTTCGTAATGTTTCTCACAAAACCACAACCGTTTGCATTTGCCCTTCTCACACCTCAAATACGTTCCAAGGAGCCACAGCACAGGAGCACAGTGACAGAAGACAAGCACTTAAGGGACAGATGCTTGTGAAATCTTTCTAAGTGGGAAACTATATTCACAAAAACTACAGTTCACTGCATTTCACTTTTCCCCAAAATACAATGCTGGTCACTTGTCAACTGTTTCTTTAAAATTTGGTGGGTCTAAACATAGACCACCTTTTACAGACAAATAAATGGCAACTGACAATGGGAAGAATTACATTCCGATGCCTTTGACTTATAAAACAGATTGTCAGAGTCTATGCGGCAAAGACCATGCCTGTGGCACTAAACCACTGCTCTAACACCTTGCCTATACTAAGTACTAAACACGTGGCACAAATGACCAAATAACTGATTATTAGCTGATATTGGCTTTTTTTTTTTTTTTTTTTTTGGTTTCTCTGTATTGTTTTGGAGGCTGTCCTGGAACTCGCTCTGTAGACCAGGCTGGCCTCAAACTCACAGAAATCCGCCTGCCTCTGCCTCCCAAGTGCTGGGATTAAAGGCGTGCGCCACCAATGCCCGGCATATTGGCATTTTCAATGAGAAAAGTTTAACTTGACTCCAGAGCACTACAAATAGTGATCTCTCCAGTTGTAAAGTTCAAGCGCTAGTATAAAATGTTACTGTTACCTGAACCCCGGTCTACACTGAGTTTAAAGATGACATGAAGCCAGTCTGAGCAGTTTGCAACAGGTGGCCTGAGACAGGCTCCAGAAGAAATCCTTCCTATCCACCTGACTACAGGTCTGTCTCATTCCATAGCCCTTCAGAGACAACACAAAGGCATGCAACAAATCCTAATTTAAAAAAGAAACTGCAAAACTAAGTCAGACAATTACTCAGATTAAAACGACCTACACATACAATGTTAGAACTAAAAATCATGGGGATCACCACAGGGAAGAAAGTCTTTACATTCTTTTTACTTTCATATCCACATACACATACACAAAAGAGATCATGTATACATACCAACTAACTAGTTTTCTACATACTAGAGAGCTAAAAGGACTGACACTAAGGAAATCCATACATCTCTCCCAAAAATCAAGTGAGCTGGGGCAACTCCCATGCCATAGTGGGAGCATTTATGTAAAGCAATCATATGGGTCTGGAGTGTGTGTATTTGAGGTAAGAGACTCAATGTCAGGGTTAGAAAAGAGCATCAGGAGCATCAAGCTTTAGGGGAAAAGGGTGCAAGTTTAACAATATACACCAGGGCTGAATGTCCCAGACTACTTAATATGGTCAGATACACAAAACACAAATCGATTATCCCGGGACCCTTAAGCCTCAAGCTACATGAGTTTCTCATTGAAGAGTCAGCTGTTTTGATTCTTAGTTTTCTACACTTAAGGTGGCTCTTTAGATACAAGGTGAAACTGAGTTAAATTAGAGATCTCTCCTCTGGCTGAGAAGCAGGGCTATCCCATAAATCTGACTTACAACACTCAAAGTGAAATCATTACTTATGCAACAATACACAGGCTTTGGTTCAAAAAGAGTGTATTTTTTTTCAGTGTTTATTAAGTATACGGCATCTACTGTCTACATGCGGCATTACGAGGGAGCAGTTCCTTCCTTAAGGCTTTTCAAACAGTCTCAAATCTGAAGGACCAAGTAACAGTAAGTTAGCACTCAGCTCTTACTATAGGCTGGGCACCGTTCTAAGTCCGTGTACAGTACAGACATCAGATTTCACAATCACCCCATAGGAAACGCTCCATCATCCTCATAGCTCCTCTTACAGATGAAGAAACTGAGAAACTGAAGGCTCACAGCGACTTTGAGGAAAGGCAGGGGAACTGAGGTGTGTACAACTGTGGCTTACAACAGCTGCATGCAGCAGCACGTAGAAGGACGGCTGTAGACGCGACGCAAATTAAGTATATATACAAAATCCATGATCCACTTAGCAACATCGGACCACCGCTGCCCACATTCCTTCTCCCAACTCCCACGCCCCACTCCTCCCCACCCTTACAGGTTCTTCCGATGCAGCCCAGGGAAGGAAGAAGTTAATTAACCTCGACAAATAAGCAAACTCGCCTTCTCTGCCCTGGAAAGTAAAGAACCTAACTGGCCTCGCCAGGAAGCACAAGAGCCGGGAGGGGAAGGTCGGGCCTCGGGATTACCTTGTACCGAAGCGCCTGGTGAATATCCGCAGCCAGTTGTCCTCGCCACCACTGCCCCTCTAGCTCCATGGAAGCCGGCGGCGCGTCCGGAGAGACGTCTCAACTTCAGTCTGGAAGACACGCCCCAGAAGCGGTCACCGCCAGCAACCCCCCCCCCACACGACCCTCCGCGCCCCAGTCACCAGGGCTGTGACCTCAGGTCACCCCGAGCGGCTGCTCATCTTCACCTGACCCGACCCCAGGTCATCCTCCAGGGCCAGCAAGGCCCGATCTACCCAGTCAGAGGCGCGGGCTTAGCGTGCAATCGCCTGCTGCAGGAGCTGCAGGCTTGGGGAGCTCGGGGCGGGACGGCCGGGCTCCGGCTCCCGGGGTCCCGGGTTCGAACGCTGCCGCCCGCCGCGAGGGCGCGGGCGCCCTGACACCGTCCGGATGCCGCCGGAATGGAGGGTGAGCGGCTCTAGGCCAGGTCGGCGCCGACAGCCGTGCGTGCTCTACCCGCACTCCCCCGGCCCCCGCCGGGGTCTGAGGTACGGCCGCCGCGGCGCGTCCCCCGAGCCGAGCGGCAAACAAAAGGCCGGCCGGCCGGCGTGCACAGCGCCTCGCCTCCCCTCGCGACGCTGCCCTCCCGGCCGAGCCTGCCCGGCCCGCGCGGACTCTCACCCGGAACCGCGGCCCTCACAGCCCCAGCCCGGACGGTGTTCGCGGGGCGCCGGCAGCGCTCATGCCGCGGACGGACGGCCGCGAAGCCCCCCGCCTCAGCTCGGGCCGAGCAGCGGGCCGCTCGCGCCGCCCATTGTTAAGGGACCGGCAGGCGGCTCGGCGTACAAAGCCAGCGCTGGGGCACGGGCCGCCCCGCGCTGCCAATCTCGTCTCGCGATACAGCGGGGTCGCGCCGCGCCGGCCAATCGGCGGCCGGGCCGAGCCAGGTGCCACTCCGGCTCTGCGGCCCCCGCCGGGTGCGGCGAACCGGCTCTCTGGCTCTGCAGCTCCAGGAGTCTGTCAGTGCCCGCGGGCCACTCGCCTGCAGAGTCCTGGGTGCCTCGATGGGTCCTGGGTGCGGGCAAAGAAAGTTGCGACGCCTCGACCCTTCGATAAACGTTGGCAGCGCGGGTCTGGCCCGCTGTCTCTCACTTCGAGGGGCTGCTCGCCGGGTCCCCTCCCTCCCCCCCGCCTTCCAAATAGGTTTTAGCTGTTCCCACAGCTCTTAAGCCGCTTTGCTTGTTGAATTCTGCTCCGGTTCCACCTGTAAACCCGGTTTTTTTTTTTTTTTTTTTTTGGTTTTACGAGACAGGGTTTCTCTGTATTGTTTTGGAGGCTGTCGGTCCAGCCCAGCCTGGAACTCACAGAGATCCGCCTGCCTCTGCCTCCCGAGTGCTGGGATTAAAGGCGTGCGCCACCACCGCCCGGCAAACCCGGTATTGTTTTAGCAATCTAATTCAGTTCTTGTCGCTTTTGCTTCAGCGATTCTCAGGAGTTGTGAATGGAACTGACATCTTTAGCAATCCGTAGTGAGTGTAATTGACCATCTTAGGTGGTCAGTGAAGAAACCCCAAACCGTGCAAACACTCCAGCGTCGATTAAGTTGATGTTGGAGCTGGAATGTGAGTGACAGACGCCCTATCAATTGTATTTGAAAGTGTTTGGTGGACCACCACAAAAGTAGATGGTCCCCCGACTTTCCAGAGCATAGCTATAGAACGGCTTCAATATTTAAACAGAAATCATGAGCCCGCACCCCTTACTTTGAATATTTTGTTTAGAAAGAGGGATGGTGATGAGGGGCTACGACAAATGATGAATGCTCACCGCAGGAGCGGGCTGAGCGCGCTGGCATTTGCATACATCCAGGAAGAACTGCGGACCTGCGTGAGACAGGGCTAATGCCTTGAGAAAGCAGGGATTCGGGAACTGATGGCTGCAAAGGGGAAACGTACAAGTGAAAGCTGGCGGAGCCCAGCCTCGCCCCGTGCAGTTCAGGAAGAAGCTACTAGCAGTGGAGAAGGACATGCCAGGCTAAAATTTCCATGTCATTTATGGTATTTACATAGTACCAACGTCCTCAGTTTCCAATTCATGACTGCTAAGCAGGCTTATGGTGATAATTTGGCTTCCAAATGTTTTAGAGTCCAGGCCTTTCTTAACCTCTTCAGAAAAGAGGGCCAAGGACTGTACTTGCTGTGTGATTCTGTAATAAAAAGGCTGTCCTACAGTCTCTCCTTTGAAGACGTTGTTTACAGAGAGATATTTGTTCAGAAAACATGTATTTTCTAGACTTAGATGGCTCATTATAAGATTCAATATTCATTTTTGTTGATGTCTGTATATGTCTCTGGTGGCCTTAGATTATACATTCCTAAGAGGCAAATTTAAGTTTTACTATTTGTAACAAAAAATAAATGACCCAGAGACTGATATTGGGGTTTAAGCTTCAAATTGAATATCAGAAAAGCAAAGCAGCTGGCCACTGGCTTCTTAACTCTACCTCAGGCTGAATGGGCTGATCCTGTCTCCACGAGCTCTCACCAAGCCTCAGACTGCTCTTCTGAGACCTTGCTTCTGTCTTATATACTTCCCTAATGTTGGGATTAAAGGAATGAGCTATAATTCTCTTTTAGACTGATTCACTCTTGTGTAGATCTGGGTGGCCTTGGATTCACAGAGATCCGTCTGCCTCTTAATTCTGAGTCCTAGGATTAAAAGTGTGTACCACCTCCTAGTTTCTGGCTGCTGGAATAGGATTAAAGGTGTGTATCACCACTTCGTGATCTCCATAACTTGAAACTCACTTTGCTTTTCTAAATCCTCAAGTCAAGCTTCAATAAATCATAAATGATAAATCACAGCTGGGCGGTGGTGGCGCATGCCTTTAATCCCAGCACTCGGGAGGCAGAGGCAGGTGGATCTCTGTGAGTTCAAGGCCAGCCTGGTCTACAGAGCGAGTTCCAGAACAGCCTCCAAAACAATACGGAGAAACCCTGTCTTGAAAAACTAAAAAAAAAAAAAAAATCATAATAATGAAGGTGGGCATTGTTTTATGATATGGGGAGCTATTCGAAGGCTTGAGGGGGGAAGTAAGTGATCAGTATCTATCTGGTAGATAGTTGTGCCAGACAGAGGGAACGACAAACAGGGAAGGGCTCTCAGGAGAAAACACACCTGGAAGGACAATGGAGGACAGTCTGTGTCTTGGGTAAAGATGCACCAAACCTAGGAAGTGACCAGCAAAGGTATAAAAGAGGGCAAGGCACCCACACAGCCCAGAGTGGGAACTAGAGTCGGGTTGCAGCCAAAGGCACAGTGGTTTGGCACGCTATGAGGGTGAGAGCAGATTCTCTGCAGGGTCTTTGTAACTCTGGGAACTTTAGGCACTGGAAGTCGCCGTGCTCTCACAGCACAGACACTAACATCAGAACACACAGAGGGAATTATTCACAAAGTTTTCTACACTTGATGTGTGTTTATCCAGTGTTGTGTGCTGAGTACTAGGGATAGCGTCAGCCGAACAGTGCTTGCCCAGCATACCTGAGACCTTGGCTTCAAACTGTAGTACCACAAAAACAAAACACTGAAAACCAAATACATAAAATGCATTTAAATGTTAAAATAAACTTAATTGAAAAGTTAAATTCTTTTTAATTAAAAAGAAAAAAACTTAAATAAATGCATGCAAAAGGCAAAACATTGAAACAGTATAAAATAGTGCATAATAACAGGCAGGTCCCTTTCTCCATGGATGCCACTTCTTTCCAGGGGCACCTCTTCCAGAGACACCTCTTCCCAGAGACACCACTACTGCTGTGTCTTTTGTTGTCCCTTCCCAGAAATACAGTTCTTTGTATCAACGCATGAATGTGACCCCCCTGCGTCATTTTGTGTGTAAAATGGTACTTTGCTCCATGGTATATTGTGCACTTTGTTTTGGTCTAGTGAACATTCAGGTTTCTTCTCAGGCTCCACTGAATTCTTTTGGGTACAAAGCACTAGGAGCCAGAAGCCCTTGACCCTGTTCTTGATTTGTTTCCTTGGTACAAATTTAGACCTGTGTACTATTTAAGGCACTGGGACTACTATTCACACCCAATCTCTACTACTACAACACCTTCATCTCCCACTTAGTCTGTATAAGTTCATTAACTGGTCTTAATGCATTGACACCTGTCATCTTTCTCTAAAATATTTGACACTGGGCAGTTGGAGAGGTTGAGGAGATAGAACACACCTGTAGTGAACTTGATATAGAAGATCCTAATGATGTTTCCAAACCACTATGATGTAGAATGTTAAGGATAGTTTTTATGCTATTCTCAAAAATAGGAACCAAAATTTGCATATATTTACAATATGTAATTTACCAGTGAGTGCTCCAAAATTAAAATTTGACATATGTTTTTTACTTCTGGTTAAAATGAACATAGATTGTTATTATCTACCTGAGTGGGCTATAGGAGAGCCACTGTTCAAGCATTCTGGATATACGTGTGAAGGCGTGCTGGGCTGGAGAATATGACTTGGTAAACTGAGTAAAGTAGATTGCCCTTCTGAATGTGGGTAGTGCTCATCCAGTCAGCTGGAAGTTAGAATTAAAAGACTACCCTCCCTCAAGGGAGTAAGAGGGATTTACTCTTGCTTAATTTCTTTAAGCTGGGACATGGATCTTTTCTGGCCCTTGGACTCAAACTGAAACAGGCTTTTCTTACATCTGGAGCCTTTCAGACTAGAACATGACCTCAGAGTTCCCTCTGAGGAATTTTTACCTGGAATTGTACCAGAATGAGCATCAAAGGTACCCATGTCTCATTAGTACTGACAGCATTCTGTAAGGGCAAGCTGTCACTCAACAGAGAATCGAGGTTGCCTGGGAGGTCTTTGAAAACAATGCTGCTTTCCTCTCAGTGGTTCTGATTCAGGAAGTCATGGGTGGATCTGGGAATCTCTGCTCTTAATAAGCCTCTCAGGATGGCTCTGATGAGACCTCCATGATTGAGCCGCAGTGACCTTCGGGAACCGGCCATCAATGCTTCTTTTCCAGAATGAGATCTACTGTATAAACTGTGGTTCACAAAGCAGCCAAACTGCCAAGGGTCTCCCAGAAGAGGTGTGTTGGTATGGAGGTATCTAGACAACTCCTCAAAGCCTACGGAGGGATGCTAATGTGGTTTCCATAGTTCCCAACTCTACTCAGGAATCCAAATTATGCCCAGCACTGGTGAACTTGAAAATAAGCAGCAGAATCTCCAGATGACAGGAAAACTTGGATCTAGAGAGCATAGTACTCTTTGCCTTTTCCCTTCTTCCCTTTCACTGACATCGGGCTAAGGAAGCCAAATAGACCCACACAGATAATATGTTGTTGGGGTATGGATGAATGTACACCGCTAAAGCAAATTCTGTCTGGGGAAATTCAGAAGAGTGAACTCCAGTCTGGTAGACAGCATCAATGACTGACTGGACATCTGTGTAGGGCATCTGGATGGGAAATCCTGTGACCTAGATAAGGTTAGAACAACACAAAGGCACATTACAGTCCAGAAAGATCACAGAAGTCTTAACAATAAATTGCTCTTGTGAGTGACTACAATATTCTAGATATAGTGTTAAATAAGCCACAGATAACTGAATGAGGTGAGTTCTGTCATCATCCCCACTCTACAGACAGGGTAGACAGAAACAATCTGTACAGCTGACATAGAACGAACGTGGACCCTCCAGATAGCAAACTGCTAACAACAATCTTGTTCACATTGAGTCTCTACTGTGTGATAACATTAAGGGAATGTGGATCTAAGTAACGTTACATAATAGTTCACACATGACAACCATGAACCCTTCACTCAGCCTTCCATTGCTTCCCTCTCATTCTTAAGTCTGCTCACATGCCTTTTCCATGTGCACTGTCCTTTCTCTTGCTCACCTAAAGAGATTTCATCATTATTTTCTGATCTGCCTCTAGCCGGTGACTTCTGTGAATGCAATTGATTGTATCCTTACTGTTTACTACCATAATTCCAACATTTAGCCTGGGTCCCGGCACATAACAGAAACTGTTTAGCATTTAGTAAGCATTAGATGTTGAGTTCAATACTAAGAATAAACTCACACCGGGCGGTGGTGGCGCACACCTTTACTCCCAGCACTCAGGAGGCAGAGGCAGGCAGATCTCTGTGAGCTCAAGGCCGGGCTGGACCGACAGCCTCCAAAACAATACAGAGAAACCCTGTCTCATAAAACCAAAAAAAAAAAAAAAAAGAAAGAAAGAAAGAAAGAAAAAAAAAAAGAAAAAAGAAAAAAAAAGAATAAACTCACTTAATCCTTACTATGTTCACAAAACAGACAACTATGCTTACTCCTGTTATCCAATGGGATAAAAGGTATAGCTGGGTTAGATGATTTCACCTAGGTTGAAACCAGTGAATGGTCAAAATAGGATCTGACTACAGGCTGCAGGGCTCAATCTTGGCCCAAGTATTGCCTACTATGCATTATTAGTCTGATATTTTTACATAGAAACTCCAAGCCTTAAACCATGGCTTATATTTAACTTATTTTATTTATCTCTTTAATCCCAAATTCTATTTAAAACAAAGAAAAATAAAAACAACCTCTTCCTAATTCTTGAATGGATAGTACCCGCAGACCCCTCCCTGACTGCTGGGATCTCCTGGGAGACATCTAGCTTCCTGGATGGTAGAGGGAGAGGATCTCGCTCTTGGAAAACTGGGCTTTCTAAGAACTCAGTGAACCAGTTGATAGAAGACAGGTGGGGTTATGTGAAGGAACGCCATGCTTGACTAAGGAAGGAAGGGAGACTAGCAAGTGTCCACCTTATTTGTTTTTGGACTTGCTGAATTTGAGATGCCTTTTCATTCTCCAGGGAGGCGTCAGTGCTCTGACAGTGGTAAAGGGTGAGGTTGGGTGTCAAGGTTCAGGCTGGGCATAAAGTTAGCAGTAATTTGCATCCAGAGATAACTGAAGTTTCCTGTACTTCTCTTGCCCAGAAGCAATGACTCGAATCCAATATGTTACTAGAGATCATTTCTCAGTTTCCTAGTTTCAGAGTGGACATCTCTTTTCAAAGTTTATGGTCATAAAATATACAGTTCTGAGAAAAATGCCATGCTTGTAATGTTAATTATATCACAACTTTTCTATAAGTAAATAGAATCCAGGCTGAAGGGCTTAATCTTGACCTAATTATTGTCTACTATGCATTATTAATCTGATATTTTTACATAGAACTGCAAGCCTTAAACCTTGGCTTATACTTAGCTATATTTTATTTATCTCTTTTATCCCAAATTCTATTAAAACCAAGACAAATAAGAACAACTTCCTCTTTATTCCTGGTTGAGTGGCACCTGCAGACCCTTCCCTAACACCTAACAGATCTCATCTTTGTCTCCTGGGAGACATCTAGTCCCCTGGATGGTGGAACGAGAGGTTCTCATTCTTTGGATTTTCAATGCCTTTGTCTTTGGTGACAGAGATAGGTAGGTTGCTGTTATTTGCCAGTTAACAATAGGTAAAATCAAATGTTATTTGCACATTAAATCATATACAAACCCAATAAAACTGTAGCAGCCTTTCTAACTCACTGTCTTCAAATGAGGCAAAACTTCCCGTGTAAAACTCTAACTTAGGAAGGATTTGTCGCAAAACAGAAGTGCACTGCCGATTCCATCGCGTTGGGTGCTTAGGTCGCCATTCCATCATTTTACATTTCAGTGTCCTTTCCATCCTATGGTAAGAATGCAAAGATAACTCCTTTGACAAACTGTGATTCGCTTAGTAAATGTCACAAGAACTTTGTCACTTCACGAATGAGAAAGAATCCTGAGATGTAGGAGGGAAGCAGGCATTTACAGTGAGGGGTGCCAGTTATGATTCACACTGATCGATCAAGTAGGGAGAGGTATGCTCTTATTGGCTAGGCAAGGCCAGAAGCTTTCATATATAGCCAGAAATTAAATCTGCTAAGAGTATCTCTTCCAGATACCCAGCATTTGACAGCACCTATCATGTGATGACTGGCTGACATTTTACCCATCCTTTGCAAAGGGCATAGTGTTTCCAGGGAATTGCCTTTTTAAAAAATCAGCTATCTGGTCGGGCGTTGGTAGTGACGCCTTTAATCCCAGCACTCGGGAGGCAGAGGCAGGCGGATCTCTGTGAGTTTGAGGCCAGCCTGATCTACAGAGCGAGTTCCAGGACAGCCTCCAAAACAATACAGAGAAACCCTGTCTCGGAAAAAAAAAATCAGATATCTGGTCTAGGGTGTTAGCAGAAGTGGGATTATTAGTTTATTTAGTTCAGGATGTGGACTTTGGAGGAAGGAAGTCAAGGGACTAAATATGGTGGTCACTCCCACCCACCCACCCACCCACACTAGAATGTCATTCCACAGGAGCAGAGATTTAGATCAGCCCTGTAATGGTGCCTGGTGGAAACTTACTGGGAAAAGGGAGAAGGGTGTAAGTTGGTTCACTGGTCCTGTGAGGGAGATGACCTTGTGGGGTTGAATCTATAGGTTGCCACAGAGAAGCTACTGGGAGTCTCTTCTCAATTGAGTTTACAGTGCAACTCCTGAGTTTATGGTATGTTGGCTGAAGTGCTGGTGCATCTCAATGGGGGCTGGCATCAGAGTGCTTCACCTTCTGATAATGATGCAAGTGGAGTCTGCACCCCTAGAGCCTGTAGTATAAGCAGTTCTGGAAGCAATTCTGATGCAAGCTAGTGAGGAACCCTTTCCCTACTGCACTTACTGCTTTCTAGACAACTGGGAAACGGGGGCTGGAGAGATGGCTCAACAGTTAAGAGCACTGGGTGCTCTTCCCGAAGACCCAGGTTCAGTTCCTAGCTCCCACATGTCAGCTCACAACCATCTGTGACTCCAGTTTCAGGGGAGCTGAAATTCTCTTTGGCTTGGCCTCTGTGGGCACCAGATATGCATGTAGTAAACACCTATACACATAAAATATTAATAATGGATTTTTAATCTCAAAAAGGGGGTAGTAATGACTGGGGACAGAGTAAGCTTATATACTATCAAGAAAAGGAAGTGAAAAGATGACTTTGGTCACACTGTTTTGATTGGCTGACAGCGGGTTGCATGCCAGCCTGCTGTGTGAGTGTGAGCCCGTGCAGGAAGTCGGATTCAGAAGCTACTGAGACATGTGGAGTAGGAGTAAAGCCTTCTATACAGTCTATGACCCATTTGGGGGAACATCCAGGATTGACAGTGTTCTCAAGTGTTTGTGCTATCCAACTGAGATGTTTTCACCACAAGCAAGGTCATGGCCATTAACCTTCATATCCTTCTACAAGGTGTTGGCTTTTGCTTTATTTTGGCCATAGACTTATCAACTATGTACACTGAGAATGTTTCATCCATGGTCTACGATGCCCAGAGTTAACATAGACTGCCCTTTCAAGGGATTCTTTAGCTGGGAGAGAGAGGGAGCATTTGTCATGCTAGCGTCAAGAGATTGTGGTTCAGTAGGACTAGCTGTTGGAATCTCCCTTCTCATGTTTCTGTTGCTGAGTCTAATGGGCACTTTGAGAGGCTGGGTTAAATGACTAGGAGGTGGCGGACACACAGTGAGTGGGCGGGAGGACACACAGTGTGGGTGGAGGACACACAGTGTGGGTGGAGGACACACAGTGGGTGGGAGGACACAGTGTGGGTGGAGGACACACAGTGGGAGGACACACAGTGGGAGGACACACAGTGGGGGAGGACACACAGTGGGTGGACACACAGTGGGTGGAGGACACACAGTGGGTGGAGGACACACAGTGGGTGGAGGACACAGTACCTGCTCTTCAGATCTTCTACCATGCCTTTATTAGTATCACAGTAAACTATTTCTTCAGGCTGGAATGTAGACAGCTCAAAGTTAGGACATCCTAGAGACCACCTTTAGATCCCAGTCATCCCTGAAGTCCTGAGACAGAAAACTGGACCAAACTAGTCTCTCAGGGTAAAAGCAATCTCATTCAAACAAAGATCATACATTTTCTTTGATTTCCACACTACTTACTCAGCATGGGAGCAGGGATATAAAAGACACCTTTCATGGGTAAGACATTTGTTATTCTCATTTCTTCTTTGGACAAGCATCTGGCATGCTTATTGATCTCACAACACTGGTCTCTTATGCTTATGGAGACTTTGGCAAAGTTACATAATGAAACTTTGTTCTCATTCTCAGTTGCTTTGATGATTAGAGCAAGGACAATAGTTGGGCCTACTTCTTTGAAGTCTTAGAATGATTTTAAAATAAGGCAGTACCTGTAAAGCCTAGCTGTAGGAGGAAAACAGATGCCGCCATTAACCATGTGACTATTAGAGGTGCACACAGATGAGGTAATAAAAGAGCGGTTTACCGCACCACTAACCACACCCACTTTAGGCATGACTAAAGACGTATACGGACGGATGTAGGCGGTGAACTACATCACTAGCCAGGCCCACTTTTGGGCATGGCTAGGGGCGTTACGGAGGAAGATATAAAAGACTGAACCAGGGAAGTCTCGGTCTCTTTTTCCGGCTTTCGGCTTCCAGTTCGGCAGCTGAAAACTACTCGGCTCATCTGGGTTACTTGTTTGGTCTCTTGTGAGTAATTTCTACAATAAATACTTATTTTTACTTTCAGTAAGTGTGCCGTTTATCGTTGCAGCATCACCTAGCATTTATGAAATGCTCAATAAATACCAGATCATAGTGTTACTCTTCGGACATGGTTTATAACCATCCTTTTCTGGGTCTGTATTTCGTGTAGCTGGCAGGAACCAATTCCTTGTGTCTATATGAACCTGCATATGTGTGTACACTTAAACACACGGAGAATCCACTTCCCCCTCTGTCTCCAAACCTTAGCTCCACTCCACACCTCTAACCTTCCGTAGGGAGCAGGGTTCTTCATGTTTGCTCATTTCCTGTCCTGGGTTGGGCTTACCTCTCAAGTTCCTGCCTAACCCAGCTCTACCTTCCTCGTGAGGTTCACTAGAGCTGTTTTAAGGGGTTGGGTTTCCTACTTTGGTCATTCTGAACTGCGGAACAGAGGCAGCTGGAGGGATAGGGACATCCCAGAGTGGAATGAAAGTTGTGCAAAAAGGAAACAACACTTGATAGGTCTCTTAGCTCCCTAACTGGCCCCAGACCCAACCCCAGACATGTGAAGTTGTTAAAAGTGCAAGTTCTCAGCTCTTCTATCATGCCCAATGAATCAGAAACTCATTTGCTTTAACAAGTCTCCAGGAGACCGACTGGAGAGAGATACAACCCATGGTAGTGCTTGCCTTCCATGCACAAAGCCCTGGGTTCAGTTCCAAGCACCATAAAAAGGTAAGAGATACACAAGTCCAACAATCACAGAAGCTTTTGAAAACCTGCATTTGATTATGGTCTCCCGTGGTGATGTTGGCTTCTGACTTCTCTGAAGATTAAGGTTCAAGTCCCTATCAACATTTTGCTTCTCCCTAGATCCATCTCTGCACATGTAGCAACCAAGATTCTGGAAGCTCCTGGAAAGACACTTTTTGGCCACTGCAGGTTGTGCTGCTAGCTGTCCCTTGGAGGCCATTCTTTTCCCTGAATTCCAAGGAGGCAAGTTCTGCTCACTTAGCTTGTCACTCACTCTCCTGAAACCCCTGAGCTGTCTTCCCTCCTCCTGCTGTGAGCTCCCCAAACAGAATCAAACAAACAAAACCACCCCCATACCTTTATGACTTCTACAGCAGCACTCATCACTAGCATGGGCTAGTGCTTGGGGTTAGCTGCTTGTTTTCCTCCTTGAAAACATAAGATCAAAGAATAGGGACGCATCTTTCACTTTGTGGCAGCTACATCTAACACAACACCAACAGGAAACCACTACATACCACCTGGCTGGGCACGAAATAACTAAACAGACAAAAACAAAACAAACAAAACACAAGCCTTGGAACAGATTATTCTCTCTCTAGGAGGCAGCAGTGCTGCAGACTCAACTAGAGAGTGCTAGAGGAAGCATGGACGGTAGAGACTGTACATGTGGTTTGCTCAAGAAAGATAAGCACATTTCCCTTTTTAAAAAATGGTACTTCAAACAGGAAGTACAAAAATACATACATATACTTGATCTATGTGGAGACTGTGTAGAAGAATGTACAAGGAACTGGTGGACGATAATTATTTCTTAGGAGATGGGGAAAAAAGACTTTGAAGGTGGAAAAAATTCTCTATTCCTTGGTATTCTTGACTTCGGCCCCTGTAACTACATACTCCTTTTAATACTATGAGTTGCCTTGAATTCACAGACAAGCACAGAGAATGATGTAAAGAATACATACCTAACATGTGACCACTTAAGCTATATATAACCATTGTATTCTTCTATATTTGTTTAGATTTTTACTCATTAGTTTTACTTTATTTATTTATCTATTTTCTTAGCAGTACTGAGAATTGAGCCCAGGGCCTCATGCATGATAGGCAAATACTCTTCACTAAGCTACACCCCGAGCCCTTACTGTAGATTTTTTAAAAAAGAACAAAAATAAGAGAGCGCTCCATGTATAGACAGTTATCAGCTATTGCTCCAGTGTCTGCTTGAATGCTGATACTCCCTGTCGTGATGGTAATGGACTAAGCCCCCAATTAAATGCATTCTCTTGTAATAGTTGCCTCGGTCATGTGTCTCTTCAAAGCAATAGAACAGTGACTAAGACAGAAATTAGTACCAGGATAGAGGGATATTGTGGTGACAGGCTTAATCATGTTGTTTTGTGGAGGGATTTTGGAACTCTGGGCTAGAAAAGCCACTGAGTGTTGGGAGCTCAGTGGGCTACTCTATAGGAGCTTAGAAAGACAGCGTGTTGAAAGCAATGTAGATGAGAAGGGAGGCTTCCGAGGGAAGCCAAGACTACCAGGCCATTTGTGTGAAGAATCTATGGTGTCTGGTCAGCTGGGGCTGAAGAACCGGCTGCCATGAAGCAGGGGCCAGCATCACTGATGTGAACTGTCCTGGGAAGTGTTTCTTCAGAGTCAGCACATGTGTATTCTCTGCTCTCTCTGTCCCTCGATGTTACTGCTTTCCAGTACTGTTCTTCACACCCCCTCCAGTCTAAAGGTGACCTCCCATCTGAATTTGGTATTAGCATTCCTATAAATACCTTTCCAAATCTATTGTATATGCAAATGTGTATATGGATATATACAAAAGTACTATATTTATTTTTTTCAAACTTAAGTAGTTTTATACTTGGTGCATTATTTCACATACTCTTTATTTTTCTTTTTTCTTCTTTTTTTTTTTGGTTTTTTTTTTTTTTTTTTTTTTTGGTTTTTTTGAGACAGGGTTTCTCTGTGACTTTGGAGGCTGTCCTGGAACTATCTGTTGTATAGATCAGGCTGGTCTCAAACTCACAGAGATCTCCCTGCGTCTGCCTCCCGAGTGCTGGGACTAAAGGTGTGCGCCACCAACGCCAGGCTATTTTTCTTTACATCACACTTTTTATATCCATTCTTGTTGATATGCATGGCTCTACGTCATCACTTCTCAACCTTGGCTGGAAATTGGGATTGGAACCTGGAAGCCTGAAAAACTACCGGTAGGCAGATTCACCCACACATTCTAAGGTAACACACACACACACAGATTGAGAGCTTCTGCAAACTGATTCAAACACTTTTCCAGTGCTGTGGAAGAATGCATTGTATGATTATTTCACAACTCACAGACCAATTTTCTAATTGTGAACTGTTTCTAATTCCTTGCTATTTCGTTCTATTCATCTATGCCATTGATTCTCTGCTGACCGATGGGGTTTTCTCCCGTGCATGTTCTCCCGGGCACATAGCTAGAGGGTTAAATGAGTGGATCACAAGCTGAACATGTTCAACCTCATCACATTACCAGGCAGTTACACTGCCCCCATTTCTCTGCTTGGTACGATGCCACATCTTTTCTTCTTGTTATATTTCCCTGATTATAAGTGAAGCTGCACATTTGTATTTCTGCTTCTATGAACTGTCTTTTGCACATTATTCTATTCCTCCCCCCTTTTCTCCTCACTGCCGGCTCCGTTTTCTCTTGGCTCAAGGCTCCTAGGTTGTGGACTTTGTAATTGCCTTCACTCTGCCACTCCATAGTCCTTCATCCAGGAAGTGCTACTGATCACAGCACAGGTCTGCTGGCCACAGCAGTTAGACCCTGGGTCAGTTCTGGTCCCCGGGCTCCTGGACAGCAGAGCTGTTTCTTCTCATCTTTTTCTAAAGTAAGGAGAAGCAGTTGCTCCATCGCAGTCCTTGCTTCAGAGGGGATGGATGCCTGCCTAGCACCTCTTGATGAAACGGTTTTAGACCTTGCTGCCAGCCTTGGTTCAGCCCCACTCACTTGGTACTATTTCTGCCCTGTTTTCATTCCACAAGGTAACTACTATGGTTTGGAGTCCAGAGAAACACTTATCAGTCTTTACACTTGATCATCACCAGATGTAATAACCTACTGCGCCATGTTGAGCAATAAATGCAGTATTTCTGATGGGGAAAGATGACATTTTTTTCTCAAGTTCTTTTTTTAAATGCAGATATAGGAAAGGGGTCAAATTAACCCAAGGCAATCTGGACGGCAGAGAAGATTCATTTTGGGTGACATCGCTGAGGAAGTCAACAACTAGAGGCTGCCACAACTAACAAAGATTAGAAGCAATGGCAACTCATGCAGACAGACTTGTGAGAGTGTTTACCTGCACACTTTGGGCTTTTATCCCCTGAAAGTCTTTTGGCAGCAACTGTTTCCAGAAGCTTTCTTTTGAATAGTCAAAATGTACGGCCATTGGTGTATTATTTTGTTGAATATTAAACCAGACCTATAAAAACATTAGCAAAAGGTCAGTGTAAGCCCATGGGAACACAAGACCATATTGGGTAAGAATGGTACAAATGCTGTTGGGCATATACCCAAAGGAGGCACATTCACACCACAAGGACATTTGCTCAACTATGTTCACAGCAACATTATTTGTAATATCCAGATCTTGGAAACAACCTAGATACCCCTCAACTGAATAATGGATAAAGAAAATGTGGTATTTACACAATGGAGTACTACTCAACGGTAAGAAACAATGACATCCTAAAATTTTCAGGCAAATGGACAGAACTAGAAAAAAACCAAAACAAGCAAGCAGAAAAAAAAACCCCACCATTCTGAATGAAGTAACCCAAAACCAGAAAGACACATAAGGCAAAAGATACCCAGCCTACAATCCATAACCCCAGAGAAGCTTGAACCCTCTTCTAGAAACAGGTGGAAGCAGATGCAGAAATCCACAACTAAGCAATGAACCAATCTCCTGGAATATAATCGAAGTTAGGGAGGAACCATAATATGAACAAAGGATTCAAGACAATGATGGGGGAAACCCATGGAATCAGCTGACCCAAGCTAATGAGAAATCACTGACTCAGGTCTAACAAATGGGGAACCTGCATAACACAGAACTAGAATCCCTTAATATAGGTGACAATGGTGTGACTGGGACAATATATGAAGCCACTGGCAGTGGGTTCAAGATCTAACACTAATGCACAAACTGACTTAGTGGAGTCCATCCTATATGGAGAGATACCTTGTCCAGCCTAGACACAAGGGTGGGGGTGGAGAGGTGCCTTGGTCCTGCCTCAAGGAGATGATGGAACAGACTTAGTAGACTTCCTAGGGGAGGCCTTACCCTCTCCGAGGAACAGATTGGGGGCGGGTGTTGGGGAAGCAGGAGGAGAGGAGGGCAGGAAGAAAGGAGAGAGGGGTAACTGGGATTGGAATGTAAAAAGATAAATTAATAAAAAAAGAAAAGAAAAAATGGTGCAAATGTTCCAACCTGGTACTCAGTCAAGTGGCAGAAGCCAGGGGAGGCCTGAGGGAGGAGTGGATTCCAGAGTGCTACAAGGACAGCATTAGCTTGGTAGAGCCATCAAGAAGCCCTACAGACTGACTTAAAGATGGCCTGATCTCTGACCCCACAGGCTCCTGAGTACCACCACTGCAAAGTTCCTGGGTTATTCTAATGTGTGCTCTGCATGATGTGAAGATAACTCAAAAGATCTCCTTCAAATACTTACATTTCTATCATTGAACAGACAATCCACACTTTGCAAGGGGCAAAATGGGTCAAACTGTTTATGACATTGCCCTGTTGATGGATTCCAAAGCAAAGACTCTCCAGTTTCTTGGGTCAGTACATAAGCCACATGCCCCTGCAGAAGGAAAATGGTTCAGTCATCTTTGCTGTATTTGTTGGCTACCTTCTATATAATTATTCTGAGATTTAAAAAAAAATTTAGGGAGAGGGTTTAAAAACCTAGCAGCAAAAACAGAACAAACAAGAAACTCTGAAAAAACAAAAAGCCCAAATCAAGAAAGTTCCAGAAATCCTTAGACCCAGATACTATGAATATTTAAATTTAGAAAAGAAGTGACACCATTGGAGGTTCTGTAGGGTACACTGATGGCAAAAAAAAAAAAAAAAAATGTTACTCTAACAAAACCAATATACTCTGATGACTCTCTAACTGTCCTAAAGCATTTTGTGACAGCATCACTTTTGTCTAATTTATCCAACCGACTATGGGAACTCACTTTGATTATAATACACTTGGAGACTAGGACTAGGCAGTATAGGGGAAGATAAACCGCCTAAGGCTAAGGGAATCATTAAATGAATTTAAAATCCACTAAACTAAAATTGAAAGCTAGACTTGGAACTAGAAGCTAAAGTATACAGGGAGGCAGTCTAATGAATCAGAAGCCCTGGGCTCAGTGGGTAAAGACATTTGTCAGGCAAGGCTAGTGACCTGAGTTCCGTCCTGGGAACTCATGTCAGTGCAGGGGCAACCCCACAGAGTTCTCCTCTAACCTTCACGGGTGCACCTTGGCATGCTGACCCCCCATGTACACACTAATAATAATAAATACGTACTTAGAAAAGATACTGAGAGTTAGTTCTGGGGCCAGTGAGGAGGCTCAGCAGATAAAAGCCTGCTGGCCTCATCCCAGGAGCCTTTGCGAAGGCGGAAGGAGAAAACACCCTACAGTCTTCCCATGAACGTCTCGTGGGTGCCATGTGCCTCCTCAATAATAAGTACAATTGTGGGCTGGAGAGATGGCTCAGAGGTTAAGAGCACTGACTGCTCTTCCAGAGGTCATGAGTTCAATTCCCAGCAACCACATGGTGGGTCACAACCATCTGTAATGAGATCTGGTACCCTCTTCTGATGTGTACATGGAGGCAGGGTGTTGTATTCTAAATAAATAAATCTTAAAAAAAATAAAAATAAAGTAAAAAAAAATAAGTACAATTGTACTTTTTTTCAAAAACAGTTATTTTGCTGCATATGTAGTATCATTTTAGTGTTGACACTTTCTCAGTAAAAGTAGATAATTCAAATAATTGTTTAGGCTAAGATTCACATTGATTTTCTTTTTAATTCACTCTCAATTCTGGGAGGGTGGAATGTTTATTTCTCCCCTCTTTAAGGAGAAACCAGAGTTTGCGGGGGCTATGGTGATGGGGAGAGGCAGGATTCCATCTGAGATTAGGACCCGAGAGACAAGCAAAGCTGAGCTCAGACCAAGTAAAGCTGCTGGGTGTTAACACTAGTCCCGATCCCAGCCAGGCTCAGCACTGCTCTGTGTTGTGAACCCTGGTGTTAACACTAGTCCCGATCCCAGCCAGGCTCAGCACTGCTCTGTGTTGTGAACCCTGGTGTCCCTAGACTCTGGTCCAGAGCTCTTGTTCCTCACCATGCCTCCCCATAGTGAGAGGGGGCTTCACCCCTACCACAGACCTGAGGTGAAACCAGCCTGCTAAGGAGTTCCTTCCCCATACGAATAAATGTATTTATTAAGATCTAGTTGTGTGAGCCTAGCCTTTAACGGCTGAGCCATCTCTTGTGAGGTGCACTCTCACCCTGAACTCTTGGGGAAGGGTCTAGGCCCTGCCCTATATGAAATGACAGACTATGGACACCTCCATGGAGGGCCTCACCCTCCCTGGGGGAATGAGGGGATAACGGGGGGAGGGGGGTTAGGGGGAGGGCACGGGAGGAGGGGAGGGAAAGGGAGAGGGACCTGGAACTGACTTATGAAGCAACCTTGTTTCTTATCTAAATTTAAACTGGAAAATAAAATAAAATAAAAAAAGAAAAAGGGAGGAAAAAAAAAAAAGATCTAGTTGTGTGTTTACTGCCACCTAGTGGCACTTGCAACCACAGCAGGGGATCAAATGGGGCATTAACAAATTTGACAAATAATAAGGGATGGCAAGGGAAGCTGGGAAATAAGACATAGTGACAGAACAATAACAAAAAGTCAGAAGGCAAGACTGGAAATGCTGACATGTGGACAGATATCCATGTAGGGCTAGAAGCAGTCCAAAGGACAGCTCCTGGAAGGACGTATTCAGAAATACCTAAATTGGGTTGTAAAATGTTTCTTATCGGTAAGGATGCATTTCTGATCAGTTCTTGTAAGTTTAAATGTTTGAAGACACTTTTGGGATGTTTTTTCAGGGTCTTCCAATGTAGTATCTGAAACCCAAAATGATGGTGGTGGATGAGGACGGCCAAAATTCCATGCAACTGATGCTGCATAACCCCTGACCCCACCCATTGCACATATGCACTAAACCGCTGCCGTTGGGTGACATAATTTAGTAGTTCCAGTGGCCTTATCAGGCAGCACTGTTTTGCTAGCAGAAAAAAAAGCTATTTTTTTGCACTGCAGAAATTTTGGTGATCCACCATTATCCTCAAGTCACAAACGTTTGCCTGTGAAACTCTCTAGCTCGTTGGAACGCCATTAAATAGGGAGCTTAAGTCTGGTTTACTTTTGTTCACATTTTCCCAGCACTTACTTCTAGGACTGAGGTCCCCAGTAGCACCAGCGCCTTCTTTCCAAAGTACAGAAAGAAATTACAGAGGAGTATGGCATGTTCTTCCTTACTTCCAATAGCCAAACTAATGCAGTACTGGGCAAAAGAAAAGGAACAAGAATAATACAATATATTCTGAAAGGAGGAGAAAGGAAAGTCAAGTGGACTAAACCATGCAGAGCCTGGCACTCCCTCAGTCTAAGTGTTGACTCTATCAGCTGCTAAAAACAAAACTTTATGTACTGGCTTCAGTGAGGCATAAAATGAGGGGAATAGTAACTTAGAACAGCAGGCCACTCTATATTACATAGAGAGGCCAAACAATTTATATCCAAAATGAGGCATTTTTGTTGAGAACAAATATTATGCTTCCCTGAGCTCCCAAGGAAGTATATCTGATAAGGAACCACACAGGATTGGGGGGCAGGGAGCTACAGTCTTCCCTGTACCAATATAGTATTTGACTCAAAGAAAGGAAGGAACATGGGTTAGAGGATGCCTAATTAAGAAGCATAATAGAGCCGGGCGTTGGTGGCACACACCTTTAATCCCAGCACTCGGGAGGTAGAGGCAGGCGGATCTCTGTGAGTTCGAGGCCAGCCTGGTCTACAGAGTGAGTTCCAGGACAGGCTCCAAAAACAATACAGAGAAACCCTGTCTCGAAAAACCAAAAAAAAACCAAAAAAAAAAAAAAAAAAAAAAAGAAGCATAATAGAAACTTCTTTACTCTAAAGTACCTAACAGCTGAGCTCCAGGGAAAAGATCAGACACAGCGTGCCAGGTGCGACTGTATAGCAAGCAGGGATGGGGAAGGCAGGAAAGGCAGTCTGGGGGCCTACAGCTTTGTTCACTTCCTAGAATTTGTTTGTTTTATGTTTTGAGACAGGGTTTCTCTGTGTAGCCCTGGATGTCCTGGAACTTGCCATGTGGACAAGGCTGGCTTTGAACTCACAGAGATCTGCCTGCCTCTGCCTCTGGAGTGCTGAGATTAAAAGCACGTGCCACTCACTATGCCTGGCCTTAGTCCTTAAATTTTTTTTAAAAGGAAAATTTTGGGTAAAACTCTGGATTTCTGGCTTCTGTTGACAAAATTCTAAAGATGTGGCTTAAATGTTTAAATGATGGCTAGCTGTTAGGTCTCTCGGACTGTCCAAATATCCAGAAATGAGCTCAAACTTGACTACAGGATTTCTGGTGCTGAGATAAAAGCCAGCATTCCTCAGGAACTGTGAAACTTGTTCCCGTTTGCCAAAGGGGCCATTTCCCTCACCTCTGGCAGAAGGGACACATGGCTACCTGAAGTACCCACCACTAAGTCAGAGCACATGCTTCCTCCAGGCTCCCTCAATATCACAAGCACCTGTCACACATTACAAAGTCCACGCTAGCATCCTAGCCCTTCTCATCCCCTCCCTACCCTAATCTCCCTCCAGCTCATGGGCTTCCCTCCTTGGAATATTCATCCTTCTTATAACCTGCCTGTTCCCACTATTCTCTCTCCTATGTACTTACTCTCTCTTATTCCCACTAGCTCTCTCTTATTTTCACTATTCTGTTACTCTCTATCTCCTGTTATTCTCCCCTCTCTCGCAGATAGTCCTGGCCATGTCCAGTTTGCTGGCCATGTTCAGTTTACTTCTTTTTCTCTCTGCCCTGAACTCCTTCAGATGGCTCCGGCTGTTCTCTCGTGTCCACAGTAAAAGCCTTAACTATATCATGGAGCGGCCTTGTCCATGTCGGCAGCTTCTTGGCTGCGCACCCTAGCGGCAGTAGCGGCCTGGTGTTGCGTAGCTATGGTAACAAGCAGATGAGACACACTCTCCACATCATTACAGCCCCAGAGAAGGCCAGGCTGATGAGGTGGGATGAGGAGGCCGGCAAGCTGCTCCTGTTTATTCGACAGCATGGAAATATGTTATGGAAGCATAACAAGAGATACAGCCACACCAGTGTGTACTGGCTGCATCTGACAGTCGATGGCAGGGTTAGAATAGACCGGAAGGAAAGGCGTTAGCCGAGAGGAATCTCAAACACGCGGTAACTAACACCTTCCTTAGCCGCACTGTTGGGTCGGGGGAGGTGGGGCTCAGGGTGTGACCATATGCTAGTTTTCAGCTTTTAATGTTCAACGAGACCATAATACCCTCGAACGTGCTTTGAATAGATAGTCTCAAAAGCATCTAGGCTAAGTAACAGCACTCTGACTTCTGCCAGGTTCCAATTGTTGGGCTGGAACCTCTGGCTCCCTTCTGCTTCATCCAGGAAGCCTCATTCTTCCCTCTCCAGGCCCCGCCCTCTCAGAAAATCTCCAACAAAGAAAAAGCGAAGAAAACTGTTACTCCGTGGTGGCTGCCACGGGGGCTCCTCCCCTGAAGTTGCCAGCAGCCCATGTTCCCGTCTAAAAGAGTACCATACTTGGGCACAACCCCAGCTTATGGAGGACTGGTCCTCAGTCCTCACCTGCCGGGTATTTAAGTTCCCTCCTTGAGTTCAGGTGCACGATTTCTCCTGCCCCGATCTCTGGGGGATAGAGGACTCAGCCGGAGTGGCTTCACTCAAACCCGTTCTTTTACTTTTTCAATTCTTGATCTGGCTTACCGTGGAAAAACCTACTATTGAGGTTCAGAAAACCTATTACCAATTGTTGGATCCTGGGGCAAAACCATCTGCATATGTCCACGTTATTCCCAGTTAGTAGGAGGCAGGAAAGCCAACTATTAAGTTAGTTCTGTATATCTTAGTCCATTTTAACCCAAATCCAAGTCCTTCAAGAAGTGTAGGTAAGTGAGATACAACTGCCCCAGATCTCTCAGGACGTGTGTGTGTGTGTGTGTGTGTGTGTGTGTGTGTGTGTGTGTGTGTCATTACATTTCCCTGGCTGTCCTGAAACTCACTATGTAGACCAGGCTAGCCTCAGACTCACAAAGATCTGCCTGCCTCTGCCTCCTCAGTGCTGGGATTAAAGGTGTTCATCACTACCCAGCTCTCTCTTAGGGTCTTTTATATTTGTATTATCCAATTGATAATATGTATTGGATGTTTACTAAATTTAAATATGAGAAGAAATAAAAACCAAGTGTTCCTCTACTTCAAGGAGATTATAACTGAGATATATGCTTGTACAGTGTGAGTGTGGGGTCAGTTTAAAAGCAACTCAGTAAAAGTTAAGGAAGGATGGAAGAAATACTAAAATTAGGGTTTCCGGGCTTGGAAAAAAGTCATAGAATCCCAGTTAAATGTAAATTCCAGGTGATATTAAGTGTGTGTCCTATATTACACTTGGCAGTCTGTCTGCAAAGAACCAAAAATGGATGCTAGAGAAGAGCACAGCTACAGGAGCTCTCCATCCCGAGGGGACCCTTGGGGGAAGTGACACTACAGGAGCTCTCCATCCCAAGGGGACACTTGGGGGAAGTGGCACTACAGGAGCTCTCCATCCCGAGGGGACCGGGGACACTTGGGGGAAGTGACACTACAGGAGCTCTCCATCCCGAGGGGACCGGGGACCCTTGGGGGAAGTGACACTACAGGAGCTCTCCATCCCGAGGGGACCGGGGACACTTGGGGGAAGTGACACGCTTGCTGTGGATAGCACTCTGGACATTTCCACAGAGACAATGCACACTGCTCTCTGGAAGGTGTCATGATACCGCACTGCTGAAAGTCCCATGGAATTAAATTACTCACAAGGAATTGCTTTGCATTTTGAAAACAAATCATCTTAGTGATTTATTTCCATAAATTATTAGGGAGCTAGAAAGTATATACAAGTTATCAAACACTTTCACATTTGACAAGGCAGAACACTGCACAAAGAAGTGCTACTTCAAGACAAGTGAGAAATATTACACATTTTAACTATACAATGCCATGTGTTACCTCTGATGTCATCCATATGTCAAAACCATCATTGTCATCCGACGTTTCTGTCGTGAAAGGAATCAAAGATACAAATCGTGCGATGAGGTCCTGGAATGAGATTAACTGACAGTCACTGAGCCCGTCCGTTGTCCAGCATGGATCTTCACAATCATTCTCTCTCAGAGCACACTACGGGCCTCTCAGGGAACCGAGGTCCAAGCTCAGAGTGATGACATAACTAGTGCAGACTCACAAAGGTAATATGCTACTGGAGCCCCTGGGGAGTGAGCCCCAAGTGCCTGAGCCAGAGACCCCTTGCTAGGCATTATTATTATTATTATTATTATTATTATTATTATTATTATTTGGTTTTACAAGACAGGGTTTCTCTGTATTGTTTTGGAGGCTGTCGGTCCAGCCTGGCCTCAAACTCACAGAGATCCGCCTGCCTCTGCCTCCCGAGTGCTGGGATTAAAGGCATGCACCACCACCGCCCGATGACATTATGTTTTATTGTAATAAGTTATTAGGATTTAAAATATTATAACATTGCAGCAATAGGTCAGCATTTTTAGAAGGTGTGAAACAGCGAAGGCTCCACTGGCTCTTGCTTTGGAACCTTTCTCAATTCCTTTTCTTATAAACTTACATTAAACTGCCGCAGCCGGAGACAGAGGTAATCTGCTTCCTCGACAACAGAAGTCACACCGAGGATTTCCCCTCCCCACTAGAATGCCCCATAATTCTCCATGAGCACAGGAAAGTAGCCTTAGCTTCATGCACTCGAGTCACACGCCCCACAATGCTCCATGATCACTCGAGAATACCCAAGAATACCGTCAGCTCCGGGGCAGTGGGTGTTAAGACCAACTGGCATGAAGAAACCCCAATGGGAAAGCAGGATACAGTAAAAACAACCTAAACCCAGGCTTTGAATTTTAGCCCCAAGGGTCCTGTGAAGAAAGCTTTGTAACTTACAAACAACATAAACTGTCTGAAGAGAACAAGCCACCTAGATTGATCCCAAAATAAAAGATACACTTGATTCTTCACACAAGCTCTATAATCTCTAAGAAACCAAAAGAAAAAAAATCATCACTCACAAGGGTCGCATTGGAGTCATGAAGAAATATATCTAGGAGTTGCTGTGGTGGATTCAACGCCTTGATGTATCTTGTGACAAAGACCTGCATCCCTTCACTGTTAAAAACAGTGGTCACGACTCTTCGGTTGGGAAACATGGCCTTACAGTTCCTGGTAAAAGTCTGTGCTCGCTGCAAAATGTCTATTTGATCTGAAAACTGGAATTAGATTTTAAAAAGTTCAACACTGCGCCGTTCCCTTCCCCCTTAGAAAATACAAGGAAAACCAATGTTTACTTCTAGTAGTTTTGGAATTGCTATTGGTTTTTTTAAAAGTTTACACTTTTTTTAAAATATAATTTGTTTCAGAATAATTTGGTTTGAAACCTACCTCATCTAGTTTCGGATTGAATGTGATATATGATATCTGAGGTTCAATTGTAGCAAAAATATTTAGGAAGGTACATTCTTTCGGGTTCTGTCCACTGCAGTCTTCTCTAGGAGGGACGTAAGTGTTACTCCAGGTGTACCCAAGCAAAATGGGCGGGATGTTCACTTGAAATGTTCCGCTAATCTGAAAGAACACGTGATGAGAATCAACACCAGCCAAGCCTGTGTTCCAGATCAGTCTCCCCTAGGAGAGACGGGCTTACAGGGACATGAGCTCCTACTGAGAATCACAGGCTTTCTGGGGTGACCAATGGGCACTCATGACTGTAAGGATTCAAGCATTATGCTGGCCTGCCCCTGTCACCTGGCAGAATGTACTCAGGTGGTACCCTGGTCAACCCAGGTACAAAGGACCCCTTTAAAGAAAGACCGCGCCTACTTCTGCTTTCTTCTCTTTCCCGATCTCTTCCTGCTCTCTCTTTCCCTCTCCCCCTCTCTTTCCGCTATTGTCTATGATCTCTTTCTTTAAAATAAAAAAAAAGTTTTTGTTAGCACCATGATGGAAGGGCTGTGGTCACACAAATAAAATGTAAGTCAGGTCAGGATGGCTGAGGAACTCCCTCCCTGACACAGGCGGCGGCTGTCTTGTTTCTGCGTCTGGTCCCCACATAGCTATGCAGCTGGAGTTGTAGCGAACAGTTCGCAACTCTGGGGATAGAAGACAGGTAGTGAGAAGAGTGGAGCAGAATAAAGACGGCTTGGGTGCTTGGCAGTACCCTTGAGCAGCTGCCCCTGGCGCCTAGACTTCTTTACTGGGAGATGAGCAGAACCCTGACTTCCATCAGCCACGCTTGGGTTTCTGTTGTACCTGGCCTAATCAAGTCCTAACTAATGTACACATGGCTCATATTCACTCAAACGCCCTCAAATACCTGTGAAATTCATTGAAATATTTACTTCAATGAGTCAAACATGTAAGAAAAAATGTAATCAAACTTTTCTTTGGACTATCAGCTCACAGTATTGACATGGAGACTTATGATTTATGAAAGCTCGGCCTTAGCTCAGGCTTGTCCCACTAGCTCTAATAGATTAACCTGCTTTTATTAATCTATGTTTTACCATGTCACTTTTAGCTTTCATTCTGTATGTCTGACTCCCTCCATGTGTGGCCTTTACCTTTCTTTCATTCTGTATGTCCAGCTCTCTCCATGTCTCATTAGCATCTCCTCTACACCTTGATTATCTCCTCCTGCTTCCTCTGTCCAGAAATCCTGCCTATACCTCCTGCCTAGCTATTGGCCATTCAGATTTTTATTAAACCAACCACAGCAATATATCTTCACACAGTGTACACAACCAAACAAACACGTCACTAAAACACTCTCCTCTTCCCCTACACCTCCATGGCCCGGCATGCCAGGCAGGGGAGGTCCTGATACTCTTTACACTCACAGGACCTACCCCACATGCCACCAAAACACTACAGCACAGCACACGGCACCAAATGTTCACACCCCTCACCCTGACAATGAACTTGTGGCAGGAAATTCACTTCTGACTCTTCAAATCCTCAGTGTTTGGCATGGCTTCGGGGTTTTGGGTACCTTGCTTAAGATCTTTCAGTAAGGAAGTATCTGAACCTAAGTGGAGCCTGGACTGGAGTTCACACTCGCTGGTCATGCAGACTCATTGCTGCCAATGACCCTAAACGTCAGAGCCCCCGAGGGTCTTGCAGAGGCCAGTTCTCATCATTAACCTGGCCTAACTGATGAGCGAGGCTAGTTAGACAAAATTCTTGGCACCTGAGTCTGGCCTTCAAAGGCCTTTATGCAAATACAAATTTTGCTTTATGACTTAGGACTAGATTTTTTTTCTCTCTGTCTTAGTAAACACTTTAAAAATGCAAGAGGTAAGTTTACAGGTATTTTCTAGCGACAGTCACACTCTGTAAGCACTCTAAACCCCAGAGCACTTGGGGTTTATTTTAATAGGGTCATTTTACTAGCCACATAACCTGTCAGTCACAGACTCTGACTGAAAAACATCAGAAAGTGCTTTCAGTAACAAAGAGCTTTTCTGTTACCTCAGACTGTTGCAGAAGGGCTGAGAAGGGGAAACTGATGGAGCCCAGCCAGTTCTTTTGTATGTAAGTGTGAGCACTGCAGCTCTTGAGACAATGGTCCTGTTAAGAAAATTTAAGGTAAACTCACACAATGGCTCCTGTAAGATGGATACTTTTACAAACTCTTAGGTAGCTGTAACAAACTGTTCTTTTTGTCCTTTCTCTCTCTCTCTTTACTAGGGTATGTTAAAGGGCAGCCATGGAGCTGGACCAGGGGCTCCACAAAACTGGAAACAAGGAAATAAATGATATGATTGCTCTTGCAACTAAATGATGCTATTAAAATTTAAAACTGCATTGAAACCTCTCAAACATTTGAAAATGTAGCAGCATAGTATCCAAAAAAATGCAGACTAAGGAAGAATACATAATGAAAAAAACATACGCAGAAAAAAATGCAAATTAAAAATAGTAGATAAATGAGGAAGAAAATATGCAATCTGAGATAGTTTGAAGATGAGGTCATAGTTTTAGAATGTTCAGTTCCCAGCACCCACATCAGGCTACTCACAACCACCAGTAACTAACTCCAGCTCCACGGGATCTGACATCCTTCTGGCCTCTGCATACACAGGCACATAAATGCACATGGACACATAAATAAATAGTAACATAAGCCCTTTAAAAAAAACGGATACAAACAATAAAATCAGAAGAAAAAATAGAAGCACTTGGATAGTCACGACTAAGAGGCTCACAGTGTATTAAGGATTAGAAGACCACTGGAAATGATATGCTAATCAAAGATCTTTCCAAAGGATCCATCCCTTCCTCTTCTTTGTCCTTTGTTCCCACCCTCCACACCTGCACCCCTCCCCTGTCCTCTCTCCACATTTGCCCCACCCTGCTTTCTTTTCCTAAGCATTTAAACCATCATCTGAACACTGGATTCATCTTAAGTTCTTTCTGTGGCTGTCATGTTTATGTTATAGTTTTAGTTAACCCAGGCACAAGGCCTGGAGTGCCCAACCCCGCTACAAAAGCAGCTGGCAACAGCTCTGCCATCTCTAGTGTTGAAAAATCTGTGGTGTGTCTGTGAGACTTGTAACAAAGGGGAGACCCATGGGGAATAAGAAAGATTTGGTAATAGGAAGAAAAAATACAGGAGGAATGAGAAGAGGCATTTATGAACAGAATAGTGATCAAGAATAAACACAAACTGTCTTTCAAATGGGTGCTTATCTTGTCACTTATTCTCATCTTTTATGGGAAAAATGGAATGTTTAGTCTACAGTTACCTACAACACAGTCCATGAGGAAAGGCCAACATGGACAGTTTCCTCTTCTAAATAGAGTACCAACATTATCCCAAGCACGTCTTAACACCTGACACATGTAAATTGAACCCATAACAATGCAAAGCACTTACAGGAGTTGAGTGTCAGTCAATGTATTCCCATATGTCAAATCAAGTACTGAGATAGAATCAGAAAGGCGTGGGTCCTTGGATGTAAGTCATCAACAAATGGTCACTTAAGACCTTCCCTCAGCCTCTATTAAGAGTCCACTTAAAGTTTACCCGTGAATGTTTGTTCGCTCTTGGAAAGCTGGCTTGAAGACATTGCTGCTAAGATTTTTCCTGGTCATTTAACCCTGAGCACTGAACTGCAAGGTCTCACCCATTCTCTGACCTAGAGCCTCCATCCCCAAGATAGAATCATGTCTCCCTTCAACAGAACTGTGATAAGAGGGCCAGTTCTTCAGGGCATTCTCTAACAGAGCATTCTGCTTTCCCTTCCTGTCGTCCTTTTTACAAGCTGACTGCACACCCCATGTCAATCCTTTGGCAAGGTTTGTCCCTTTCCCTGGCATTCTAACTTCTAAAGTATGAGTGTCTAATTTTTTGATGTGGTGTATGGTGTCATCTACAAATGGGTGAAGGCTCATCATAACTATTCCAGGATGTGTGTGACCTGTGGGTCACAGGTTGGACATACCTAGAAAAGAAGGCTCATCTAAATGGCTAAGATACTAAATAATACTTCTTTCAAATTAGATTAATAATGGGCGGTGGTGGAGCACACTTTTGATCCCAGAACTCGGGAGGCAGAAGCAGGAGGATCTCTGTGAGTTAGAGGGTGACTTAGGTAAACTGCTGAACAGTTTAACTCTCGAGGTGGGAGTGGGGGCAGCAAGATGTCTGTCTAAATAGAACTACAGGAGATAACATCAGGTGGCTGAGAAGCACCACAGTGTGTCAGAGGAGAGAAAAGAGATACTTTGGATGACAGAGACGCTAACTCAGCATGTAGCACACCAGCTATCATTTCACAATGCGTCCTTCCCTCCTGAGAAAGCTGAGTCCCTCAAGATTAAACTCTGAGGTGACAAAGGCTCCAGCTGTCCTGATTTCTTTCTATCATCTCCCATCTCCTGGCTTTCAGGAAGTGAGGCGGGTGAACGTTACACCAGCAATTGTTCCAATGATTTTAAAGCCATTTATATGAGAGCATTTAACTTGCCTACCCGGAGACATCAGCTATGGTGGATACATGTCTTTATATTTTCCATGTCAAGCTAATGGGAAGAAAACTGACACTTACTACAGAGCTTGATATGGTGCTATGCATCGGATTAGGGCTTTTCGCTAATGTACAGGGAAAACATTAATTTTAGAAATTACAGAAGACACCACAAAATTCTGGACCTAAAATAACCTGGTGTCTTGTGTAGAGTGGTATACTTTCTTTGGTCAGATAACGAAAAATATGTGAGGTTTTCTGCCTATCTGTCTGCCTTTACTACTAAAAAGTTCATATTTAAATGTAATGTTCAGTCAGAAGCATCTGCTTCTCCCAAGTCCTGGCCTGTTCACCATCCTTCCTCCTTATAGGTTGCTATGATGTGTTATATTTTAAGTAGTTTGTCATATGTCTGACTTTATTGTACATGGACTTGAACCCTTTTAAGAAAACATTACATATATCACATTAAAAGCAAATAAAACTAAGTAAGGAGGCATATATACTGGTATAGGACTGCTACAAGTTCAAGACCACACAGTGACTTCAGGACAGCCTGGGCTGCGGTGAGTCCCTGTCTCAGAAACAGACAACAAAGTAAGTTTACAAATATGTTCCGCGATTCCACTCAGTTTGACCTCATAGTTATTTCAACAATAACCAGATATTTTCCTACATTACCTCATGTTTTTCAATTAGCACTTCATCAAAAACATTGATATGTATATTATCCTTTATTTTCGATAAACTAGAGAAGCTGTAGTCATGTCCTGGTGAGCTGAAAACAAGAAAGCACACTTGAATGTTTAAGGTTTTTCAACATCCACTTATTTTCTAAGCACTCCATTGATAAAGCATAAGAAATTATCTATGATCTTTTCCTTTGTAAAGTTTAGACTTAGAAAAAGCTATATGCCTTTAAGTCTGGCTTCTCCTGTTCAGTAGGACGAATGTGTGTATTATAATTAACCGTATATTCCTCATAAGATGAAAATAAAAGTAGACAATGGCACTGGTTCGCCTGGACATCATGTAAATCGAAATGAGCAGTCAGAGAAAAACAGTGCTTGGCACTGTGTATCTCAAAGAGAAGTCTCACTGAAATGACCAAGACTCCAGACGGTCCGTTTTGGATTTACAATTCCCAGACCAGTTGGTGATCAGCACATTATACCAGTGTGTAACACTGTTCTTTATGCCTTAGTTATATGCAACAACTAATGCAAAACATGGGCATTGCTGTGGGGTTTAACTTGTAGAAAAGTAGTATGCCTCACTGAAGAAAATCCAGGAATTAGTTCCAGGAGGTCAGGTCAACCTGGCAGCACATAAAAAGGAAATACTTGCCCAGGGTGATGGTGGCCCTGCCCAGCATGTAGCCTTCTTGCTCCTGACAGCTTTCCCTGCCTTTAAGAGACCTTTGTACCCTGAGGTTCCCAAGATAGAGCTTTGATGATAACAACTCCCCATCCCAGGATGCCCACAACCTGAGGTTCCAGCTACTGACTTTTGTGTGACAAGCAGCCCAGCCCCTTGACTGGCAATATTTTCACTTTTTACTGTACAATTGCCACTGCTACTGATGTTGTTAAAGATTTTTCTTGTTTTGTTTTGATGCAAGTACCACTCCAGGGAGTCTCCAATAATGCCTGTACTTTTCTGATAACGGGTGCTGGCAGTAAGCAACGAAAAACACCGTTTGAGTTCCTTGACAATTTTTAAAATGAATACTCCTTATATTTCCAAGAAATAAACTAATTCTACTTTGTTCCCCCTGGGGTTTCATTCCATGGTAGGAATGCCCAGGCCAAGGCAAGGGAGGCTGTGTATATTTTGCCACAATTCCTCCTCCAAAGTAGAGCTCACTAATTATTCTTTATTTACTGTCACTAAATGTTACATTTGCATGTAGGTTTTTTTTTTCCCTTTTCCAATGCTAGGAATTGAACCCAGAGCCTCATGCATACTGGGCAAATACTGTACCACTTTACAGTTCTGCATGTGGTTTTTATCATCAGAATGTCACAGGGACCAAGGATTTAGAACAGAATCTTCTATTACAGACAACAAAAAATAATAGTTGGATCGTTAGATGACTGTCATGGCGCAGGTGTTGGGTTCACAAGGATCCATGGAAAGCAAACCCAGAGGCATCTGAAGAATAACTTTAGCCTTTCTAGGCTGCAGGGTGACTCCAGTCTCTAAGGACTGAACAGCTTTCCCTTAACTCAGGGCTTCTTTTATTGTTCTCCAATTTACACCTTAGCAAGTTCATTTCTATAGCCTCAAAACATCCTGAGGAAAGCTTCCGAAGGGACCATGGCCAAGTGCAAATTCTCCACTTAGGAAACCCACCAACCAAGTTTTGCATAGGCTTTGTATCCCTTGGGAAACTCTCAGGCAAGATTCATATAGGGTAACAAGGAAAACAAAAGGTGTCTGATAAACAAAGGATGGATTAGGGCTTGGTGCTAGCTAGCCCCAGGGGAACGCTGCCACAGGTGACTTTCTGGTTTCTTCTGCATTTTTTGGCAGAACCACAAAATTGTCAGTATTCTATGTTAGTATATTATTCTATTTAGTTTACTTACAAATTTATCTTTTGTCCTCCTAATCAAATTACTTTAATGTAGTGTATCTAGCTGGGCATGTGACTATAATCTGAACACTCAGAATGCTCAGGCAGAAGGAACAGGAGTTTAAGATCAGCCTCATCTGTATAGTGAAGCTTAGGCCCATCTGGGCTACATGGCAGGACCTTGTCTTAACAAACAACCCCAAAGATTAAACTCCAAACTCGAATGTATAAATTAATAATTCAAGTATCTTCAAACACACATGATCATCTACACTACTTTACTTTTCCAGCAAAGACATTTTCTTTTCATTTTCACCCCCACTTGTCCTACTCCTTCTCCCTCCTCCCCTCTCCCTCCCCCCTTTCTCTCATACATCCCGGTAAGTGTCTGGTAGCTTTCACTTTGAGAGAGGAATCTTGGGTAAGAAAACGCATATAGCCTGCACTATGGTACCACAGGAAGTATGTAGATAGCTATGACAGTTCTTCTGTGTTTCCATGTGTGTCAACGTGGGGGCCAGATAAAACATATCAATAATATAAAATCATGTAAATAATCACATACAATGATTATAATGTCATGTGAACTATGAAGTGATACTACATTATAGGAATAAAAATTCAATTTTCCCACTCCTCAAAATGAAGTTATATTGTTTGAGAAGTGTTTAGGTGTCTAGCAGCTATGGACACTTGATCATGAAGAAAACAGGTAAATGTGTGCCTAGCAGGAAAACACAGCAATATCAGGGAAACTAGACGTGGAGTCGGACCTATTTTTATTGGGTTATGTGTGGGGTGCCTCTAAACAAACTTAGTTGTGGGATTATTCGAGCCCATATTCATTTTTTCCTCTTTTAAGCAAGCAGAAACATGGGGACATGTTTCTTCTGGAAGTTGAACTCTGATTTATTAACTTTCATTAAAATGTCTTTTACATGCAGGAATCTTGTAGGGAGTGTGGTTTCACTCGTTCTTGACAAAAATGTAAGTAGTCTAAAACATTAATATAAATCGCTACAAGTTTTAAAGGTAGGAAAGCAAAGGAAATCCACAATGATTAAGCACATACATGTTGTACGTCTTTAATCCCAGCACTTGGGAGGCAGAGGCAGGAGGATCTCTGTGAGTTCGAGACCAGCCTGGTCTACAAGAGCTAGTTCCAGGACAGCCTCCAAAACCACAGCGAAACCCTGTCTCGAAAAACCAAAAAAAAAAAAAAAAAAAAAAAGAAGCTGTCTAGAGGACTATAATACCACTGTTTGCAAAGGCAAAAAATAGTGTGGGGAAAGGCAATTAAACAAGAAAGGGTTAAGTAATCATGATGTTTTCACTCAGTAGGAGACTATATAGAAGTTCAAATAAAGGGAAGAAAGTGTCTTAGTCTATTTAATGCAGCAATTCCAGAACACTTGAGACAAGGTAGCTCATAAAGAACAGACTTTTCGCTTTCACAGTTCTGGAAGCTGGGAACACAGACCCTATGCAGTATCTTCTAATGGGGCTTCTTGCTGCCTCTTCACATAGCTCAAGAGAGAAAACCACCTCTACAAGCCCACCCTCCTTTCTATAACAGTATCAATTCATTGATAAGTGCTGGTGAGTACTAGGACAACAAGGTACCATGTGTTCTATAATGATATCCTTGGAACTGAAACATTTCCATCCTAGAGGGATGCTGCTTAAGACTCGTGAAGTAAACAACTCACAAATCTCAGGTAGTCCCTGAACCATACTAGATTCACAAGTCCTACCTCTGAGGCTGTGTAAGCAGTAGGACTGCTGAGGAGAGCAGACTCTGACCCATCAAGCTGCCTGCAGCTTCTACAGAGCACTCCCTCTAGGACTGCCATTTTCCTGAGCCGGCATCCAGGCTGGGGTGGGTTTTCTGGTGATGCAGCTGCCTTTAAATCATGGGGGCTTCCATAAGTAAGCCCTCATCTATACTCATGTCAGTAGCTACGATACACTCATTGGCTTGCCAAGTTGGATTTTGGTAGAATTATTTCTTTGGCCTGTCCTTGGTTCCCTACTCGAAGCCTCATACAACACTCCCTCCCAAGGAAGAGGTGGACAGTTCCTGTCTCTACATATACACTCACCCAAGCATACACGAACACCCTCCCTTACCAAGAGTTACTCTGACTGGAACTGCAGGAAGATGGACTCCAACTTACATGAAATCTACTTTGATTTCTTCATTCCAGCACGGATGGGATCCGCTCGCAGTGTTAGTCTGATATACAATGTGTTGGAAAGAAACTTCTATGAAAGGGTGCACAGTATCCTGAAATGCAGAATAAACACTGACTGGGTTTTTGTGATATCTCCTATGATGGAGAAAAGCAAAAAGTTGGGAGATTATTCGGTCTCTGGTTTCCTTGCTTAGCCGTTGATTTAATGAACATCTATTGGTCTTATTCTATGCCAGGCACTCTTCAAAGATCCAAAGACAAACAGAATTTTACCTTAAAGATTTTCAAGTTTCCCGGGGAAAACTAAACAGACAAAGCAAGCAAGTGCCGTGAGATGAGAGCAGCTCAGCAAGAGAGCCGGGCAGCTGTGGGTTTCGAGAAAGGTGAAGGATCAGATGAGCATCACAGAAGAAACCCTACTTGAGCTCAGGCTGTGAAACACTGCTATGACTATCTGGCTAAGAGCATGGAGATGGGTGGAGGAGGCCATTCCCAGCAAAGGGAACAACCACTGGAAGCCAAGACGGCATGGCTGTGCAGTGGACAGACATGAGAACGGCTGGCAGAAAAAGAGCTAGCCCATCAAAGATTCTGTGTGTGAATGAGGAGCTTATACCTTGTTCTATAGGGGCTGGGAGCAGAGAATGAGATGATCTGAGTTACATTCATAAATGATACCTTTCTTTCGTTAAAGGAAAAATAACTGAAATCTGAAGAATATAGATATAGAGAGACCAGTTGGGAGCCAGGTGCAACTGAGAGCAATCAACCAATATCGGACTTTATAAGATGTTAAGTACCTCATTGAAGAAGTCATTTGAGGCTCTGACTTTCATTGCTTCTTGATGTCTGCGGCAAGCCATGGGTAACCTTGAGTAAGGAGGCATACCCAAAGTCCTTCAGGAAAAACAACATGGAGACATAGTTTTAACATTAGTGTTGGTAAGCATGAGGATTACCCTGGGCCTTACAGAATTTTTTGTTTTGTTTTGTTTTGTTTTGTTTTGTCATATCACGTTGGCAGTCATCACTGCTTTGGGGAAGCAGTTCTTAACTGCTGAAATACAGGCTTGATCTAGTCTGTGATAACCTGCTCTCTAGTTTTCAGCACCAAGGGTAAAATGAGCCAAGTGATATTTGGGGAATATAGCCTTCCTACTTTTTTTTTGGTGTTAGAATATTTTCTTCTGCAGAATGATAGCCATAGAAAATAATAGCAATTTTATGTCCTTTCTCCACAAACAGCCATTAGGAGGTACATTGGTTGTGAAAATAATTAATCATATCAAGGAATAAGGGTGTCGTTCATAAAACAAAGTCAAAACCTTTAAAAGGTTTTAAATACAAAGTAACAGCCAGTAAGAAAAATGTCTGTTTTTCACAGATAGAATCTGGGAATTGTATTAAGCTGAAAAAAGCAAGCAGAGCACCTATATGGTAAACAGGAAAGAGGAAATACATGATATTCCTGGGGCATTTGGATAGTAATATTCATATTTATCAACCATCGTTGACCCTACATATCTAGGATACTTTTTTTTTTTGGTTTTCCGAGGCAGGGTTTCTCTGTATTGTTTTGGAGGCTGTCCTGGAACTTGCCTCATAGACTAGGTTGGCCTCAAACTCACAGAGATCCGCCTGCCTCTGCCTCCCGAGTGCTGGGATTAAAGGTGTGTGCCACCACCACCCGGCTTCTAGGATACATTTAATGAAATGAGTACTTAATATTTACAAAGCCTTAATTTGACCAGTCTTTAGTAGGCAATGTCTACTTTGGTCCCAAGAAATGGAAATAAAGCCGGGCGGTGGTGGCGCACGCCTTTAATCCCAGCACTCGGGAGGCAGAGGCAGGCAGATCTCTGTGAGTTCGAGGCCGGGCTGGACCGACAGCCTCCAAAACAATACAGAGAAACCCTGTCTCGTAAAAAAAAAAAAAAAAAAAAAAGAAGAGAAATGCAAATAAAATGTACTCAGTGCATATTGAAAGATAGGTGAAATCACACTTTGGTGTTTGGCAGTTACCTACAGATACTAAGCAGAACAGGCTGTAGTTGCAGTGACTGACCACACGGGCCTTTCCACATTTCAAGACTTCCTGAAACAAAATGTGTGTCCTGTCACTTTCCTGTCTTTCTGCTCCGACACTCAGGGCACACTCCTGTGACAGTGAATGAAGTGGCTGGCCGCAAAACTTCAAAAACTCACAGTAGGGCTGGAGAGATGGCTCAGAGGTTAAGAGCACTGACTGCTCTTCCAGAGTTCCTGAGTTCAATTCCCAGCAACCACATGGTGGCTCACAACCATCTGTAATGAGATCTGGTGCCCTCTTCTGATGTGTAGATGTACATGGAGGCAGGGTGTTGTGTTTGTAATAAATAAATAAATCTTAAAAAAAAAAAAAACTCACAGTAGGCAACAGTAGCCAGAATTCACTTGGTCAAATGGAAGATGCTCACGTGGTGAATAGCTCCACAGCATACGCTAGGGCTACTTTGGGAATCTCACACCCCTGAAATGTTTTCGCTTGGTTTTGGCAGTTTGTTTTGGGCCACGGCTTTGAGCCCATTGTGCAAACACTCTACCTCTGAGCTACTACAGAAACTTTTAATATGTTACATTGAGAATAGGTTTGACTAACCAAATGAGGGGTTAAAAGCTTACGCATTTTATGCATATGATTTGAATGTAGGGTGTGTGTGTGTGTGTGTGTGTGTGTGTGTGTGTGTGTGTGTGTGTTAGACATTAACCCCACAGCATTGTGTGTCCTAGGGAAGCGCTCTATCACTGAGCTACACCTCCAGGCAGTATGCACTGAAACACTAATGAATGCAAAGTCTCACAGATGAAGTAATGAGGAGTCTTAGCACATTTAAGAGAGATCTTCTGCAACTGCAGACATTGGAGCCTACCACTTTACCTAGAAGATATTTTTTTTCTGATAGGAATGTTGTAGGCCCTCAGGATCCTGACCAGAATCTTGATATCTCCATCAGAGACAGTCTGTGCTGTGACTTTTCTTCTTTCTTTCCTCTGAGGCTTTAACTTCCTTCGTGGTTCAATGAACTTACAAATTACATCCGTCAACTGGCTAAAGAGTAAAAAGTGATCAGTTCTATGTACACAAAATAATAGTGTTTTAAATAAACTCATGTTCTATTTAGGTTTGGGTAGAATGTTCTATAGATGTCTGCTAATCCAGGTACATGAGCTAGCATTTTGGAGCCCATTCCCTATGGTGGGATGCCATGCTCAGCCTTAATGCATGGGCCTACCTCAACCTAATGTGTCAGACTTTGTTGACTCCTCATAAAGGGGGCAGGGAGGTCGGAGGAGGAATGGGAGGGAGAACTGAGTTTGGAATACAAAATGAAATTTAAAAATAATTAAATTATAAAAAAAGAAATTCGGGAGACTAAAGATATGATAAATATAAAACACAAACAAATATACTATGGTTTAAAATAATTGCTAATAAAGCCATTATTCTGAACCATATTGTGTCCATTATGGAAGGGGACAGAGTTCTTTTCAGCCCCAAGCAGACATCATTCCCTGAGCTTGGAAATGAAGCAGTGCTAGGTCCTTCGGGCTGGGAGGGCATATAATTGCGCCAGGTCTTTGGTTGCACACTCCAAACAGAAACCCAAAAGCAGCAAGATAAAGCTATAAAACATTTATCTTTCACCACGATTATTACTATGTTTAAAAGCAAGGAGTCTCTTGAAAATGACTGACTATCCCAGTAGTCTCCTCTGCACTGAATCAGATATTTGTCTATGCTAACAACCTAAATTCACAGAATTATAGTTGGATAGTCACAGCAGTTTCTGCTCAAGGTCTGAAAATACAAGACAGTGGATGTCAGTATCCCACAGCAGCCAGAACCTTACTGGTGATTCTGGGAATTTGCACGTAACCTGGGGGGTGGGCATTAGACTCCCTCCTGACTCTCCCCTTGAGCTTCACAATGGGCTTCACAATGGGTGCTGGAGAATGGGGATAACCCAGCAAAGGTTCTACCACCTGCCTCTGTGCAGCTAAGTGCCCTCGCACCACTGAGGTAGTGTGGGATATTGAATTGTTAATAAAATCCACCCTGGATCAGGGAGCAGAGCCAGCAGCTAGTTGATAAGAACTAGCCATAGGGAATGCTGAAGAGGCAGGAAGATGATCAGAGAAACACCCAAGAAGGAGTGGAGAGGGACTTGGAGTTTTGTGGTCTTTTTTTGGTTTGGGACAACTGGAAAGACACTCTCCTGCTTGGTCTCCAGCCAAAAAAGAGAGTTACCTGGTTGCTTCTTGAACTCTCTGAGCTAGCAGGTTTTCACCCCAACATCTGACACCTGAGTCTTCATTGGTGGATAGAATGACAGAGACTTAGTTAAAAACTACATTTGGCAGCAGCAACAGAGCTAGTGCCGGCAGGACTGGAAATCCCGCCAGGCTGTAGCCTGAGTGGCTGGGGCCACATATGGTGGTTAAAACATCAGTAGATACAGGTGCAGCCACTAAGCCAACAACAACACTGAGCAGTCTCGGGTTTGCAGAGGGAGGTGATAGGTTTATTGTGTTGCTACCAACCCTGGCTCATCTGGTAGCAGTCTTGCAAGAAAACCTTAGAACAACAAAAGAAATGGGACAGCGATGTTCTTTTCTTTTTCTGTCTTGTCCTAGACTACCCAAAAGGAGAGAGAAGCCAACCTCCTCTAAAGTACTGTACAACTAAAATAATGTCAAGTAGATGACCTAAAGTGGCCAAATACGTTTTGTCACCAAACATTATTCTACATTCTGAAACTGTAGTGTTATGGGATACTTGGTAGCACTGTGACACCCTGAGACTATGTTAATAAAGTTAGCCTTGAATAAGGGGGTGGAGCCAGTGTCTATCGGAATGGAATTAGTCATAGAGAAGCCAGGAATATGGATAGAGAAGATGCACAGGAAGGAGTGGGAGGGTCTTAAACATTTTGCAGTCTCTTTAATCTGGGAAGTGTGGAGAAAAGGTCAATTAGTGGTGCCTCTGCTGTTTCTTTGATCTATTAGGTTTTCACCCCAACACTTGACTCCCAAGTCTTTATTGGTAACAGAACAACTTAGATAAACACATCATCTGGCACCCAATGCATGGTAAGCCACCACTTTTCCCACTGCCATAGTCACTGCTCAGGTGGCTTCTCCAACCCCCACCCCCCAAGCCCTCCCTGGAGGTCATGGGTTTTTCCCGTCATGGTCCCCCTGCTTCTGCTCCACAGGCAGAGGCAACACGCACCAGCCACGTGAAACCCATCTGCACTACACCACCTGCTTGGGCTTCTGCTGCCACTAATCCTCCACCCGTGCACACCAGATACTCTGTTCTCGAATGCTTCTGCAGAGCTGCAGCTGCAGGCACTCACCACGGCCTCTGCCATCCTGCTGGCACCACGCCTGCACATACGTCACTTCCTGCCACTCTCCTGCTGTCTGGACAGCCTGCTGCCACCCCCTACCACACACAGTCCCAAGTGCCACCACTGTATCTGGCTGCCCCACACAGCTCTGCCGTCACCGCTGCTGCCGGTGTGGATAAACTGAACAGTTACCAGAATTGTTGAGACACCTGGGAAGTCCTTAAGGGGGAGTTAAGTAATATCGACTCTCTCCCAAATTAAGAATGAAGAGCATCACAGACGGGCGTTGGTGGCACACGCCTTTAATCCCAGCACTCGGGAGGCAGAGGCAGGCGGATCTCTGTGAGTTCGAGGCCAGCCTGGTCTACAGAGTGAGTTCCAGGACAGCCTCCAAAGCCACAGAGAAACCTTGTCTCGAAAAACCAAAAAAAAAAAAAAAAAAAAAAGAATGAAGAGCATCACGATGCAGGTAATGAGGACTCGGTGTAGTACCACAATGGGTGGCTTGAAAATAGAAAAATAAATGGATAATTGACTTAGCTGGGATTGACATAATGTCAATTGTAATTACTATCAGCTTGGTAATTCATATTTTATCCTTTAAAAAGTGGTTTGTTAAATGTGTCAATATAAAAAAATTGATAAGACACAAGTCCTAGAAAGACCTACTAATGAAAATAAGAAAAATATTCAGACACAGACAGAGGAATTTAGAACAAAACCTACCATACCACTGCATGTTGAAACTGAAGAGGGGTGAATCAAAGTTGTTAGAAAACCAATCTTGGTTTATCCAACTGCTATACAAGAATGACAAGCAGACAATAGGCACCCCCGACATTATGCAGAAGTTAAATGGAATCCTATAGAAATGTTAGATTTGAGGTGATTTAAGGAAGTAGTCATTTCATGTGGTTACATATTCACCCTATATGAATCAGATGTTAAATTCCTGGGTAACTCAGAACAGAAGTATCCCCCAAGACTAAAAGATTTAGCTGCAGCAATATTGGAGCTGGTTCTCAGGTACAATGGAAAACATGGTGGAAAGAGGAAACTAGGATCATAGAACAATGAAATAAGCTAGAGGCATTGATATTTTCCAAGATCAGTTTCTTGGTGAAGTATGGTGCTGATTTGCAAAGACAGTTTGAATTTGGTGATTATACCTTGGCCCTATGTCAGTTAACAACTTTGAATGCTTTTGACAAGGCTGAAGAATCAAGAAAGAGGACTGAGTCATTTAGTAAAATTACACAAGGCCCCCAAAAATCATTTACTGACTTTTTTATTTACAAAGATTGATTTGAGCTGGAAATAGAATAGTATCAGATCCAGAAGTCAGACAAATATTAATCAAATCCTTGACTTTTGAAAATGCGAATTCAGAAAGCAAAAGATCGATTAGGTCTTTAAAGGCAAGATCAACACCAATAGATGAATAGATTAGAAAAACATCAGGTATTCAATCTCATGCTTAAGATGTTATTTTCTTAGAAGTGACTTCTAAAATTTTTAAGAAAATTCAGAATGTCAGATGTTTTCATTGTGATAAACAAGGTCATCTGAAAAGGGATTGTAGGCAAGGCTTCCTAGAAACAATGTCTTTTTCTAGAGATAATCCAAATAGAAGGCCCCGGCCTTCTGCAATATGCAGAAGGTATGGCAAAAGCCAGCATTGCACAAATGAAAACAGATCAACAAGGGACAGGCAAGGTAACCCTTTGCCACTGGAAAAATCCTGAGAAGCCTCCCACAGGCCCCAATATCAAATTTGGTTCAATCATTCCCTGTCAGCATTGGATGAACTCATCCACAGTGCAATTAAAAGATTTAATGCCTGTTGTTAAAAAAGAAAAAAAAACCAGAAACATATTGCTTTGGATGACGTAACAGCTTTATTAGATAAGACAAAAAGCTCATGCCGGGTGGTGGTGGCGTACGCCTTTAATCCCAGCACTCAGGAGGCAGAGGCAGGTGGATCTCTGTGAGTTCGAGGCCGGGCTGGACCGACAGCCTCCAAAACAATACAGAGAAACCCTGTCTCGTAAAAACCAAAAAAAAAAGAAAAAAAAGACAAAAAGCTCAGGATAGACCATAAAACAAGTGTTTTTGTCAAACTTCTATAAATGATCAAAAACCAAAGCTAAAAATATAAATAAATGACATTGTAATTGAAGGTTTGGTAAACACAGGTGATAATATAAACAATATTTCACCCAAATCTTGGCATCTAGATTGGCCTCTTCAGGAGGACACAACAACTGTTAGTCTTTCAAAGGTACCAATAGCCTTACTCTTAAAATGGTTAACTAATAAACCTGTCTGGATGAAACAGTGGCCTCTGACATCAGAGGTCCAGGAGCAGCTAAATGTTCAACATATTGAAGCATCGACAAATACTTGGAATTCTCCTACATTTGTCATAAAAAGAAATCTGGAAAATGGAGAATGGTAAAAATCTGAGAGCTCTAAATAAGGTGATTCAGTCAATGGACTTTTTGCAGCCTAGAATCACCTTGCCTTCCTATTACCTAAGGGATGGTCTATTATAGTGATTAATTTAAAAGACTGCTTTTTTACTATACCTTCACAAGAACAGAACAGAGAAAAATTTGCCTTCGTGGTGCCACTTACAATAATTCTCAACCTGTTAGAAGATATCAGTGGAGGAACTTGCCACAAGGAATGTTAAACAGTTGCACTTTGTGCCAATATTTTGTATAACAGCTATTAGAAATAATTCATAAACAGTTTCCTCAATCTATAATTTACCATTGTATTCTGATACAGATACTTTAGAAAAAAAATGTTTGATGAAGTAAAGAGAATTTTGCCTTGTTGGGGATTACAAATTGCTCCTGAAAAAACACATAGAGGAGATCCTATTAATTACCTAGGATAAGATAGGTTTGCAGAAAATTCAACCACAGGAAGTACAAGTCAGGAGAGATCAATTATGAATTCTTCATTAATTTTCAAAATTTGCTGGGAGATATTAACTGGCTGTGGCCCACAATTGGATTAACAACTCAAGAAGAAAGTAATTTATTTAAAAACTTACAAGGTGATAAGGACTTAAATAGTAAAACTGTTAGCTGAGGCTGAAAGAAAATTAGCTCTGGATTTACATGTGGGTCATTTGGATCCAGGGCTTGATTGTATTCTGGTTATTTTACCCTCTACTCATTTTCCCATAGGAATTCTTATGCAGAGAGAAGATAACATCTTAGTATGGATATTTTTGCTACACAAACAGAGGAAAAAATTAAAGATCTATGTAGAAAGGTTTCTGAATTGGTTCTGAAAGGAAAATTGAGACTTCCACAATTAGTAGGAATGGACCCAAGAGAAATTGTAGTATTTTTCACTAATGCTGAAATTTCCTCATTATGGGCAATAAATGAACATTGACATAGTAATTTTTTTTGGGAGAGATCAACAACAAATACCCCAAAAGTAAGAGACTTCAGTTTATAAAAAGAACTAATTGGATTCTCCCTCATATAGTAAAGGGGTCACAATTTATGGAGCTCCTACATTTTATACTGATGCAAATAAATCAGGAAAGGCAGGTTGTAAATCAGGAAAATTAAGTAAAATGGCTCAGAACCCTTAGGATTCAGTTTAAAAATCCATGGGAGAATTCCTACTGGGCTGCACCTGGTCTGGCTCCAGAGTGACCGCACCTAGCCCTAATCCATCCTTTGTTAAGCAGATGCCTTTTGTTTCCCTTGTGCCACAAGTGTGAATCTTGCCTGAGAGTTTCCCAAAGGTACAAAGCCTAAGCAAAACCTGATTAGAAAACAACCCAGAAAACTGTGGTATTTTCTTGTGGAGAATTTGCACTTGGCATTGTCCCTTTGAAAGCTTTCTCAGGGTATTTTGAGGATATGAAAATCAACTTTCTAAGGTGTAAATTACAGAGCAATAAAAGAGGCCCTTGGCTAAGGAAAGCGAATCAGTCCTGAGAGAGATCCTCCTTGTGATTGAAAAGGCCAAATTCATCCTAAGGTGCCTCTGAGTCTTCTTTCTCTGGACCCGTGTGAACCCACACTCTCATCACAACAAAAATGAGAATTATATGCTATTTCCATGGTATTATTAGATTTTCTGGAACCTTTTAATATAATTGCTGACTCTCAAAATGCAGAAAGAGTTGTTTCATGTATAGACAACATAAGCTCATTCCAGATAATTCAGAAATAATTTTGCTACAATTTAATTACAACAAATAATCAGAAATAGAAATAACTTCTGTATATAACACATATCACATCTCAAATGGGTCTACCAGGTCCTCCAGCACAAGGTAATGATGAAAGTAATCAGCTATTGGTAGGAAAAGTGCTAGAAGGCCTAGAATTTCATAACAAATACCATGTTAATAGCAAAGGTTTGAAGACAGATTCTTCTATTACTTGGCAACAAGTCAAGGAAACTATAAGGAAATGTCCTACTTGTTCTCTGTAAAACCAAACTCTACTACCTGCAGGGAGTAACCCAAAGGGCATTCAGAAAACTAAAATTTAGCAAATGGATGTGTTTCATTTTGCAGAGTTTGGAAAATTAAAGTATGTGCACCATACCATAGATACATACTCAGAACTTCAATGGGAAATTGTTTTAAAATCTGAAAAGGCTGATTCTGCAATTACACATTTATTAGAAGTTATGGCAATTATGAGAATACCTGTACAAATTAAGAGTAATAATGCTCTAGTGTATCTCTAGTAAAATGAAAGGTTTTTGGATGTTACAACATAAAGCATATTATAGGTATACCACACAATCTTACAGGACAAGCAGTTCCAGAAAGATCTAATCCCACTTTAAAGGATAGGCTTAATAAATAGTAAGGGGTAATGAAGAACCCCCCCAGACAGATTAGACAGTACTTTAATAACTTTATTATTTTTTAAACACCAATGAGAAAGGAATGACAGCTGTGGAGAGACAGTGGATAATAGAAAAAAAAACTGCTAAATTAAATCGGCCTGTATATTTTAAAGATGTGTTGACCCAGACATGTATTATGTTGGGGGAGAAGTTTTGCTTTTGTTTCCGAAAGAAGTGAAAAGCTATGGATTTCTTTAAAAATTAATAAAGGTCAGATTTGACTGGAAGAAGAACCCTGAAAATCTTAGCTTCAGATATAAAGGAAGAAACCAAGAAAAACTAAAAGATAGGTGACATGTAAGCTGATCCTTTGACATGGGAACAGCTTTGAGAATGGAGGAGATATGATAAATCTTGTTGGCTACAGAGTCCTCATGACTTATTATTAAATGTCATTCTTTCATATGGCATGGGTGGAGATTTAGTTTGCAGTTTGGTTATGCAGTCTAAAAGGACTTATAAAGTTGACAGATGCTTTTTAACTCAAACATAGCCCAGGTGAACCAGCCTCTCAGAATGCCTCATTAAAATTGAAGTTTCCTCAAAAACCTGCTTCCAGACAACTTCAAGATGGCTAGCTGAGACGGTCCAGCCTCACAGACTTCTCCAGTCAGGATTTCAGCTAACTCTCCCAAGACTTGACCATTATCCCAATTTTCTCATGGTCCCTTAAAGATGTTGTAGCCCTCAGACAACAGGAAGTAATTTTAAGAACATGATGCCCACATTCCTGAGAGGTGGGGTGGGTGTTTTTTGGTTGTTCAGTGGGTTAGGTATTTTGACATTGTTTAGGGGAGTTAGTTCCAAGTTGTTATTTATCATGGTCAAGGAACAACAAAGGAGGTTGGATTAGGGAATCTCTCTCTCTCTCTCTCTCTCTCTCTCTCTCTCTCTCTCTCTCTCTCTCTCTCTCTCTCTCTCTCCCTCTCTCCCTCTATCCTTCTTTTTCTCATTTATAGTGGGGAAAAAAGGGGGGATATGGTAATGATAAGATAAAAGGGTAGATTGTTGAATCTACTAAAAAGCAACTCCTAGTCTCAAATATTTTACATTGGTATAGACTTTTGTATATTGATACAAATTTAAGGTTATTTTGTTACAGTATATTGCATATGTGTTTCTACTCTTATTTAAAGTATTGTACACAAGCAGTTCATTTAAAAATATAATGTAAAAGTCCTAGTCCTTGAAAGCTATTATTACAAACTGTTTAGAATAATTAAGAAATGTAGGTTAGCCAAAAGTTAGTGGTGCATGCCTTTAATCCCAGCCTCAGGGAGGCAGACCCAGGTGGGTCTCTCTGAGTTCAAGGCCAATCTGGTCTACAGAGTGAGTTCCAGGACAGCCACAGCTACACAGAGAAATCCTGTTTCAAAAACAACAAAACAAACAAAAAACAACTACAACAAAAAGAAAAGGAAATAAATAGATAAATGCAGGCTAGCAGTTAGTCATCTATAACAATCAAACTTGTACTTATGTTAGGTATTTTTTCAAGGTCAAACATATATATTTAGATTGACAGGTGATCCTCAAAAACACCAGAGATCTTCAGAATATGGCATATAAGATGTTTTAATAACATAAGGCTTTTCATGACAGTGAAACACATCTGCTCCTGGCAGTACCAATCTACTTCAAAAAAGAATGATGGGCACTGAAGAACCTTCATACAGAGTTTGTTTTCACTGTGGCAAAGTTATGCCCTTGCCTTGACTGCTGACAGTATGCTGTCCAAATTGGACAAGCAGGACATAAAAGAAGGCAACTGATGGACTTAGCGAGACAAGGTAGGACAGTTCTTCAATGAAGCAGGACAATTCCTACTTCACAGATAGTCAGATATTCTAGACCTGTAGGCCAAGGATGGATGCTTTCTCTGTCATTTCTATAGTTTTGGAAGTTGTTTGCTCTGCACTTCCTAATTACTCAGGTAATATTTTATCCTTCTTGGGACTCTGATGGGGGTTGAACACAATAGTTATACCATTTTCTTTGTTGCCAAATTCAGAAAAGAAACTTAGCAAAAGATATATAAAGTTTATAAGGTTTAGAGACATAAAAGTTTAATTTGTTATCTAAGAAAATGTCTTAAGGTCTAAAAGGATATTTTTGACTGGTAAACAAGTTATGATAGAAAGTGATTTAGGTATAAAACTTTGGATTCATCAAGATAGACTAGATAATAGAGTAATTTCTCTGTATTTGCCAAATACAAATGTACTGGACATTGTGAATGTAATTCTTACCTGATACTTGTTCTTATTATATATGGTTTTACTGTGTTAGAGTTAAATCCTTTTCTTTTCATTTAAAGAATACTTGATAATTGTTCTTATTGTATATAGTCTTACTGTGCCAGAGTTAAAACCTTTCCTTTTTATTTAGATTAAAAGGGGGAAATGTTGTAGGATATTTGATCACACTGTGACACCCTGAGACTGTGTTAATAAAGTTAACCTTGGATAGGGGGTGGAGCCAGTGACTAGCTGAACGGAATTAGTCATAGAGAAGATGCATAGGAAAGTGTGGATAGAAGGTCAACTTAGTGGCTCCTCCACTGTTTCTTTGATCTGCTAGGTTTTCACCCTAATATTTGACTGCTGAGTCTTTATTTATAATAGAACAACTTAGATAAACACATCACTGAAGTTTAGACATGTGACATAATATTTATAAAATACAGAGAACTCAGAATTATGAAGATAGTAATTAAGGCTTTACTTTCACATTTAGTAATTCTAAAGTACCTTGTAGATACAATTTCTTCATAGTCAGCCACAATATCTGACAAGTTAAATTTGCTGACTTTGATGATTCTTTTCATTATCAAACTTCTCACCTAAAGAAAAAGACAGAAGTTAAAAGAAGCGGAGCTTTTCTGTTTTGTTTTTTACTATTTATTTATTATGTATGCAGTATGCAAATTTCTGCCTGCATATCTGCCTGCAGGCCAGAAGAGGGCACCAGATCTTATTAAGGATGGTTGTGAGCCACCTAACTCATGATCTGTGGTGCCGGAACGAGTCTTTGCAAAGAAAATAGACAGTCCTGGGGTTCATTTCTACAACAACTCCTAGTGACCAACATGAGTCACCCTGATCCAAGACTAGATGACTTGTGCTTGTGTTTCCCTTCAGCCCATCCTATGCTAACTCTAAGTCCCTATTCCACCAGTGTGTCAAGAGAGTCACTGCTGCTGCACACCTTAATTTTCTTCTTTTTAAAATTTGAGTCAGGGTCTCAGTCTACAGCACAGGCTGGCATGCTCTTAAGTGACCCAGGATGTCCTTGAACTGGCAATCCTTACTCAGCCTCCTAAGTGCCAGATTACAGTTATGTACCACTATACCTGGATCAAGCCTCTATTCTTCTACAGACTACCATAGTCTTGGGAAATTCTTCCCTCTCCTCAAACCCTAGTCTTCACAATAGGTTTAGGCTTTCAGATATGTAACCAGAAAGTAGAGCTGGCAATCTGCAGCTCTCTGTCCTGCCACATATCATTCTGGAAACGAGGCAACCTAAAGCTTAGTTTCCTGCTTGAACTGTTTAGGGAGTGGAGTGGTGGCAGAAAATGGACAAAATATCCTGCCACACAGGCAACTGTCCCTTTGAAATTGAACCAGACCTCTCTTCCCACAGGAATTGGCGTCCTGTAGGACTGGGCTCCTGGCTGTTTCTGCCTTAAGAGCTTTAAAACATGTAGATTTCTGTTACCTGGAATGTTATTTACAATTGCACACCCTAAACACACACACACACACACACACACAGGAGAAAAAGACAAAGTTCATATCCTCATTTTCTACTCTTTGCCCTAACATATTTCATTATCTCAGATATGATTTATTTTTATTATATGGCTTCTTCTAGAATATAAACTTCAGGAGGTCAGGACTCATGGCAGATACTCAGTAACAGTCACTGAATAAACAAATTGAAGGACCACTCAGAAGAAATACACTAGCTTCTTAGATGCTACCATTTCTGCAAAACACTATCTATTGATCCTTGAGCCAGCTGGGACTGTATTCCCTACAGATATAGCCCCAGCTTTGGCTAACACTGATGCCAGTCCAACAGCAAAACTCTAGTGCACACAACTCATGTCCCATGGAACTCATATAAAACTCAACAGCACACAGCAAACATTGGCAGTCACTCTAAAGAGGCTAAGGGTTAAGAATCTATAGACCTAAGAGGTCTCTAGGGTAAACATTTTCCATTGTCTGTAATTCCAGTAATAATATGTGAACCTGCCAAACTTGCAGACTTCTCAGCTCACAGTCTTTACGCACGCACACACATTTACGTCTAACTACACAACACCCGGCCTTCCCAAGGTTCCTTCCTAGGATTTGTCTATGTCCTTCAGGCATCCTCAGCAATCAGTCCCTTAGCCTGCAGTAGAGCCAGATCACCTCCTCTTGGATGTAGCAGAAGGGGTAAAATGATAGGAGTTCTTTTTCCTCAGGAGTAAGTACATTTCTCTATTTTCCAATATGGCAAACTCATTATTAGAGCGCACCCTAAGCCTGGTTTTAAAAGTGCAGTGTTAATTAGGATGAGGTAAGAGGATGACACTAACTTTCCTGCTTAAACAGAAGCTGTGTATGTGCTCTCACAGTGAGTTAATTGGTGATGAAGTAAGCTAACTGAAAAGGAAATCTGCAAAGAATTGTTCATCCAGCTCTCTGCAAACACTATCTACCTTGCACCCAGCAGAGAGGTTCTCACACCAGTCAATCACATACATCGGCCATATCAAACTGTCATTACCTTTCTCAGAAAATTTACAGAATTAATCCTTTGTGCAGTGATAGAATTCACATCTGAAATGGACATGTCCTTCTGAGCCTGACTTTCGTACTCCTAAACAGAGAATTCCATTAGTTTTGCCTGAATGTAACATGGGGATCAAATCCAGTGTGCTGCAACGAAAATACTGTAATTTGTTTCTGTCTAAGCACCAGGATGCTGGCAAACATTCCTCAGTAGGGACCACCCTTTTTTGATTCGCTCACTGAGGACTGGCCCAAACCAGTTTATGACTATATCCCATTTTCTTCTGGTGTGAAGTTCATCAATCCCTTACTCCTATCAGTTATTTAGTACATGCACATGCATGCGGAAGACGATTTGCTGGAGTGGGTTCTCTCCTCCTACCTTGTGGGTCTCAGGGACCAGACTCAGATTGTCACGCTTGGCAGCAGATGCCTTTATCCTCTGAATCATTTGACAGGTCCCCTGATCTTCTAAATTGTAGTGATGACCAAGAAAAATTGTCATTTTGAAAATGAGACGATGAGGAAAGTCATCGCTTTGCATTTCTTCTCTCCTCTCTGAGCCACACCTAAGAAACATCTGGGACACTCCTGACTGGGCTGTGAGCATGTTCCCACTACAACTGGAGTTTTGCTTGTGTAGCTTCTAAGTGACTTCGAGGACATCAGAACCTGGTATTTTTAGTCAAGATAGCTGTCATCACCCTACAGCCGCAATTCCACTGGACGGGAGTTTCCTCAGAGATGGGCAACAGTTGCTTTCGAATTATCTCTTAAAAGCCCCAGTGTGAGTTAAGACAGCCGTTCTCTCTTACAATCCCCTCCTATGAGACTGCTGAGGTGTTGGCAAAGTGTTTAAAAGCTGGTCCTCTTGAAGTAGGGCGAGAAGTTCCTACTGAACGTTTACTATTCCATGGCACAAATACTCGCCTGGCTGCAGATTGATGGCAGTCACCAGAAACTCCCAGCAGGTGTGGCTCAGACGGGACATGTAATGGAATGTCTGTGGCTGAACTCAGCTAGCTGCAGCATGTAACCCAACAAGACCAGAGCTTCTCTTGTCTCTTTTTGAGATTCTTAAGATCTGAATTGATACGTCCTACAACTAATATCTACATTCACTGTGGTAGTGTTCCTTTCCTGGCTCCTCCTCAGAGCCTCTATATAAAATTAGTCATATATTTTATGAAAACAAAAAATACGCCAGCTACATCAATCTGGAACACACCTAAAGGATTTGGGCTGTGAAGTAGATTAGATAATACTGCACTGTAAAGTCAAGCTAAGGGCATGATGGCGCTTAGGTGATCTGAACAATTTTAATACTTAAAGAGAAGGGAAGCATCTGATTATTAGTTACCAAAATTAATACAGAGATGAGCAGGTTTAAAGCAACAGGATGTCAACTCTGTCATACTCGGAGCTGTGTCTGAATGGGAGCCGAGTACCTGGAAGACTATGTCTGGAATCTCTTTGTCGTAGAGGGGCATCTGCTGCAGAAGGAAGGGGTCAAGTTGGCCCGCGTTTCTCAGCTGCAATAGCTGGAATCGTTTGCTCCTTTTCATTTCTTCCTCAGACACAAAGTTAAATTCATCTTGCAACTGCTCAAGACGGAAATATTTTGGGATCTCCTGACCTTTGTGTCTCAAATACTATAAAACACAAACATGCAAAGTCTCTATTTAGTAAATTATTTTTGATTCAAGAATTATTTCAGAATCCTGTTTTCGCCCCATCACCAGTGCGGCAGCCTGAGTAGGAGGGAGCAATTGGACCTGTGGAGTCATGTGGCCTGTGGAAATACAGACTCTGACTGACATGCTTTCTACCTGTCTGGTCAGGACTTACACAGAAGGAGAAAACGTCAATGTTGTATACAAACAAAAGGCAGGAAGGGGCATATGGATGGACTGTGAATACCAGACCTGGAGGGTGAGTATGGTAGCCACTGTCAGTGTAACACTGACAAAGGGAGGTCAAAATAAAGTGTGTGAGGAACCCAGAGCAGTTCAGCTGGCTGTAGGGAATGGGCACAAGTGACCAGATAATGGTGTCTGAGTGCAAGCGTACATTTTTAAGTCCTCTTGATGTATCACCTTCAGTACCTAATAAGGTTGGCGTGTAACGGATGTTAGCCTAAAGGCAGCCTGCCAACCATCAGGTCTGAAGTAGTCATGCATTCCTAGTGCCTTTCCAATACTCCAAACTGGCTGAGAATCATGTGTGCCCTCCATTCTACTTTTACATGTACACTAAGTGTCCAGGAAAATGCACAGCAAATAATGGAGGCATGTATGAGATATATATGAAGAAATAAAATATATTTATAGTGTTGATAGCTTCTAAAACTTACCATAATAAGTTCTGTTATATCTGAATACTCTGGGTTATTTGGATCAATCCTGATGTCATCTGCCCAGTCACAAAGCTTTTGTGAGTTCACGGGCCACGGGAGTCCAGGAACACCTCTGGCATCGACATTCCTTAATACACTAATGTGGAGAAAATAGTTTGTGACTCTCCACACAACATGCAGGTTACACACTACACCGGCTGAAGTCCACTAAGAGTTCCTACCCACATCCTGATTTTAAGGATAAAACAGAACCTATCTTTATGATACACAGACTGTTCTCCTCACATTCTGCTTTCACCATAGCCTCCTGATAAGTGTCTACTTGAAAGACAATACACTTGCTAAGGATAAAACTCTACAGATATTCATCTGTGCTGTCTCCATTTTGCAGAGGAGCTGAAATGCAGTAGGTGCTATAAATTCTAGACACAATAATGGCTTAAATATTTTACGTGATGCACAATACTAAAATGTAATCCAAATATTTGTTTGTGTTAATCAAGAAAGCACACAATGTAAAACATGAACCTAAGGGGCTGGCAGCATGGTTCAGTGGGTCAAGGTGCTTGCTACCAACCCTGATAACCTGAATTCTATCCCTGGAGCCCACATAGTTGAAGGACAGAACTCCTCTAAGTTGTCCTCTGACCTTCCTGGGCAATGCTGCATGCATGTGTAAATAAATGTGAAAATAAAATAATTACACAAAACAAATAAATGTAAAAAATATTTTCAAAACATTGACTTCAGGTTGTATTGTCACCATTGAAATATAACAAAAAGCAAAGTGATTAACTAGGCAGTATAGGCTAGGAGAGTATTTTGGTCATGAACAACCATCTTCAAATATTGGGGCTATAAAACTAAGCTAAATTCATGATATACCCTTAGTGGCTTAGCTGTAGACTAAGAGCAAAAAGAAGGCAACCCTAGAGTGTGTGCTTGGAGTTGTCAATTAACTTGATGACTTCATAGATAAGTTAATTAGAAGAATCCAGAATGGGTTTCTAAGATCTTTATTGTAGGGTCTCAAACCTGGGACAGATGGCTGAGGTACCTATTTAACATATCAAAGTGGACTTGGCCACCAGGTTCTCCCAGCATCCCTGAGTCTACCTTTCCTCAGTCCCTGTCTGCTACAGGGTATGGCTGGCATATGCAGTCCCCACAACTTTCCAGCCCAGAGCCTGGGCTGCCTTTCACCCAGCTGTCCTTCTCTATATAATGCAGCCATTTTGGTTACCTGGCCCTTTTGTGTACCCTCCTGGCCTCTTGGTCTCCAGCCATTCTCCTTTCCCCTCCCCATCTCTCCACACATGGCTCAAGGTCTTCTTCACTCTGGACTCTATCAGATGTCCCTGCCTCTGGCCATGCTCTCCCTCACATCTACAGTAGACCTTCTCCTCCACTATACCTAAGAACAGTCACGTCCTCATTTTTTGTTTCTTCTTTTATTTTCATTCACTTTTCTTGCAAGCACCTGAGAACAGATCCCATCTGTCAACTGAGCTCACAGAATTGCAGTTTGGACACAGATTCTGTGTCCGATGTTTTAGCCAGGTGTGATGTCCACTTTGAAGAGTCTACTTTCACTGGTGTCTGTTCTTATTTCTCTGATGACTGTTACCAAGCTGTGACTGACCCACCCCAGGACATGGTGACTGTGAATGAAGTCACAGACATGGCCGGTAGAGTCCAGGTCAGTCTTTCTTATATTTCCTCCTATTTCTGTCATTGAAGTTGAATTATTTTTCTTTTGTTCTTCTTCTAAGACCTGACACCCTTGAAATCTTACAACACATTTTCCCTCCTCTTGGCAGTGTTAGCCCACATGCCCCAGAACACAAGGCTTGAGGAGACACTTGAATGTTCACAAGTAGACTGGAGAGAGAAACTTACACAAGTTACTTTCTAAGGAAGGAAGCTATCATTGGATTTCACAGAGTCCAATGACATCGCCTCATAAAATATAGCAAACCTCAGAACCACATTGCAGTGACTTCCCTGGATACCCCACTGGCATTCAACTGTGGGCTGAGGTAAAATCCCCATCAGCTGAGAACTGTTTCCATCAACAAACACCAGGTCAGCCACCCTGTCTCTTGGCTCAAGGCTGCATAGATGAAACACTGGAAATATATTCTAGAAGTCTAGGACTTTTCTTCCACCAAGCTGTCTGGGATGACTGGGGAAATTTAAATCCCAGAAATGAACTCTTTGGGAGTCTGGGCCTTTGTCTGCAAGGGAAGGACTATGGGGATGTGTCTCTAGTTGTCCATGTGACTGTAAACTAGGCAGTGAAGGAACATACGATCCCACACAGGAAACACTACCACACTGTGTAAAGTCGAAGGAAAAGTCAGCAGCCTCCTGCTATTTGCACCCCATTTCATGCACATTTTATGGGAGGTCTTGCTGAGATGCAGAACTATGTTTCAAACATGCAAGGTTTATTACCTACAGTATGCAGATCGCAATGACTGTGACACCGGTGTCAGAGGGATTCCATTTTCATCTAAAGCCCATGAGAGGGAATAGCTAAGTTTTCCTGAGGTTAAAAGACAAACTTCTTCATTCTCACTTCCCTCGAGATTAAAAGGCACATCTGTTTATGAAAGACATTTAACACATCACTGGTTTAGAAACCCACAAGCTGAGGGGTGGGGAAGATGATTCTTTGTGTGAAATGTTGCTTGTGCAAGCATGAAGATTCCCAGTTTGGATCCCCAGAACCCGAAAGAAAGCTGTGACCCCAGAGCCCATATGAAAGCTGTGATCCTAGAACTGGTAATAAAGCTGTCTGTGATCCCAGAGCTGAGAAGGCAGAGACAGGTGGATCCTGGAGCTACGTTGCCCAGCTAGCCTCGCCAAACTGATGGTCATCAGGTTTAGGGAGAGAACTCAGTTTCCAAAAATAGGGTGGAGAGCAATGGTGGAGTCACCCAGTGGCAGCCTCCATCTTGGTACCCTTCATCTCCCCTCTAAGATACCACAAGGAGGAATGCCTCAGACTACAAATGAGAGGAAAATATTGAGTCAAACACAGAGATGAGCACCTCTCCATTTCTTATGCCTGAGATTTTGCAAACATTTTTCCTGGGACCTCTTCCGTAGGAAAGGATCATTGGCAGGAAAAAGAAAAGAAAAAAAAGGACAGGATGGGTGGTTCAGTGGTTAAGAGCACTTGGCACTCAATCATGAGAACCAGAGTTAGGATCCCCAGAACTCCCACTGTAACTCTAGCTCCAAGGGATACAACAGTATGCGGGCACTCACATGCACATACCCACCTTACACACACACACATTCACACACACAATACAACTCTTTGTTAAAAAGGAGCTATGCAGTGTTGGCACATGCCTTTAATTCCAGTACTTGGGAGGCAGAGGCAGGTGGATCTCAGTGAGTTTCAGGCAAGCCTGGTCTATAGAGAGAGTTCCAAGACAGCCTCCAAAAACAATACAGAGAAACCCTGTCTCACAAACACCAAAAACAAAAAACAAAGAACCAAAAAGGAGCTACACTTCCCTTTCTATACATTGCTGCATCTTCTACCCCCACCTACATTTACTACCACTATGTGAAACCACTGCTATGCTCCATGCATTTTCTGTCCTTAGTCTTAGCTCAAAGGTTTCTATAGGAGAAAAGAATTTTCTAGTCTCTATGGACACAAGAAGATAGTCCCTCCCAGTTTTGTTTTGTTTTGTTTTGTTTTGTTTTTGTTTTTGATTCCCATTTCTTTGGCTTTCCCCTTGCTCCTAGTTCACACCTCTCTCCTTTTCATCTGATAGGCACAAGTAGATGCAAAACCCCCAAAATGAAAGAAAGGAATCTTGGGGGAGAGGGGGTAGGCCTTGCTCTATGTCCTCAGATAATTAATCTACTTGCATAAGAAGAGTGACGTAATCAGACAGCAAAGGGATAGAAAATACCCTTCTCTTCATCCCTCCTTTTCTCTTTACCTTTTCTACCGATTCAAGAACAGCTGATAGACCCTGTAGCATCCTTACAGTCCTTAAAAGAAGAAGTTAGAAGCAAAGCCACTGACTGGGAGATAGCTCAGAACAGGACCTGAGTTCAGCTCTTCAACACCTAAGTAAAAAGCTGGGCATGTGACACACCTCTCCAACCCCACACTGGGGAGGCATGGTGACACACCTCTCCAACCCCACACTGGGGAGGCATGGTGACACACCTCTCCAGTCCCAAAGTGGGGAGGCATGGTAACACACTTATGCAATCCCACACTGGGGAGGCATGGTAACACACTTATGCAATCCCACACTGGGGAGGCATGTGGTGCACCTCTCTAATCTCAAACTTGGGAGCCAGGGGCTGGAAGATCCTTGGAGCTTGATGGCCAGCCTGCCTGTGTTCAGTAAGAGACTCTGTCTCAAAATAAGGCAAAAAATGACTAACAAAAAGATACTCAGCATCCACCTGTGGCCTACACACATAAGCACATACACACCACACATACTCACACAGACACAATCACACACACACTGACACCCCTCACATACAACACAAATACACACACTTCCCACACAGATACACACACCCACATAGACACACAGCCTAGAGCTCACATTTCAGCAACGTGTAAGTTTCCCAAAGACCGGATTCAAGGCAAAGTTTTAAACAATCTAGTTTTTGACACCTAGAATAATTTTCTTTTGTAATCAAATACTGTACATGAGATTTTTTAAAAGACTTGCTATGGAGTCCAGGCTGATATAGAACTCATTATTCTCCTGGTCCTTCTGAGAGCTGGGATTACAGGCAGGTGCTACCATAACCAGTGTCGTGTAAATTTCCTCCAGATTGAAGCATTCCACCCTTCAGGGAAACAACTCAGAATAGCTTCAGGAAGTCACTGACCAGACTCACTAGGCCCCCCTCCCTCCCTGCCAGAATGAACAATAAAAGCTGAGAGTCCCTTTTTGAGGAAGGGAAGCTGAACTTCAAAGAAGACTCAGACCAGACCGGCTGCCTGAGAGAAGCAGAGACCAGCCAGGCTGCCTGGAGAAGGCTTAGAGCAACTGGAGCACCTGGAAAGGACACCCTCCAACCTGTTGAGATGCCTGCAGGCTCTGCAGTGGGTTCCAGGTCCCCGGCTTTGTGAGCTGTCATTCATACCAGGGTGGGCTTTGGCAATGCCGCTGTTTTTGAGTAATTTCTGCTCCTGTAAGTGACCTCAACAAAACTCACTGGTTCACCAAGTTGGACTTTGGTGACATCCATACTTTGGTCTGTCCTGGGCTCCCTGTCTGGAGTGAGTAAACGTGTGTGTTGCATCTCCCCAGGAAAAGTTTTATTGCAGAACACCCTGCTAGAGGTCTTTACTCACGAGTGTGACCCAAGTTCACTTAGGATTTGGTCCACATGGAAAAAGTGGAGAGAAGGAGATTTTAAAGGACTCACTGCTTCCTACGCCTCCATCCATGGGTATGGCCAGTTTATCAGAACTAAATTCTGTATATTCCAGGACAGTCTTGTCTTTCAGCTCTGTCTTGTTAGGTAAAGGCAGATATAGTTTAACCAGTAAACTTGTCCTTTTACTTACTTCATAAACCTAAATATAAAATAAATGGTTGAGAACTCACCAAAATGCAAAACAGGAACAAGAAAAAAAAAACCTCTCAATAACACATATGTATCACTTTCGGAAAAAACTATATAAAGATAGCATTGTTCCATTCCATTCCATTCCACTCAGATAGCTGAGGTGGGGACAGGAAGCTGGCAGGCAACCACAGTCACAAAGCAGCAAGAACAGGAAGTGGGGACAAGCTAGAAAATCTCAGTTTTGTTTTTTACACTGACTCAGTTCCTCCAGCAAGACTCTACCCGATAAAGGTTCAACAACCTTCCCGGGTAGTGCCACCAACTGAGGATGAAGTATTCAAACCTGTGAGCCTAGGAGATCAGGGGTCTGTTGTGTGTTCAGCCACCTGATCTCTTAAAGAGATCCAAGATATCAAGAACAAGGGAGGAAAAAAAGATGAAGAACAAACATTGAAGCCACCATGCTCAGGCTAGGAAAATGTGCAGCAATTGTCTGACAATCAGGATAGCCCTATGCCTTACTGCAGCTTAAACAATTCACTCATAATGAATAGGAATGCTGCGGTGCTCAGGGCTGGCAGGAGAGTTAGTGGAAACATCTACAAACAAACAATTTTGTACTCAAGGCACGAAAGACCATAGCAGAGATAGATTATGCGTTTATGAATTGTAAATTCATTGCTAGCTATAGAAATAAGGCATTCCTTAATATAAAAGAAATAAGCTATCATATGTAACAGGCATTAACAAGAAAAATAACACATCTGGCATAAAATAAGACACAAACATAAATGAAAATGGCACACCTCCAAGCAAATTGTTTCAGGCCAATATAATAGTTGAATGTTAAAAATCTGTTGAAACATGACTTTAAAATCACACTGTAGGGGAGATACAGATGTACAGGAAACCTGCTTATCATTATAAAATATTTTGATAAAATATTTAAGCTTTTGAATTTTGGCTCTCCTCCTTTGCTCAGCTCTAAAAATAAAATCAAACAAACCATTAGATGACACACAAATTCAAAGACAATGTAAGATGTTATTTTCCCCCAAGTTACCTTAGGATGATAAAAATAATGACTATTTCAGTCAAATAACACCTGCCTGTATGTGATAAAAAATACCCTCTTTATAGTCAATCATTTCTGAAGGAACTAAAATCAAGGTTTGGTTGTTAATTCTGCCAAGTCATATCTTAAAGAAACTATAACACCCACCAGATGTTTTTTAAGAGAGGGAAGGGGAATACTATGGTGTGGGGTGGAGGGTTTACATAAGAAACCACACACAGAAACTACACACACACACACACACACACACACACACACACACACACACACACACACACACACACACACACACAGCCTTTATTCTTTTCTGTTAAAGGAATTGTAAATCCCTTAGGCTTCAGGCTGCCTTTGCCCCTCTCCTGCAGGGTTAAACACCACAATAGGAGAGATGATATGCCACCTAGCTGAGGTTTCTATGGAAACACTTGTTGGTTATAAAATCACCTAGTGGTGAGAGGAAGTCAACATAGTATTCCCGATGCCTATTCATTTCACCTACCCAGTTTCTATCTTCTCAGCCACATGGCAATTAGCTGAGGGAGGATTAAGGCTTGATCTTAGAACTGTTCTTGGGAGGTAAGCCCTAGACACAGGCCTGAAACCCCCTCCACCACTCTGCCATAATCAATGTATGGGCCAGAGTCTCTTCCTATTGTTTGTTCACTCTCCTGTAATCCTCTCAGAAGGTCAGGTGACAAATGATGTTTATTCTACCTCCCCTTCCTCTCTTCCACCTTCCCAATTACCTCAGAGAAAGCTGCCCTGTGTGTTGTCCTCTGAAAGTAGTTTTACCAATATACTCACAAATAGATTACTTATCAGGAACATAAGTTAAGTATAAAACCACTGTGTGTAACTCAAAAGCCATTTTATGTGACTTGAAATATGATGCCAAAGCTTGCCACCAAAGAGGTAGGCCGCAGAAGCAAGCCCCTGGCAGGCCACCCCACAGCTCAGATACAGCCTAGCCCAGGACAACCCGTGATATGCTAATTAGACCTGACCCCAAAGGTGGCCTTGGTGTGTTGGTGAACCAGCCCCCGAAGGAGAACCCTGATAGCCTGATAACCGCACAATGGCATGATGCAATTAGACATCTGGGGATGGTCTCTAGGGTCACACTCTGTGCTTCCAAGACAGTGACTGCTTCTCTCGCCTCTGTGTTGGTAACCGCCAGCAAGAAGTCTCTGAGACTCTGTGGCTCTGGCCTTAGTAGCTGTTGAACTTCTGGCGTTGTCACTGGGTTCACACAGGCTGCTGGCCAGCATTCTTGAGAACTTCCTGGACCTCCATCAGTGCAATCCTGCCACCTGGCACAGCTGAAGGACTTCACAGCAGATGTGGGTCCAGACCACAAGGTTCCCTAGGGAAACCCTGCAGCAGCATTTCTGCCCAAATGACTGTTCCCTGCTCAGTGAGGTACCTGCTCTAACTTTTTATATTAGCATGACATATAAGGAAAGTTTATCTGAATGAATAAACTGAGCATATTAGAAAGTCAAATCTTGTGTGGACAGACTAATTGCTGAGGGCTTTATGGATCATAGATTGTGTTCTCTATGTTATAAAAATGTATCAATTCAAATGTATCTTCAGGAAACAGTGCCCCTTTTCATTGTAAGCCATCTTTAGTCCTACCCTTGTCTGTATTCTTTTTCATTTCTGGCCTTGGAATAAACCATTTTCCTCCTTTTTAAAGAATTGGTTTTGCTCATCTGTGAATGGGCAGCCACCACACTATCTCATGGCCACAGCTTTGGAAGCTGTATTTCCTTTGGCCTTAACCATACTAAGCCTTTTCTAGGTTTTCAGACACCCAGATCCTCTTTCCTTAAATTCTTTCTCTTTCTTGGGTCTCAGGCTCTCCATGTGTCTAGAAATGAGCTAGAGCGGGACTACAGAAGGATTTCTGGCAGTTAGACAGAAGCCAGTGTTCCTCAAGAACTTATGGAATGGGTTTTCCATCCCCCAAGAGTCCTTCCTCCCAGTTATCCTCCTTATAATATCACCGTCCTCCTTATAACCAGCAGGGTTTGTCCACCCCTGCTCTCTCCCCCGCTCCTCTATCCTCTGCTCCTTGGTACTCTCCCTCCTCTCCTGGATAGCCCAGGCCATGTCCAGTCTATTCCTCTTCCTCTGTGCTAGGGAGCTCTTCTGGATGCCTTTGGTCTCCTATTCACAAACAAACAAACCAACTAACAAACAATCCTTCCCCCCAATGGAGCGGTCATGTTGGCCATTTCTTTACTGTGGCCCATATGCCTTCCAATTCCTTTTTATGGTTCATTTCCCTTCCTTCTTTTAGACGGGCATTTCATACAGGTTTTACCTAATACATTATCTTAGGCCCTCGTTAAAGGGCAAATAAAAGGCTGCTCAGAAGGAGGGTGGGGCTAAAGGTGCCCTTCTGTCTACTTATTCTTTGTGTTTGCTTTTCAATACAACCATGCTTCCATTTGCTTAGAAGTGTGAACATTTACTGGGGTGGGTATCGTCTAAGTTCCCACTCTGCACTAAATGAGACATTCACAAATTCACAATACTGAACGATGAACTCGTCCTGCCTCCTCTGGGATAAAGAAGTAGAAAAGGAGATGGAATTCAGTGTCCTAAGCTGCAATATCCTGCTTATGGGAGATGGGATCTGTATGCCTAGTGGATGAGATAACTGTGTATTTATTTATTAATAATGTCATACATAGGCAAGGACAAGGAAGAAATCTGGGAAGGAATGAAATTTGTACTGTCAAAGAAAGGAGCCATCCTCTTGACATGGAACAGTTTCATAAACGCTGGGTGTTCTGTAATGAGCAAAGTGACAATATAATAACAGTGGCTTTATATACCATCTCTACCTGAATAAAAATTACTATAATGACAAAGTATAAAACTTACTGATATATCAGGCTTGCTAGTAAAGACAGTGTAGACTTTACTGCAAGTTAAAAAGTTCTGTGTCCTCCCTCAGAAATATATTTGATATGTGGCCTGGAGCAACTTTGCCTTCTATTAGAATAAACTCCCCCACTTCCAAGATGAGGATAGCATCTCACACTCCATAGAGCAGTGGGGACAATGGAATGTCCCCACATACGCAAATTTAGCAGTGTTAAGCAAATGGCAGTCATGAAATCTGACATCGTTCTTAGAAACAATACAATCGGTAACACACGAGGAAGAAAGAGTTCTCTAAGGTGCTTACAGTGAACACTTGGATACATTTGTTAACTCTGCTGTGAAGGAAAGTTGTGGCACCAGTGTCATTGGCTTTATTCTCTCCATATCCACTCCTTCAAGGTCTGAAGCTGAATAGGGGAGTCTCTAGAAACCAACAATAGATAATTTACCATGGAAACTGTTCACACTTGGATTTGTCTGGTATCTGCTGCAAGTTCCAAGAAGCATGTACCAAGCAATGAAACACTCCAACTAGTTAAGACAGCCGGGCGTCACCATACACACTACATACCTCCTGTGTGCCTTCATTCCGAAATAGCGTTTCTTCACTCTCTTCCCCTGATACTCCTGACGTTCCTGCTTGGTTCTGATCATCCCAAGTGTTCATTTTTATCCTAAGTAACAATAAATAAAATTGTTTAGAGTAGAAGTAATGTAGGTGTTTGGGAGTTGTTAGAGATAAATTTGAAAAAAACCCATCTTTCTAAGTTTTTCTGCAGTTCCCACTGGTTTCTTCTTCATCAGTAAATTTGCCACCAGCATTGGCAGCCTTCTCAAGGACATCTCTCCCCGGGTGACAAAAGTAGCCAGAAGAATGGGGATAGTCCAAACTGAAGGTCACACATCTGAAATCTCTTTTTTGTCTCTCGTGGTTTAAGCTATATGAACAAGACCTGGTGTAGATGTAGGTGACCAGAGGGATAGCAGGTACATGTGCCAGCTGTTCTCTGGGGCTGATGCAGTAACAGGAAGAAGGCCATGTGCTTCGAGTGTTCTGCTACTGTTGGTATTGGTTAACTCTCAGGACTTACTAATACTTGATACACAGTGACTCAATTCTCCCAGCCACGTGCAGTGGGCACTGCTAAGGTTCAACAAAGCTCCACTTCTCCGGAACATTTTCAGAAAGTACCTGTCCTGGGAGCTGAATTTTCTTGATTAGGGGGTTTTGTGTTTCTCAGTTCAAAGTTTCAGTTCTTATTTTTAAGTTTTCGGAAGGGAGCCATTTGGGAAGAGGTATGCTCTGTTCTGAGTGGAAAAAGGGCACATCTACTCATGAAAGCAGTCTGGAGGCTCCTTGGAATGCTGACCAGGTTATTAGCATGTGACCCAGCAAGTCCTCACCAAGGGTGCAGTCACAAGAGAAATGAAACCTATCCAAACGTGAGGAATGCTTATAAACGGAAGGTGGTTCCTTTTTTGGGTGATGCAAGTGCTCTAAGACCCTAGAATATATTTAAAAATTGACAAACTGTGACGTATATCCTAGTAGAGCTGTTTAAGAGCTTGTATGCTTTGTCCTTCTGAAACAGAACACAAGGATGCTACAATGTATAATACCTGTACCGGCTTGAGCCCAGGTTACATGTATTGAAAACCCAGCCTGGTTAACAGCACTACAGAATTCAGACAAACGACCAAAGTGTTCTCGGCCCACTCTCATCTGAAAGCCAGGTTGATGTGAAGGCCAAATGCAGCTGGCGTTTTGTGCAAAGTGCACAGCCAAACATTCGAAGTAAGACAAAGGATGACCATTATTGCCTTTCCCTGATTCACAGCCATCAATATGGAATCAGCTGACTTGTAGTTTAACGCAATCGCTCAAGCTTTATAGCATATTAAATCACTTAGGGAGATTCAATTTTAAGACTCCTGGGCTCAGACCATGCTCCACACCAATTAAATAGGAACGGTGGTTGCTACAAGTCCCAGGTGATTCTAATGAACAGTAATTTGGAGAACCAGCTTTATTAGTAAGTTAGAGACTAGGTGTCATTAGTCATGTTATATTATGTCCCTTTGGGACAGTTATTGAGGTAGAGTGATCTTGGGTTTATGGATTCCTTTTTACCCTGGACTCTTTGGAAAATGACAAGATTCTGGTTAGTCTAGAAGTGTGGTGTCTCCCCTTACGTGGCTTGCAAGCACCTTCTCACACCTTCTCATCTTAAGCACTTCTTAGTGATACGAATCCCCTCCGGGTAGTAACCAACAGAGAACATAAGTGAAGACAGTATCTACATGAACCTGAATTTCTCTGTATTTACCAGTGTTGTGGTTTGGATTCAGTAGCTGGTAGCAAGCAGCTCAGATAGTTGCTCTCTACCTTTTAAAAAGTCTGTGTGTGTGTGTGTGTGTGTGTGTGTGTGTATGAAATACATATTTCCATATATTTATTTATTTAGGTAGGGGTGGTGGCTCACACACTTAAACACACGTGTAGAGGCCAGAGGGCAACTTTCAGGAGTCACCTGTCCTTTGTCACACTTGGCAGCACATGCTGTCACCCACTGAGCCATCTCACCAGTCCAGGTCTCTCTACGCTTAACGAAATGATGCTCATACTTGACAAGGTGAGCTTCCAGCCTGAATGAGATGACCAGCTTTATCTTCAACTTCCCAATAGTTCCCATCAGTCACTGCCACTTTATAAAACATGCTTTGGCTGAGACTGCCATTTCCTCCCTGTCAGAAATCCAACCAGTATCCAGAAGTATTAATCTTGGTTAGACATCCTTTCCTACTGTACATACAGTGCCCCTGCCCCTCCTTATCTCTGACTGTGGTAAGGTGCTCTCTGGTGTTCCTCTGTCTTGTGTTTGGTTTCTCCTAAGCCACTTAAAGCCATTTCTCAAGTATCTGTTCTTGAACTCTGCTAATCTCATTGTGTCCCTTTTCCTTAAGGAGTAGCATGGACACTGGTGGTATTAATTGTTAATACTAGGCTACTAGCTTCCATGTTTTTATTTCTAACATACATCCAGGTGTTCACTCAGCTACCTCACTTAGGGATGTTATTAAGGGACATCAGATTCTGATTCTGTGCTCCAAGAAAAACTTGAGAAGGAGGCAGTATAATTATTGGTTCGGTTTGGATCTACTGGGACCAGGTCAGTCGGTAATATAAGAGTGGTAAAGTTGTCCAGGAAAAAGAATTCTCTGGAGCATTTAACAGCCTGCTTTTCTAGTTGATCTGAATGATACTTTAGGATCACTGCTGGGACCAACCTAGCCGCTGACACTATGGGATTTAGTTAGTTCAGGGGTTTCTAAGCAAAAGCACCATGGCAAATCCCAGCCCAAGTCTGTTTAATGCTAGGAAGAACCAACATGGAGGGCCTCTGGCAGGACAGGAGTTCAAAGCAGTGGGAATAAGACTTGGGGAACACAGATTATGTGCTCAAAGCCACCATTCTGAATAGCCTTGTGGAATCTGTTGCTGTCCTTTGGAGTTCATGGTACATGGGTATGTCAAGTAGTTTAAAAGACTAAAAGCAACTTCAAGCTTGTATTGATTTGGGAGTTTAAGATGAAATTCCATGCTGGGTTTGTGTTTAGAAACTGTCAGACGAGCTTTTGTGAAAAAGCTACTGCACAGTGTAGGAACAACAGAAAACACTCCTTCCCTAGTTGCCTGAAAAAGATAGACTCTGGACAACTCCTTGTCCGGAGCAAACTAGCTATTTCTCTGGAATTCATAAATAAACTTCGATTCCAAATTAGAATTCCCATATAGTAGATACACTTTTATGCTTAAATCTAATTATTTAAAATGTTTCATCATCTTTTATATAGAGAGTATGATTGCTGGGCCCACATGCAATTTTGTGAGAAAGTGCCAAATCACTTCTGTGCCCATCAGCAAGGAGTGCAGATTTTTGCTGCCTGATATCCTTGGCGGCATCTGTTAGCGACTTTCTGTTTTTAGCCTTTTGGACAGGTATGTTGATACTGTTTCGCTGTGGCTTTAACTTACTTTTCTTTCTGGCATGTTGCTAAGCATGTTTTCATGTGTCCATCTCCCGTCCACCTACCTTCTGGGGCACATCTGTCCAAACCCTTTGGCCACTTTTAAATCAAGCTACCTTTTAGCAGATTTCTAAGACACAGGCCTTCACTGAGTATACGGAATAACTATGTTCCTTCTACATCTTTTCCCAGTTAGTGAGAATTCTTGGTATTTGCAGGCACTCCCTCAGAGACCAATGGACACAAGTACAGTGACCACTTACCTGTGAAACTGCAGCTTTACTGGGGTGCTTGTAAATCCTTGCTTTTGCCTGAGAGATTTCATCTGTTTCCAAGTCTGTAGAATTCTGTGCAGAAGGGAGTGGTCTTTTGCCCTTTCTGCATGATACAGCCGTCTTGTATCACTGTGAGAATAATTGCAGACCAAGAGTGGGCAGCTAGGTTAGAACTGTCAGTCACTTGAAACACTGTTGGAGAACAGACTGGTCTGAACTGGTCTGCTCCACCTACTTGACCCACATCTGGAAGCTCTGTTTTAGAATGTGTTTCTTTTATCCACTGAAAACCCAGCAGAAATGGACTCGGCAGAGGTTTTTTAAATCACTAGTCAAAGGTGCTCTGCTAAAATGCAAGCTTTCTGGAAAAAGGGAAATCTCCTAGCTGAGGAGTCAGAGAGATCTCAAAGGAATGGACAGAAGATGCTAGAAGGAAGGGGCAGTAAAGAAAGGAAGGGGCTGGGAGCATTTTGGTGATGTTTCTTGCTATCTATGTGACACTTAGATCATTTCTGGTTGGTGCTCTACTATTCGTCACCAAACAGTGTAAACCAGCCAGTGCTTTTATTTGGTCTCATACAAGGGTGTCCTCCCATAAGATTTAAGTTCCATTTGGGAAGCCACTAATTTAGGAACAGTTCAGATATTTTCAGGTCTCAGAATCTCAAGAGATTTTGATGAGAAGAAATGTGGGGTTAACTCTGAATATGGTCATTCTAGGAAGGTTCTGGGGAAAGACTGTCGTTATTTAAAATACTTGAGGGTAGAGAAATGCCATTCACTATTGAACCTGTATCACTTCTGTGGTGGGTGGCTACTCTCAAAAGCCCTTTTATTAAGACATAAAAACACACCACCCACGACCATGGACCGTCATGTCCTAATCAACTTTAAAGGCTCCACCTCCAAATACTGTTGTCAACAACCATTTGGATACACCACTGGCAGCACTGTTAAATGCCTAGATCATGAGAATTCTAACTCAACTAAAAGACGGATACATAGTCTGTCTGTACCACTGGTAGGTGGTGGTGCCTCATGGGAGGAACTAGGTCACTTGCGTGTGACTTTAATGAATGCATCTCCCACCTAAGCCTTCCCCTTTCCTTTCCTCTCTTTCTGCTTCCTGTATGCATGCTATTAGGTCAGTATCCTCCTCTGACACATTCTCCCCCACCACAACGTCAAGCCTCCTCAGGTCTATCATATCCTTAGATGAGTGTCAGTCTAAGTAAGGACTCTTGGATCACCCAGGCTGTGGTTGTGTTTCACAGGCTCAGCTCTTTCCAAACTTTTATCTCCAAGTTCACTGACTTCTCTGTCTGCCCAAATCTGCTTTGAAACCAAGTCCTCAAGTGAGTTTCCTTTTCAGTTACTCTACTTTCCACCCTAGCCTTTCTCTTCGGGAATTCTGAAAAGTTTTTCATCAAGAGATCTTTCATCAGTAGATATTAAACCTACCAGGATTTTCTCATGGTAGCTCTATGAGATGTTTCTACACAAACACAGGTCTTAAGGAAAGACTGGCAACATTTTTGTAATCTCCTGAAGCATAGGAAGTACTATTTTTCAAATTTTATATATCCCAGAGCAAGCACAGCATGACATCTAACCTACTTAGTAAACATTTGACGAATGCAGGACTCACTCAAAACCTACCTTATCTGCCAGTAATAATCTTGTAATGATTCTCTGGTAAGCTGGCTTATTTCCGTTTTTTTTCTGGCTAGTTTGGTAGTCTCTGTCAGAGCTTTCAGCTACAACCAAGAAAAGAGGTTTTTGTTGTATTCCATATACATGGGACTGCCACTCTAACTCACTCACAGAGACCTAAGTCCAGATGTGTGCAACAGAATCACATGAGTATAAATTCTGTCCTGCCTTTCATAATTGTTTAGTAATTAAAGCAAGGTAAGACTAGATCAATATGTGAGTGGAAGAGACGGTCCTTACGCACATAACAGTCCATAAATATATGCAGCAGACTACAGTAAAGACACTTCTTCAAGTCAGTACAGAAATGGTAGTGGTAGCCCCAGGCTCACCTTCGGAGCTCATCAAGTTGGAGCTCGATTTTATCCATGGCACAGCTATAAGTTACACATAGAATAAAAGGCTAGAAGTTATGCACACATAATAACACATGGAAAAGTATCTATAATTTGATCTGTCAGATGCCAGACATGACCGGTTGCCCTTAAATGTTCCTTTTTCTTGGTTAAGAGAATAAGGATCGATTTATTAGACTGTAGACACATGTGACTAACAATGATCTCAAACAGCTTGTGTTATGTACAGAGCTATGGTGTATCAACAGTAAAGATGAAGCTGCTCTGTATATGTATTAGTAGACTACTCTTGCTACATTGGTTTTAAAGATGAGATACTTCTGGGCTTTCTAGCCCCGGCCCTCAAGAGGACTCCACCAACCAGGAACAAGTGCCGGGTGGTTGGGCACTGTCACGATGACTTTGGAAGCATGGTCCTGCCCAGCACGTTGATGGACTAAGCGGGACAAGGAGTCGCACACACAGGCCTTGGACAGTCCGTCCCACGCTCTGATGAGAAAACACGGGCCCACTCAGCACTTACGGTGCCAGGCAGACGGGCATTACTGTGGTGAGCAAGTGTACAGTGTGGTATGGGAGAGAGAGACAGACAGAACAGTTCATGTCCTGTGGACAGGGCCATGGAAGAGGTGAGACAGGCTGAGGTGGGTGGCTTAATTGCCACGCGGGGCTATGGTGATGTCTGGGCCTGAACCGCGCCTGGGGCCCATGTCTGGGTTCACGGCTCTGACGCAACCTCTATCTCTACTGATGTCCGAGGCTCTTGAGGAGAGGACTGTACAGAGTTGGCTCCGCCCCTCACTGTTTGTAGCACTAGGGAGAACTGCCCCTCCCCGGCTGAAGCACTCAGGAGAGAGGGTCCAATACCGCACCTGCGCAGCACAATAGAGCTGCCCCCCCCCAGGGTGTGTAAGCAGGAGAACTGGCCCCGCCCCTTGCTCATTGCTGCAAAGGGTGAACTATCACCCAGGTGGGGTGGAGAGGGTGGCAGGCTGACCAACCCTGCAACTACCCAGGCCCAGGACCAGGGTTACCGAGTTGGCCCAGTCCTACATCAACCCCATCCATGATCTGCAGGAGCACGTGAAGCGGCCTGACCCACAAACCCAAAGCTACAGGATCTCCACCACACAGGGCAACAACAGGATATCCAAGAGGAGTACCAGGGAGGGCTCAGCATCAATAGTATAGCAGGAACCAGACAATGACTCTTTGCAGTGAACACTTTCAAGCAAAGATATATGACTCACTGTGTCACACTACAGCTTCCATGACTAGATTTTTCCTATTTTTTTCTTTCTTTTCTTTTTTCCTCTTAATTTTTTTTAATTGGTGGGGGGATTGCAAGGGCAGAGGGCAGATGCGAAGGGACAGGGAAATGGATGGGATCAAGATGCATGATGTGAAACACAAAGAATAAATTAAAAGAAAGATTAAAACGAGATAAAAATTGTTAGGTACATCTTACAGAGCAGAGATCTGTGAATAAAATTACTCTCAAGTACCCGTATCAACTTCAGAATTAGTTCCTCTATGAATTAACACCACAACTATATTGCATTAAAACCTGGAACTTTTTGTATTCATAGGGACTATTCTCATGTTGCCCATCTATTTCCTCCTTCTATTAAACTCTCACACACTCAGTAACATATAATTCAAACAGATGAACCAAGTTCTAGAATTTCTGCACTAATATATAAGAGAGGGTTCTACTATCTATCCCAGGCAGATCTCAAACTGAAAACAACCTTCCTCAGTCTCCCGGAACTGGAATGACAGGTGTGTACCACCACAGCAGGCTATACTTGTATCTACAAGCAGGCATTCATTAAAGTACAGCTCATACACAACCTTTTGAGATGCCTGGTAGCTCTGCTCACGTTGTATGGTTAGTGAAATACTGTACTATTTAATTTCAAGCATACTCAGTTGAATGAAACCTACCATTATTTTTCTCTAAGAGAACATTAGTTAAACAAAATGCTTGGGTACCAAGAACCCAAAGAAGGTCTAGATGAGAGGCCACACAATAATCAATGGATACATCTCTGATGTTTCTTTAGAATGTATGATTCTCTTCATAACGTCTATAGATTACTGCTTTGATTAGCCCTCCTCAGAAGAAGACTGTTCAATTTCACAGGAGGTTCGAAAGTGCTGCTTATTTTTAATAATAAAAAAACCCCTGCTAAACTACAAGACTTAAAAGTGGTGTCTCTTAAAGCCATTTGTGGTGGGTTTGAAAGAAAATGTCCCCAAAGGGAGTCACTCTTTTAGGAGGTGTGGCTTTCTTGGAGTAGGTGTGGTCTTGTTGGAGGAAGTGTGTCACTGTGGAGATGGGCTTTGAGGTCTCATATATGCTCAAGCCACACTCAGTGTTTCAGACCACTTCCTGTTGCCTGTGAGTCAAGACATAAGAACTCTCAGCTCCCTCTCTAGTACCACGTTTGCCTTCATGCTGCCTTGCTTCCCACCATGACGATAATGAACTAAACCTCTGAATGGTAAGTGAGCCACCACAATTAAATAATTTCCTTTATAAGAGTTGCCACGGTCATGGTGTCTATTCACAGCAATAGAAACTCTTAACTAAGATACCACTGTAATTTCAAATGCTATTCTTGTATCATAGGGCCAATAGTAGCACTGACTCGTAGATGCTTTAACTGTGGCTAACGTCCAGTGAGGCAGGCTTGAGGCTGTCTCCTCAGCAAGTCAAACCTTCCAATTTGTTCTCAGATCACTGTTTTAGTGGGTCAAACCTTTAAGCACTAAGGGAGACCAATGTTCTCTGCTTACTGCTCTATTCCAAGAGCATCATGCTCCAGTATTAAGTGTTGGGCCCTAGAAGTCCCCTCACCTTCTCATAGAGCAGCTGAGTTAAACCCTGCTTCTGCCTGTCCTGGAAAGACTCACAGAGCTGGAGCAGCCTGGCACACAGGACTTGTTCTTGATTGAAGAGCGGGTGATGGCTGAACTGCAAGCCCACGATGTTAAGATCTAATTGGTACATTTCTCTTTGACCATCCATTCTGCTTCTAAAACAGCATTCCAGGTCGGATTTCACTGCCTTTTAAAGCAAAATATGTCCAAATTCATTTGATTCTGTTGCCTTTGAAACCACAAAACTTTTCCTTATAAAATAACGTACCAGGCATTTTTAAACTCCAGAGCTTCAGAACTATAAAGCCAGCAAGTGGCTCATCTTTGAAATTTACTTTAACTATTGATTTAATAAAATAGATTTATATTACATTTTTATTACAACACCTTATTTTAACACAGAATCTTAATCATCTTGCTGTAAATTATTGTCATCTATGTCATTAGTGTTTATGTGGATGCTGGACTTTCAATTTACAAGATCTAAAATAATGTTTTATAGGAACACCATTGCAAATTGTGTTACAACTTTTGCATTAAGAGTTTTGGCTTGCGAGTCAGAGTTACATGGAATTATCTATTAAAACATTATTTATAACTGAATATACTGGTAATCATCTGAAGAGTCCCTTGAAGAAACCCAGACTCTCTATGTGGTCTATGGACACCGCCCCACTCTCTACAAAAGACCATCTCCATTTGAATACTAGATTGCACCCCCATTTATAATTGTCTCAGTCTGGAGGTCTCAGATTATATGCAAAATAGTTCATCTATGTCTTAATCCACCATCTTCAATTTAAGCATATGTGTATACACATGTGTGGCTGACTTTTAGTGATGTTATTTGAGAGAAATGATGAGTTTCTTAGCATGTACATCTAATCTAATTCCCAGGACTGAATCCACCTCAGAAGGACAGCACTGAGGCTTCTCTCTGGCTCAATCTGGTACGAAGGGTCTACTGTTGGGGTTTGAATAGGGCTTTACCCCTCTGAAGCTCACACTGAAATTTGATTGCTAAAGTTATTTAAAAGTAGGAACAAGTAGGACTTTTAGGAGGTTATCAGTGCTCTTTTCACATGATTAGTAGCTGTATGTAATTGATGGTGTCTTAGTCTGCTTTCTATTGCCATAATAAAGACCATAGCCAGGAGCAACCTGGAGAGGAAAAGGTTTATTTGGCCCATGTGCCCTACAGAGTTGCCCACAGGCAGAGACTTGACCAGATATCTCCAGCTTGTGTCAAGTTGACAAAAATGTAACCAGGACAAATGAATTAACTGGTTCCCTCAAGAGTGGGCCATTAGCTGGTAAAGTTCATTTTGCCTGGTCTAGAATGTACCCCGCCTCTGCACTGTCTGGGGATTGCCAGCAAGGCCATTATCAGATGTAGTCCCTTGACCTTGTAGAAGAACCAGGACCTCAGTAAACATCTTTGATGTTTACACAGTCTGTGATACTGTTACTTAAACAGAAAACTGTCCGAGCCCATCCAGTCTGTGTCACTGCTGTCACACCTGCTGTTATGCTGGAATAAACGATGCCCCATCCCAAACTCGGTATGGCAGCCCGGATGCTCCCTAAGAACTAGAAGTCACTAGCATTATTCATAAACCTCTGACTCCCTACTTTTTCCTGAGTTAGTAACTCAGCCTTAGTGACTTCAAAGAGGAAGGAGAAAATCCATAAGAGCTTGTTTTTAGTTAAACATATCTGTTAAGTCCCTGACCTTTATACAATGGCCAATTCAAGTCTACCTAAGGAATTTATCATTTAATAGTATACTGGTAAGCTGGCCATTACCCTGAAAAACGCCAAGAAGACAACATGGTTTAGAACTATTAGATGACAAACTTGGAAATTCAAGTCAGAGAATCTTGTCTTGTTTAGCAAATGCAGCACCAGCTAAAATGCAGCACCAGCTAGCTGCAACACACACACTTGATTTTTATTTGTTCCAGTGGGGAGATATTAGCTTTTGCTTGGCCTTTTCTTACTCAATACTTACTGGCTATGATCCTCAGAAGCTAAAACAGAATAACGGAGCTGATGGAATTTCTAATAACAATCAGAGAATGTGAGTTTACACTGTAAGCAAAAACTAAAGGAGGGACTGACTATAGACTGCTCAGCTGTCACAGGGTAACGTGCTTTGTGAGTTTTCTGTAGCCAAAATGGTCAAATAGGTAGAGCATTGAGGAGGCAGATTTTAATTCAACAGCTGGAGATGACTAGCTCTGTGGGGCACAGGAATGAATTATCTTGGGAGATAGTAAGTTAGAACTTCCACTCCCAAGAACTCTGCATCTTGTATACAGTACCAAAGTCTATTCAACCAAAAAACCAAGGAATTACCCTTTCTGTTATTAACCACTGTTTTTTATCACTGTTCTGTTGTGTGAGGAGACACCATGACTATGGCAACTCTTATAAAAGAAAGTGTTTAATTAGGGCTTGCTTACAGTTTCAGAGGTTTAGCCCATTGTTAGCACAATGGGAGCATAGAGGCTGAGAGCTTAGTCATCAGGCGTGGCTCTATTTGAGAAAGACTAGGAGGTGTGGCCTTGTAGGAGGAAGAGTATCACTGGGGGTGGGCTTTGAGGTTTCAAAAATCCAAGCTGGCCAGGTCCAGTCTTTCTTTCTCCCTCCCCCTCCCCACTTTCCACTTCTTTCCCTCGTTCCATCTCTGTCTGTTTCTCTCTCTTTCTCTCTGTATTTCTATGCAGAAAAAGGTAGGCAAACTATTGCTGCACACAAACAGTAATTTTCTATGATTTCATTCATGTAAAAGAGACAAAACTAACAGAGAAGAGTAATGCGCAGTGCTGGGTGTTCTAGTGACGGTTCCCTTGAATACCATTCATTTTGTATTGTGGTTTTCGATACACATTTTATTTGAGTATTTCCCATCGTTAAATAGACCCCAGTAATCTTAAAGATCACTTACTATTTTATCCAAGGTTAGCTATTCTATGACTAGGCTTAGTATCCTTAGAAGGTAAAGCAAAACCATAAAAATTATAATTGATGTAACAAGAGCCATCACCCAAGCATTACAGACTCCTGTTGCTTACCTTCCTGGGTATAGTCTTTAGTGCTGGATTCAAAGATTCCTTGCTCATGCGGATCCTAAAATTCCAAGACTGTCTAATAGGTGATGGCAAGGACATTATTTCTCCACTTTCCTCAAACCAACGTTTTCCCTATCAGAAATATATACAAAATATAGCAACTGAATATTTCACTAAAAACAAATGTCGCATGTGAGCTGGTGCTGGTTTACCTCGATTAGTTGGGACACTTGCCTCCTGTAGGATGAGCAGGCGGTTTTCCATTTTGTTGCAGATCTTTTTACATGCCTTTGGCTTTTTCTTAACGTAGAATCCTTCGTCTTCTAAAATGCGAGGCATCATGCCTTTTGGCAGTTTAAGCTGGTTGGCCACTTAATGATAAAACTCAGATAATCACTTTAAAGTACCCTATAACATGGCACATTCGTGATTTGTGCATTTCAGAGAAGTGTATTACCTGGAGAACTACTTGGCACAAAAACAATTGCCTTCTGTTTTTTCATCTGTTCCTGATCATCCTCATATTCCGCAGCTTTCACTTCAAATAAATCCATTAAAATTACTTCTTCCACAAAATCCTCATCTTGGCCCTCAGCAACAGTTTGTAAACTACCACCAAATGCAGAGGGTTTGAAGTAACTATCACTTACTGATTTCTGTTGAATATGAAAAGTAAAAATCAGGCTGTGTGCTTCCCCCACCTCGCCCCGCCCCCCTCCCTCACCCCCCCCTTGTCCCGTCCCCGTGAACAGTATACAGACAAATGACACATTATGGAGCCATGCTGTGGCCTTCCGGTTCATCTAGCCCAGACCAAGTGCTAGCTGACACTATAATATATATATATGGTTGATTAAAAAAGTTTCGCTGACTATAGAGGAACTCAATTCAGGCTAATGTTATATAATATATAGATCACTGTTCACTTCTTCAGTGACTGTTGCTGAAACAGAAGAATAAGTTAGGTCCCTTCTGCCCTAAGGAAAAGGGTCAGACACACAAGACCAGTATGGACCTACAGGTATACAAGAACTACGTGGTCTTCAAACCTCCTCTGTTGCTGAATATTTGATCGCACTGTGACACCCTGAGACTGTTAATAAAGTTAATCTTGAATCAGGGGGTGGAGCCAGTGACTCGCTGACCTGAATTAGCCATAGAGAAGTCAGGAATACAGACAAAGAAGACAGACAGGAAGGAGTACGGAGGGACTTAGAGATTTTGAGTGCTTTCTTCGATCTGGGAAGCACGGAGAGGTCAGCTGGTCGCTCCTCCTCCAACATTTCTTTGATCTATCAGATTTTCACCGCAATACCTGACTCCTGAGCCTTTATTGGTAATAGAACAACTTAGATAAACACATTTTGACATCCAGTGCATAGCATGAGATCATACTGTGGCTTCTGAAGCCACCTCTGCTCCCTGCCTCCTCCACTGCTCAGGCAACTTCTCCTGCCCCCCATCCCTTACACCCTTCCCAGCTGTGATGCCCCCAGAGTCAGCCCCTCAGGTTGAAAAATGTACATTTAGGGTAAGTAATAAAATAGAACCACAGAATCACTTTCATTTTTGTTTGGTTTTTGAGACAGAGTCAGTCAGTCCATATGTTGCTCTGGCCAGTCCAGAACTCACTGTGTAGCCCATACTGACCTAAAATAAAACTCAAGATCCCCATGCTTTGGTCTCCCGACAGCTGCTATGAGCTTCATACCCATGCCAGTGCGAGCCAGCAGCCCTGACTCACTCAAGTCTTGTGACTAGAGACCCTTACCTGTTCTTTGATCAACACTAATGAATTTTTTGCAAGTGTTTTGGAGTTGGCAACTCAACTTTTTTTCTTTTTTAAAAAATTTATTTACTTATTTTTATTACATATACAGTGTTCTGTCTGCATATTTGTCTGCACACCAGAAGAGGGCGCCAGATCTCATTACAGATGGTTGTGAGCCACCATGTGGTTGCTGGGAATGGAACTCAGGACCTCTGGACGAGCAATCCAGTGCTCTTAACCTCTGAGCCATCTCTCCAGCCCCTTAACAACTTTTCTTTTCATTAATTATGAACTGGGTTTCAGGATGACATTTTTTAAATCACAGCTTTTGTTTTTCTCAAACCTTCTTTCTCACTCACTTCCCAGCATTAAAACGATGCGCAGCTTGTCACTCGGGCTTGTGTCAAGTCATTCTACTGCCACCCCCTCCCTATCCTTCTTATGAAATCACAGGCATAGTTTATATCTGGATATCTTTGAATTATACCTTAGGATTCAAATAAGGTATGATGCCAACAAGCGGAAGCAAGGTTTGGGGGATCTCCTCACAGGGGAGCCCCTTAAATATTCTTGCCACCAACTAGGGAGGGTTCTTGGCCCCAACTGGTGCTTCTGTGCCAATGTTCCTCTACACCACTGTGGGTATAGGCCAGGGTTCTCAATCCTGATGGCCAAGGACAGTGGCTCTCCAATGTGGCCCATGATGATGGCCCCTGACCTATGGGCATCTTTATGAGCCTGATAGAACCTGTCTTTGTTTTCAGTTTGGGTCAAGCTACGATCTTGACTCAATAAGCCCTACCTTCCCAGCTCTTTCTCACTTAGTCTAATCCAGCTGCTGTCCCAAACCATCACCTTCCTGGCCTTCCATATGCAGCTCACAGCAGAACATTCCTCGTGCTGTCAACTGCTGGGTGACTGGAGTCTAGGCTCAGGAGGTCCAAATGCAGATGGGCATAAGTTAGCACTGTGTGACAAAAGGAGATGCTGTCCCTGACTGTCTCAAAAGAACATCCTTCCCTGGCTGTGGAGTGATGAGCAGAACCCTCTGAGAGCATCCTCAGACTTCATGCTGGGTGTACAGATTAGGTTGGACCACCCACTTTTCTCTCAGCAGGAAGGGGCCACACTCAAGTTTGGCCTCCTGTGAAATAGATTTCCTCTCTAGTGGAGAGGGATAGTGGCTTCCATCAGGAGGATAGCTCTCCCAGATAACTCTAAATAGCATTAATCTCACCTGGACTCCAGCATGCCCAGCCAGGCCCAGGGCCCTCCCCTTTGCTTGGCTTCTTTCACACTTGGTCTGTGAGGAGGAATGTGCACCTGGCTCCTGTACTCTGCTGGGTGGGGTCAACAGAGACAGAAGTTTCCCCTTTCCCAGAAAATCCCACCCTTTAACCTCTATCTTAAGATGCTGGAAGGTCAGTTGTCTTAGTATTTAGGATCTTGGGAAGGACTGAAAAATATCTTCTTGATAGTCAAATATTCACTGAGTACCTAACATTCTCCAGGAAGAAAATAAGTAAACAAAAATATCTGTATGGTCAGTACTAAGACTTATGAAGAAAAACGAAGCAGAGTAAGGACACAGAGAATTGGGACTATTATTTTAGACATGACTTTCAGGCACAGTGTCTTCAATCATGTGTATTCAAGCTGACACCCAAAGGTAGTGAAGGCTACAACATGAATATAAGACAGGAGCTTTCAAGGTAGGTAAGTGAGTGTAAAGTCCCCAGGGCAAGAGGGGGCTGTAGGGGGGAACAAGTAGGGGTTGTTGATGCTGGGGTCAAGTAATGAAGGAGGAAGCCAGAGGAAATGAGACAAAGACCGAGTGCTGCTAAGTGGCCAGGTCTCACAGGCCTTGGAGAATGCTAAAAGGACTTTCCCCCTCTTTGTAAGTGCAATGAGACACTCTTGGAAAGGGTTAAGCAAAAGAATGGCCTTAGGTTGTAGGAGGATTGCCTCAGGACTTCGTGGTGCTTGTTCGTGGTGCAGCGGTGGAGAGCTCGGGCTTGGCAGTGGTCCAGGTGAGAGTTTATGGTGGTTTAAACCAGGGCAGCACCTGTGAAGGCAGAGACCAGGGGTCTGATGATGGGACAATCTGAAGGTAAGACTGACAGGTGTGAGGCCTAAGAGTAATACAGGATCCAGGTATGACACCAACGAGTTTGGCTGGAGAACAGGAAAGATGGAACCGGCACTTACTAGTTCTTTCTATGAACGAGTGCACTGTGTATATAGAGCCAGGGGTGGTGCATGAGCACAGAGAACACTGTGGGAAATGGTGACAAAAAATTTCTCAGGACAGAAGATTTCTGACGGTGTTCGTTTTTTTCCTTGTAGTTTCTGAATTAAGTTTTCGAGTAGTGTTTGTGTTTTATTTGTTCAAACTTTTAAAAATAAAGTTTTTATTGTAGTTTTGTGGGGTTTGTTTGTTTTGTTTTGGGGGAAAGGGCCTCAATACACAGATCAGACTGACCTCATCTCTCAAATGGTGGGATTACAGGCATACCCCATTATGAACAGACAAAGGTAAACATTTTTCATGGAAAAAAAACACACACTAACAAAAGCTGTAAAAGACCACAGCAGAACACACAGAAACAGATGGAAAGAACTGGAAGTGAGCAGGGAGGACCAAGAGGACCTTGGAAGGAGGAGGCAGGGGGTGCAGTAACAGAGACAGACACTGGCTTTGAGGGTTAGGAGCAGCGGGCTCTGGGTGGCAGGGCCCAGAGAAAACACAAAGGTTCTGAGGAACTGGAGGAAGTCACAGGGTCAGGACAAACAGTAAAAACACAGAGATGGATGAGGGGGCAGGGAAGAGGGGTGAGAACCAGAACTGGAGTGGGGTGTGGGGCAAGCACACAGCAACAACCCGCTGAGGAAAGTTCCAGAAAGAACAGGAAGACGTGAGAGAATGGAGGGGCTTGTGGCTGGCTGTGGAGGAACAAAACCTGTGAGGAGTAATGGAGACTACAATGTGAGGAAACACTTCTTAGCCAAGAAAAACAAAGGACACAAAAGTTCACAGGCTGTGGATCTGATACCTCACCCTTCCCTGCTCTGTGGATGCTCAACTCTCCTGCCTTACCTACAGATTATAAACAATAAAGCTTGTCTCACAGATTTGTGTGTGTGTGTGTGCGCACGTGTGTGTGTGTGTGTGTGTGTGTGTGTACACATGAGTGTCCAGGCAGAGAATTGCATCGGGTGTTGTTCCTTGATGCGCTCCATCTTTTTCTGAACTTGAGTCTCTAATTGGCTTGGAATTTGTCAAGTAGGCTAGACTGCTTTTCCAGGATCCTGCCTGTCTCTGCCTCTCCAGGGTCCTGCCTGTCTCTCTCTCTCTGGGTTACCAGTATTATATACATGCATACCATCTGCACCACACTTGGCTTTTTTACCTAGGTTCTGGAGATCAAGCACAGGTCCTCACATGTGCACAGCACGTGAGCTAGCTCCTCAACCCTCACATGTGAGCATCAAATAACACAATCCTTTTTGATAGCATAGTATATCACTGAGCATCAAGAAGCACTCAGTAAATGTTAGGTATTATAAAGAGCAGCTCAACCCCAAGAGAAAAGAAAAGCATAATAGTGAGAGTTTCATCTTCCAAGCCAGACATGAGGGTGCATGCCTACAAACTTAACACTCAGGAGGCTGAGTAGGAGGGTCAGGAGCTCCAGGCCAACCTGGGTTACAGGGAAAGATCCAGTCTCAAAATGAAACAAAATACAAACACACACATACACACAGAGGAATGTTGTGAGACATTTGGTTATACCATGTAAAGATTGTCACTGTGCTTGATTTAATAAAAACCTAAATGATAAACAGCTAGGCTGGAGGTATAGGCAGGACTTCCAGACAGAGAGAGCTCTGGGAATGAAAAAGGGGGAGTCACCAGCTGGATGCAGAGGAAGCTGGACATGTAGGAGGAGAAGTAAAAGCCATGGGCTACATGAAAGCATGTAGATTAATAGAAATGGGTTAATTTAAGTTTCAAGAGTTACTTAGAAGCAAGCCTAAGCCAAGGCTGAGCTTTCATAATTAATAAGAAATCTCCGTGTTGTTATTTGGGAGCTGGCTGACAAGACAGAGACAGACTTGTTACACACAGATTCACCTCCTGTCCAGCTCTTTCATCCTATGCTGGTTTAGTAAAAAGTGGGGGAGAGTAAGGCCGTAAGATGGAAAAACAACTCTTACCTGCTGTGCAGACCGGCTCACAGCTGAATCTTCTTCCCCACTCAGGATGAAAAATGAAAGACCTTCATCCAGCAAGACTTCAGTCTGGGGTTAAACAGCAGCAGAGGAATGTTTAATGTAATGGATACACGCACTGTCTGCACGCAAGGCAAGAAACACTTCCATAGGAGGACAGATGGCAGCTTAGTAGCAAACAGAGAACAACACAGCAGCTATTTTACCAGCTTGTATCACTTAGCTTTGATTCATAACTTGCCTTGTGTGCGTGCGCGCACACGTGTGTGTGTGTGTGTGTGTGTGTGTGTGTGTGTGTGTGTGTGTGTTTGCTGGTAACTATAGTAATAGAGCAAAGCCAAAATCTGCCTCTCTACCCTCTCACAATAACCTTAGTTAGATTATTTCACAATTTAATAAAAATGTTGCACTGGCTGAGTGTTCCCATTTTCAAGTGTCCTCATGAACACATGCTCACATTTACCCACGCGCATCCTATCCTACTCCCACAATATTGGGTGGCATATCCGTAGCTACAGACTCATTCATAGATAAGTCCTCTTTTGTCCATGCTGCAAATTCAGATTCTCTAAATACAAATCATACCACTTATTTCTCATGTATACATACTGCCTTAAGAGAAGGGTGGAAGGGACCCAAAAAAGGTCACATTAGAAATCAAAGAGTTTCGAAACACAAAAATGTGAAAATTTGCCTTATATTTTGTTTATATTTAGAGTTTAACTGTCATTTGCACATATAAACTCTCCCAGTGTTTCTGCTTATCATCAGCTTCCTGAATACATAAGCTTGTATTTGGTATGGAAACTCTTATTTTATTAATTTATTTTGTATATTTGTGTGTGCCTCCATGAGTGCTTATGTGAGCTTGTGTGTACCACATGTGTGAAGGGTCCTTGTGTTTTAAGATCTGAAGAGCTAACTGTCCCACATGTTTGTGGCAAAACTGCCAGCTCCCAGCACTGTCCTCCAGATCTCGGAACCCATTCATACCCAGACACTTAACTACTTCTTCTATATTCTTTTACTGGGAATGATGTGCACAACTTGCATGTGTGTCCTGTAAAAAGCAACCTGCAATTCATTTCTCTTTTATCTTTGTCTATAGGTGAAAAAGTAGAACTCTGTGTCTCGGACTCACAGATGAGACACCCATGGTAAGACATCCATGAGTCTGAGTAGCTAATGGGGAGAAGCGCATGTCCCATTTGGTAAGACATCCATGCGTCTGAGCAACTAACGGATAAACCAGAGGGAGCAAGACTTTTCTTTTAATGCAAAAAAGTAAAATTGTTTACTTTCAGTGAATTCATTTTTTTATGTTTATTGTTGCAGCAACTTAGCTTGTACTCTAACACAGCTACTACTCCAAATCTGAATCATTTCAAATACGTAATTGCACACAACCTCTAGCACCAGATCTCTAAGTTTGGGAGCATCTCTGCTGCTGTTCGAATAATCAACTGGCAGGTCCTTGGGCTGAACCCACAGTTTCTAGGTAAGAATTCTGTGTTGAGGCACACACCAGGGACACGAAGCTTAGCTTTCAGCCACGAACTGCCGGCTAACTCCTGACAAGGGACATTATAGGCACGGCCCCACTTTGCTGAATCGGATGCTTTCACTGCCTTGTTTATGTCTTTAGGAGGCCCATGATCGCTTTCCCTTCATGTTCCTCAGGTGCATCCCTAACAGCTTGCCGTCTGGAGTGGCCCACTTCAGGAGTTGTTTTCTGCTCAAGAAAACTCTGTAAAACTTTAAGTGCTTAAGTTTATCTTTTAATGACATCTTGTTATAATTTAGTAGGATAAGAAGTGCCAGGTGGGAATAGTGATTGCAAATGGGCACGGGGATCTTTCATGGGTCAATACAGATGCCTGAAACTGGATTGTGGTGTCAATCACACAGTTCTATAGTTTAGCTACAAGCCATTAAGTTGTATGCCAAACAGGACAAATTTTTGTTGTGTAAGATATACCTCCATAAAGACATTTTGTAAAGTACTTTTTAAAAAGTTATTCACCTTAGACCATTGGTGAATCTTTATATCAGTGAGCAGCTGAGCGGAGGACTTTTCACCTTGACTGATCTGAAACACAAAGTTTTACAGAAAATAAGCATAGAGCATGTAAGTCTTCTGTCCAAAATGAATAAAAGTAAAAATTCATCAATGATTTTCTTTTTTATTTTTATTTTTTATTTTTTTGGTTTTACGAAACAGGGTTTTTCTGTATTGTTTTGGAGGTTGTCGGTCCAGCTCAGCCTCGAACTCACAGAGAGCCACCTGCCTCTGCCTCCCGAGTGCTGGGATTAAAAGCATGTGCCACCACCGCCTGGCTATGATTTTCTTTTTTAAAGTATGTTTATGTATATATACATATAAACATTTATTTTTACCTGAAATATCATATATATGATTACTATGACCAGATGGACTTTTCCCGGTTTAGGTTTAATATCACAGGGGGTGTGTGTTGGTTGGTCATATGTTAACTTGACACAAGCTAATTGTTTGAAAGGAGGGAAACTCAATTGAGAAAATGCCTCCATAAGATCCAGCTGTAAGGCATTTTCTTAATTGGCGATTGATGGGAGAAGGCCCAGCAGACTGTGGGTGGTGCCATTCCTGGGATGGTGGTCCTGGGTTCTGGAAGAAAGCAGGTTGAGCAAGCCTTGAGGAGCAAGCCTGTAAGAAGCACCCTTCCATGACTCTGCATCAGCTCCTGCCTCCAGGTTCCCGCCCTGCTTGAGTTCCTGTCCTGACTTCCTTCAGTGATCAACACTGATGCAATGTGTAAGCCAAATAAACCCCTTCCCCTCCAACTTAGTTTTTGGTCAGGGTGTTTTGTCACAGCAATAAAAACCCTAACTAGGACAGGGTGTTAAGACAGAAAAGGAAAAGGAAAGAGAGGGAAAGAATTAGAAAACAAAGCAGACTAGAGGTTGAAGCCTTTTTAGAATTGAGCTATCTCGTCTTTCTTGACAATAAAACATGATTCATGTTCCACTTAAAGCAGTCATTCTGTAAACAGGAGAAAGCAATTAAGAGCATTACCTTAGCATTTTTTAGTTTTCCTCTTACTTTGTCTCTCAGTGTCTCTGTGATGTTTCGATTTTCCTCTGTATCTAAATCAAGACACCAATGTTACGAGAGTTCACATGATTGTATTGTAATTAACCAGACAAAAGTCTATGTGCATCTTTGCACCTATGTCTAACCAACAGGAAGAAAAGGCCAGTGTCCCACGAGCACTTAGAACCCTGCATCTCTTCCCCTTTCTCTCAGGGAACAGTTTATCTATGGCAAATTGTGTTTCTCTTGTAACTTTTTCTCAGTCCTTCATTATCTTCTCTTACTTCTTCCTCAGATATCAGCCAGAGTCTTTCCTGCATACAAGCAAAACATAAAAAGGCTCAAAGAACCTTTGCTGTTGTTTTCTTGTTAGAAAAAAAAATTCCTCGAGAACATTTCTGTTCCATATAGAATGCCCTGAGGCATGAGCCAATATTGAAGACACATTGTGTTGCTGCTGCTGCTGCTGTTATTAAACTGGAAGAATGGACTGAAAGGAAGTGTGTGTACTCCAAGCCATTTGTTACTTTCTGCCACTAATAGGATGTATTGAGCAAGTTCTGAATACAATTAAAAAAAGGAAGATGAATTGGTCATGCTCCCTTGCAGTTTGCTCTTTCCTCCCCCTCCTGTTGAGTACTTGTAAGTTGTGAGGTAGGAATAAGGAGCAGGAATAGAGCTAAGTCACAAGACGTCTTCTGCATCCACACATATTTAAGGTCTGACCCAGTCTCAGGCTCCGGTGAATCCTCTCCATATGCACAGTTAATGATGGAGAAAACGGAACATCATCAGTTTAACTTCTATGTAATTCCTTGAGCCCATTCCGTGTTATTAGGAAGCCCAGTTTATGTTTATACTCTAGAATGCTGAGGCTCTAGGATGGGAGTAATCATTTACATCTTTCAAAATAAAACCCAAGGATATGAGAGTTGTGGCACACTTATGGAGAACCTTTTGAGAGATGCCTGTCTGCTGTTTCTTCTGTACTGCTGTACGCTGCTTCTGACATCTGCGGGGAAAGTAGGGAAGGTTAGATGGCATTTGGTGCTTCTTATGTCAATCAGCCTTCCCAACATCATCTCCTGTAAGGTATCAATTCATATTCCTTGTCTACTCAGTATCAATTCATATTCCTTGTCTACTCAGTATCAATTCATATTCCTTGTCTACTCAGGTATCAGTTCATATTCCTTGTCTACTCAAACTTCAGTCTTTTTTAGTAACACGATTTCTTTATGTATGTAATATATATAAAAAAAACACCTTAAAATGACAAAATCTGACTGAGACTTGTTCTTTGTGTTTATGTACTACTGGCCTCGTGTTTCTTCTAGGAATGTCTGGTGAAATTATACATGTATAAAAGTACATTAAAAACCCAACATTACAGGCTGGGCAGTGGTGGCGCATGCCTTTAATCCCAGCACTCAGGAGGCAGAGGCAGGCGGATCTCTGTGAGTTCGAGGCTGGGCTGGACCGACAGCCTCCAAAGCAATACAGAGAAACCCTGTCTCGTAAAAACCAAAAACCAAAACACAAAACAAAAACAAAAAACAAACAAACAAAAAAACAACAACATTACAGCAGTATCGCTGCTTGAGGATTTCTCTGTAGTGTTTGACGATACACACACCCTCCTTCTGGAAATGGTGTTGCCTTCTATTCCTAACTATCTTCACCCCCGTATCTCCAGTGGCCACACTGTTCCCCACAGAAAGGCAAGTGTACTCAGGGCTTTGGGGGTGCACTCCATGGCCCCTCAAATACGTATCTTTCACTCTGACTTTCCTCCTTAACATCAAAAGCCATTCTGGCTGACTCCTGGTAGGAGGAACCGAATTCCATCATTAAAAGTTCAGTATGTTAAGATGAACATTTTTGGTTTCTCAAAGCTTGGTCTTATAAAGTAACTCTTTTTATATTCTGGTGGTATGGAGTATGAGTTTGTTCTAAACTTTAAATTTGAGGTGTATCATTATATATCTTGAAATTTATTGTATACTCTTGAAAAAACAGTGTGAAGCTGGAATGGGAAAAGTAAAAAGATACATGTTAGCTTCACAATTACATTAAAAACATGGATTCAGGGGCTGGTAGATAGCTCAGTGGGTGAAAGTGCCAGTCACCAATGCCAGCTACCTAAATTCTGTTCCTAGGAGCCACAGAGTAGAATGAAAGACCCAACTCCCACAAGTCATCCTCCAACCTCCACAGGTGCTCTATTGTATGTATATGTACACATAAACATACACACACAACAAACAAATGTAATAAAAAATTTAAGGATGGACTTTGTTGAAAATCAAAGCAGGTTATCAACATGATTGTGTTTTTTTAAAAAGTTAATATAACAAGAAATTAGTCAATGGACTTTACAGAAGAATTTCAAAATCTGCCAGTGATCCTTGTATCACAGTTAGAAGTTCTGAATAATGTCATCATGAGCCTATATGCCCCCTTCTCACTAACCACCAATGCCATCCTCAAAACAACTGAAGATGCCAAGGACAGTGACCCTGAAGTGACAGCAGAACACCGACCTTGAGAAGAGATTGGTAGAGGGAGACCTAGCTTTAATTTCCAACCTCTAGGCAGTGGTTCTCAACCTTTCTAACTCTGTAACCCTTTAATATAGTTCCTCATGTGGTGGTGACCCCCATCCATAAGATTATATTTGTTACTATTTCATAACTATAATTTTGCTACCGTTATGAATTGTAAATACCTGCATTTTCTGATGGTCTTAGGTGACTCCTGTGAATGGACCATTTGAACCCTCAAAGGGGTCAGGATCCACAGGTTGAGAACTCCTGCTCTAGGATATGACTAAGGAAGATTTACAGGGATAAAGACTTTTAAGTCAGAGAATTCCCAAATAAATAATATGGAAACAAGCCAAATGCAAAGATGGCTATCCGAGACAGCCCAGATCAGAGCAGAAATTAACAAAATGGAAACTAAAAGAACAACATCCAGAATCAATCACACAAGGAGTTCTTTGGAAAAAATAAATGGTTAATCTTGGGTGTCAACACGAAGGAATCTGAGATTAAGTAAGAGACACACCTGTTGGGCGGGTCTTGGAGTGGCACCTGCCAGCAGCAGCTGGAGTACAATGTAAGGCAGTCCACACTCACAGCTTTTGCTTTCTAGGCTTCTCTCCTTGCTGCTGTCACAGCTGCTACTACCCTTGGCTGACATCAAAACCCAGTCTCCTCAGTCTCCCAATGTGGACTCAGGACCCGGCTACAGACCCACACAACTGGAGCTGCCCATTATTTGAAAAAGGTGTCAAAATATACATTGCAAAAACAGACAACAGTTTCAACGAATGATGCTGGGAAAACTGTACATTTATTTGTGTACAGGAAGATCCACATCTCTTCTCTTGTGCAAAATCAACTCCAAGTGGATCACAGACCTTAGTGTAACTTTCAAACTGCTAGACAAACTGTTATGCCTTTCTAAGAAACGTGGACAAATATTTCAAGATGTAAGCATAGGCAAGGACTCTGAAAAGAAGATGATCACGGGAGTTGACAAATGGGATTGTGTGAAATGAACAAGCTGCTGTCCTGCAAAGAAAACAACTGGCTCGGGGAAAGAGATGGCTTAGAGGCTGTAAAGAACTGAAAAAAAATAAACATCAGTTCCCAATCATCCAGCTGAAAGAGGCTTAGTCCATGTGGAGGTCTGACATGGGGAAAGAGATGGCTTAGAGGCTGTAAAGAACTGAAAAATAAACTATCAGTTCCCAATCATCCAGCCGAAAGAGGCTTAGTCCCTGTGGAGGTCTGAAAGGAAATGGCGCCCAAAGTGCGTCACTGTGGGGGAAGGCTTTGAGGTCTCTTTTGCTCAAGCTTCCCTCAGTGATAGTCAACTTCCTGTGACCTCTGACTCACAATGTAGGACTCTCAGCTCCAGCACCGTGTCTGCCTGCATGCTGCCATGCTCCCCGTTCTGATGATGATGGACTGAACCTCTCAAACTGTAAGCTGCCACCCCAATTAAATGTTTTCTTCATAAGAGTTGCTGTGGTCATGGTGCCTCTCACCACAATAGAAACCCTAACTTAGGGCATTAAATAGCTCTCAAAAGAAGCTATGTAAGCGGCCAATCGATATTTGGAAAAGTACTCAAACTCTCAGCCACCAGGGAAATGTAAATTGAAGCTGGTGTGGGATTCTATCTCGTTTCTGTCAGAATAGTTACCATGAAGAGAAAAACATCAAATCCAGGCTGTGGGTATGTGAAGAAAGAGGAACCCGTATGCACTGTGGGAATCTAAACTGAGTTAGCCACTAGGGAATCAGTAATTAGTCTCTTCAAAAAGCAAAACCAAAACCAAAACAAAACGGAAGATGCAACAATAATACGACTCAGCTACACTATTTCTGGACATAGACCCAACTCAAGTCAACATAAAAGGCCATTTGCAGCCAGGCATGGTATGGTGGCACAAGCCTATAATCCCAACACTCATGAGGCAAAGGCAGGCAGATCACTGTGAATTTGGGGCTAGTCTTGTCTACAAAGTATGTTCCAGAACACCAGGGTGACAAAGAAAGACCCTGTTTCCAAACAAAACAAAACAAAACAAAAGCTAAAGACATTTGCACATTTATATTTATTGTTGTACTACTCATGACAGTTAAGAAATGGTCTCCAGTAGATGAACTCATAGGATGAATTCCCATCTCATGGGAGGAAACCGGGGATGCTTTCATATCCAAGTTGTTTACAAACTGTTTAAGGATCACAATGTATAACAAGAGACCACAAACACAGCTGAATGCAGATTTTAGGAAATCATACACCTCTTGGTAAAATGCTACAAAAATTTATTTTTTAAAAATCCCATTAATACTTCACCTTTTTAAAGATTTCTTCTCTTCTCTTTGAGATCTTTTTCATGATGACTCTTTTACTTTCGCTTTCTAAATATAAGAATGAGAAACCGTGTGATTAGGTTGAAAAGCATCGCAGGGGCTGGAGAGATGGCTCAGCAGTTAAGAGCACTGGCTGCTCTTCCAGAGGACCTGGGTTTGGTTTCCCAGCACCCTGTGGCAGCTCACAACCATCTGTAACTCCAGCCCCAGAGCATCCCGTTGCCCCTTCAGCCTCTCAGCAGTGCACACAGGGCATACATGCAAACAGTTCAGACACCTGGTCCACAAGGCATACATGCAAACAACATACACATACACATTACAAAACAGAAGGTGTGGCTGATGATGATCCACGCAGGCAGGTGGCAATTTCATTAGCAAAAGAGTTTGCCCCTTGCTTGCCATTTAGATACTCTTGGATGACGGGAGGGGAGAGAAGGCTCAGTGGTTAAGAGTGCTTCCAGCAACGCATTTTCCCCTGGGCTCTTACTGGACCTCATTTTAAATGCATCAATGTCCCCTCTTTCCCGCTTAGGACAGAGCAGTCCAGTGTGGCTTTCTCCTTACCTCAGTGAATCTACTGTCATACGACACAAAGGTTTTGAAAGTTGTTTCTTAAGTCACGTTCTTCCAGATTTCTTTGAGTTGAGTTAGGATGCTGTGCCAAAAATATTCCAGTGAAAATTAAAACAGTGGGCAGCATTCTGTCCAAATAAAAGTTCACTAAACATCTAGCATCCTTTTAGTAGCAGGGAACAGAAAAAGCAGAATTTAACAAAAGTATCCCACCAACCATATTCTATAAAAAGCATTGTGCCCCTCTGGTATTCTATCTGACATGTTCAAAAATTCTCATCTTTTCATTAACTGTGATTTGCTTTCCTGAATCAGTAAGAGGGAATCATGGCCCAGGCTCAGTCTGGTTATGCATGTCTAAAATCCTAGCATAGGAGAGGCTGAGGCAGGGGGATCAAAGGAACACATGGCATGAAAAGAACCCTTCTGAACTGGTGTCTTTAGAAACTTCAAAACTGTCTCCCTGTGCTCTCAAGCCCAAGTAGAGAGGGCAGCCTGCTCCCGCGTGACAAAGATTTCACCTCCATCCCTGTCTTCCCTCTCTGCTGCAGGGTTTGCGGAAAGCTGTGGTGGGCTGAAACAAATATGGAAGCAGGTGACATAAACTATCATATAGACTGAACGTTTGTATCTATTATATTCAAGGCAATGTAATTATGCTACCTGGAAACTGATCGGAAGAATTATCTAATTTACAGCGTAAAAAAGGTCACCAGGTCCAGCAAGTTGGTGGGAGTACTGTGCTGCTTATAGTCTAGCCTGAAGGGCCATCTCTGGGTCTATATTTAGTCACCTTCCCAGTCAGAAAGCCCTCAGACTACACTTGCCTCATACACGCTGAGGCAAGACTAGTCTTTATTTTTCCTGCTACCCCTTTCCCTTGAGTTTTGCAGTCTTTCTCGATGGACTGCATACTATGTTTCAAGTCTAATTCTCCCTCTACCCTCTTCTGGGGACTTTTTCCTGGCTACAGACCTTTTTTTTGGTCCTTACAATTTCTACCTTGGACGCTCATGTTTCTGTTGATTCTAAGGTGTTATCCTAATGCTTACCCCAGCAAAGAGTTCAACTCCAGCCGATCACCCTCCTCCACTCAGGAAATAGTTCTCTGTCCCCCAAGTTAATCCAAATTGCGCACTGACCTCAAAGCTGGGAAATGCTCAACCTTTCATTCCCAATGGGATGGTTGGCAGGTGGTGCGGTTCTGTGTTGTCCCAGGCCCAGGATTCCTCACAGAGCAAGGGACCATCGTGGGGATCTTAAGGGACAGCAGGACATTCTCCTGAAGGACACTGCTCTTTTGATGTGCCTGGGAAGTGAAGGCAGATCCTGAGCAGCCTCCAACGCCCACGCATGCGCGATGCGGTCCAGGTCTCAGGAAGTGTTCTGAGCGCTGGCTGCCCTTCCGGTCTCCAGATACCGGGTCTCAACTCCGCCTCCAGGCACGCGATCTCCCGGTGCACCTAGGCTGCTTCACAGCCTCAGTAACGTCAGCCTCTCTCGTGCCCCTCCTCGGTGGGGTAGGTTGAGAGCCATACCGTTGGCGCAGGTTGTCGGGACCTGAATATGACCTGTGCTGCAGCTCTCAATTCAAACGATTTGTTTTTATTTTCAGAGCTTGCACTTCATGTCACAAATGTAATATTTTTAAATCTTGGACTGGGTGCTGCAGAGATAGTTTAGTGGTTAAGAGCACGTACTGTTCTTGCAAAAGCCCCGAGCTCACAGCACCCAGTTGGGTGGCCCACAAGCACCTGTAACTCTGACTCCAGGGTGTCTGGTGCCCTCTTCTGGTGTCAGTAGCACCCGAATTAACACATACACATATCCCCCACACCCATACACACGTAATTAAAAATAAAATAAATCTAAGAAAAAAAATCTAAGAAGTCTTGGGCTCGGGAGATGGCTCAGTACATCAAACGCTTAGCGTGAGGCTAGTGAAGTTCGGGTTCCCAGAGCCCATGGAAAGTCAGCAAGTGTGGAGGAGGAGGCAGGGATGCGTGGGGCAAGCTCTGAGCTCCAGGAGACATCAGTACCTCAGTTAATAAAGAGAGAATGGAGGAAGACAACCGATGTGTAAGACCGTGGCTTCCCAAAGTGCACCTACACTGGAAGTGGTCCACTCGGGCAAAACATGAGTAAACAAATAAAATAGTATGCCTCCACCTAGAGCCTCTTTCCTCCCTGTTAAAACGATGACCTAAATAAGCCTTACAAAGGTGGGAATTTGATATTGGGGCTCAGCACAGTGGTGTGTGTCCCTTCATTCCAACATGACATTTTTAGGAACTGCTTTCTGTGCCTACCCTATTAAATGCTTTAGCCTGTGATTCTGGAGACACGTAGGAGGATTTTAAAACTAGACAGTTTTACACTTGAGGAAAGGTTAATGGGACAGGTAAGGTAGGGACCCCAGGGCACAAGAAAATGAACTCACAAGTTTTGCTCACCACACTATCTGGAAATCTCAAAACAAAATAAAACAAACAAAAATCTATTCATTGTTAAATGTGCCCAAGCCTCAAAATGACTTGGCCAAATTCTCATTCCAAGTAAAACCCTTGTGGTTCTCTCATTTTTGTTGTCTAGGGCTCACCTGGTACAGCAATTTAGAAGCAACGATATAACATTCCTGTCTTTTTGAATGTGACCCGAGCCATGTCTACAGTTTAACAGTCGAGTTAAGCAAGTTTTCCTTAAATACTGATGTCCTGGATTGAATGGAATATGTCCGCAAGTTGTAAGCATCACAGAATACATTGTATTTTATGAACACTTAACTTCTAGGATTATCATCCAGTGGCAGTATTCTTAAAAAGTACACATGCACATATATATGTGCGCTATGACATATTATTATTACACATGTTAAGTATATTGTTCAGATAACTAAGTTGAGGTAGCATGGGTTTGAGATCTCCTACTAGAGAGCTTATAGTACAGAAGCTGAGGAATCCTAAGTATTTTCAAGGTTAAAGAGCATTTTCTATCAGAGGGGAGGAAGCAGGGGGAAGTGTCAACATTCCAGTAGCTACATCAAACTAGTTGTCTAATGTCACACACAGAACTGTTGATTCAGTCCGTTGTGGCCGGTTTTAAACTGCTCCAGCAGTTTTCCTATAAAAATTGAATTTCTTGACAAAGATTTAGAACAACTGTCTGTGCAGGTGGGCAATCATCAGGCAGCAATAGTCAATGGTAAGTCATCTGCACTGTTTTCTGTGCCCAGAGAAGGCCTTCCCGGTTCTCGATAGGCAGTGCCGCTCCTTCTTAGGGACCTTCTTAGCTCTCCACCATGAATCTCAGCATCAGTCGCCTCTTTACAACCTTTGGTATTTTGGTCACCTTTTACTTAGGATGCCAAGCTGTCTGGGCATTTGAGTCTAAAACACCGTCTGTAAAGGTTAAGTGAAGGTCGGCTATGGTGGCCCACTCCTGCCATCTCTTCACTAAGGAGGCTAAAGCAGGGAGATCTTGATTTTCCCAGTCAGCCTGGGTTAGCCACACCCATCCAGATGACTCATCCCTTCACGTGGCCTCATCTCCACACTTCTACAACCTGCTCATTGTCTTATTTCAGCTCTTCCTCTAGACTAAGTGACCAAAAAAATGACCTCCTCTATACCCTCCTCTCACAGGACACTCTGCATGTTTTGGAGCCTGGTTTTTGCTTAAGGAGATCACTTTCCCAGCCCTCTCCCATAGGGAGAGCTGCACCCCACACTCCGCAATGCCTCATAGTAGCGTCTGTATTTTCTGTCTCATGACTACTCCCAGGGTGACATCCTACCTTCTAAAACACAGATATCCTTCTCTGCATGTTTCTTGTTTGTTTTTTTCAGACAAGCTATCACTGTGTACCCTAGATTGGCTTCCAAATCTTGACCCTCAGTCTCAGCCTCACTGGTATCACAAGAATACACCACCATGCCAAGTTTCTTTTATGTCTTACCTCTCTTCTGCTCAGCATTGTCACTTACTGGGTTCCTGGTTGTCACTCTTTATTCACTAAGGAATTTGGCACCAAATTGAATTTTGTTTTCTTAGCTGCAGGATCCTGGCATTGGGGAGGACAAAAATGGCCATTGTGTGCCCAGGTCTAGAACTAGTTCCACTAATTGCTGTGGTTAAAACTCTAACATTCTCAGGGCTGGAGAGATGGCTCAGAGGTTAAGAGCACTGACTGCTCTTCCAGAGTTCAATTCCCAGCAACCACATGGTGGCTCACAACCATCTACAATTGAATCTGGTGCCCTCTTCTGGCATGTAGGCAGAACACTGTATATGTAAAAATTGAGTAAATCTTTTAAAAAAAACTAACATTCTCTTTCATCTGTTTTTTTTAACGTTTTATTCATTTTACATACCAACCAAAGTTCCTCCTTTCTTCCCTCCTCCTCCCTCCCCTCCTCTCACTCACCCTCACCTCCCCCACTCAGCCAACCTCCCCTTCCACTCCTCCAAAAGGGTAAGGCCTCCCATGGGAGTCAACAAAGCCTGATACAGTAAGTTGAGACAGGATCGTCTTTGTTACTTTGTCTCTTTGTCTAATCCTTTTTAAAACTTTTATTTTGTGTGTATGAGTGTTTTGCCTTTGGGTATGTGTGTGCATCACATGTATGCCTGGTACAATCAGAGGTCAGGAGAGCCTTGGATCCCTTAGAACTAGAGTCATGGATGGTTGTGAGCCACCATGTGAACCCTGGGAACTACATCTGGATCCTTTCAAGAGCAACAACTGCTCTTAAAAATGTGTCTGGCGGGCTGGAGAGATGGCTCGGAGGTTAAGAGCACTGACTGCTTGCTCTTTCCAGAGGTCCTGAGTTCAATTTCCAGCAACCACATGGTGGCTCACAACCATCCGTAAAGATATCTGGTGCCCTCTTCTGATGTGCAAACGTACATGGAGGCAGGATGTTGTATTCATAATAAATAAACAAAATCTTTAAAAAAATGTGTCTGGCATTTATCTGCATGAATATATATATGCACCACGTATGTACACTGTCCACAGAGGTCAGAAGAGGGTGTTGGATCCCTGAAATTCAATATTGTGAGCCACCCTGTGGGTGCTGGAAACTGAACCTGAGTCCTCTACAAGAGCCAGCTCTCCAGTCCAGCAACAAATGTTCTTAACTGCTAGCCCCTCTTTCCCTTTTTTAATCTCTGACATCATCAAGTCTACGCCCGACCACAGTTGTCAGCATCAGCATCCACTGGACTGAGTTTCCTCCTCATCCACCACGATGCTTGGGTCTGTTTACTCAGAGTGAAACCCTTCAACCCCAAAATCTTTTGTTTCTCCCGCCTTGTGGCTTTATTTAGTCCAGCCATTTGCCTTTTCATCTTACTGGAAAAGCACCTAGGTTTAAAATACTTTATTTTTTATGTGTTTGTATGTGTATGTGTCAGGTGCCCTGGAGCTGGAGTTCGAGGCAATTGTGAACTATATTATGTGGGTTCTGGGAACCAAACCCCAATCTTCTGTAAGAGCAGAAGATGGGTCATCTGTCCAGGCCCATGAAAAAGTCACTAAATTGCAGTAGTAATAGTAATAATAATAGTAATAGTGATGATGATGATATGGGATAATGCTCTTGTTCACTGTTAAGATTCGTCACTTGTACCGGTTTAATAAAACACTGATTGGTCAATAGCCAGGCAGGAAGTGTAGGCGGGGATATCAGACTAAGAGAATTCTGGGAAAAGGTAAGGAAGAGAGTGAGTCGCCAGCCAGATGCAGAAAGCAAGATGGCAATGTCTTACTGAGAAAAGGTACCAAGCCATGTGGCTAAACATAGATAAGAATTATGGGTTAATTAAGTTGTAAGAGCTTGTTAGTAATAAGCCTTAGCAATAGACTAAACAGTTTATAATTAATATAAGCTTCTATGTGTTTATTTGGGATTGAAATGGCTTCAGGACCAGGTGGGACAGAAATTTCCATCTACAATAATATATAAAAAAAATCACACAAGCAGATTGTTACCAAGACCACACAGCCCTGCCACCATTTCCTCCCTGCCCACAGCTGGTGTTTCATTTCTATTACTTCTCAAGCTCACCTCACTGTCAGCCTTGAGTATTCAGTAGCTGGCTTTGCTTTTCAGAAGCAGCAGAGCTTCAGACATGGATGCTAACCACCAGGCTAATTTACCATGAGCAGACCTAGCTGTCTCTCCTGCTCCCAGAGAGCAGATTACGCCGGTCCCATCACAGCTGATCTGTCCTGGGTCCCATCCATGCTATCCCTTCTGGGCCCTTGTGTCATTACTGAAGTCTTAACCATCAGTTTTTCCACCTCACCCAACAACAAAAGGAAAATGATTCTCAAGTTCCTTCCTTCTCCTTTACATCCAAACTTGTAGAAAAACTAATATTTTTCTTTCCTTCCATGTTACTGTCCTACCCAATGTCTAGCCTCCCACCACCCATCATGCCATCGAGGACTTTCTTTTTATTACATTTATTTATGCATTTATGTGTGTGTTTATTTATTTACTGTGTGGGCACATGCAATGGCATGCATGTGGAGTCAGAGGACAAGTTATGGGAATCAGGTGATTTGTATATACATTCAGTGTTGATAAGTATGGCCTTTTAAGGTTCATGTAAATCCTTAGCATTCCATTTCAACAGTCAAGAGCTAGATGGTGAACTGTTAGATGGTGAACTACTCAGAAACTAAACGCATTTTCCCAGTAGGAAAAGGTCCATGTGTCTAGGATAATTAAAGAAGGTTCCACTGCCCCATCAGCTGAGCAGTGGAGAAGTGTAGTCGTATCAAAGGCCAGTTCTAGGATGAAGTTTCCAGCTGGCCTGGCAGCTGGAAGGGGGATTGCCTAGAACTGCTCCCTTAGGTTTCACTAAAATATCCCGGAGCCCCCCCCCCCTTTTCCAGAAGGAAACAGGTCACATGCTTTGTCCCAAGGAGCATATTCTGACTAGAATGGTCTGAGCTTTCTAAGGAAACTCTAAGAGCCGTGGCAGCACGGGAAGAGGTCTGCCCTGGAGACCAGGAGACAGTTTTGCATCTGGCAGGATATCTGGGTTGAGCGTTGAAGGTGGAATGGAGTAAAGGTAGCCAAATCAGAATCCACAAGGAACACCAGCAGGTGAAATGGATGTGAGCCCAAGGAGAGCTCAGAGCCAGGGATGATGATAGGGATCTTACCCTAGGCAACAGAAAGCCACCTATGACTTCAGTCAGGGATAATATGATCAAACTTGTGGTTTTTATTTTTAAAGTTAAAATTTTTTTTGAGAATTCCATACATGAGTACTGTATTTATATCATTTTTACTTTGTTTTTGTCTTGTTTTGAGACAAGGTCTCTCTACATAGCCCCAGTTGAACTCACTATGTAGACCAGGCTGGCCTCAAACTCATAGAGGTACACCAGCCTCTGCTTCCCCAGTGCTGGGATCAAAGGCGTGGGCTACAATACACAGGCTTAGTGGTTACTAGCACTGGATGTTATTCCAGAGGACCCAGGTTAGATTCATAGCATCAACATGGTGGGTCAAAACCACCTGAAACACCAATTTCAGGGGATCCAATGCCCTCTTCTGGCCTCATTGGGCATTACATGAATGTGGGGCACAGATACAATATGAGGACAAAATACCCACACACATAAGACTTTTTGGAAAGTTTTAAAGAGGATCTTTGATTTTATTTTGACATTCAAATTTACATTTTGAGAAATGTGAACATGAAGAATTACCTTTGAACCAGCTCACATCACAAGTCTTGGCCCACTTGTTACACAAAGACAGCAAAGCCATAGGAACATAGTAAAATGCTCGGTTGGGATCTAAACAGCTTGTTTAGGAATAACATTCATGTCTATGTGTAATGAGAGAATGGCAGGGATGTTTTAGTCTACCTAACCTACTTGTGTAATGCTCCCTAAGGAAAAGTCAATGAGAGCTTATCTCTTACCTACCTTGTAAGCTTCAGAAGTATTTCCAAATGTGCCAATATGCCAAGAGGTAGCTAGTGTTGGGCACCTAAAATGTGGCCTATGGTGTGAATGCAATACACACAACAGATTTTGGAAGCTTTGGATTTTGAAACCATATATGAATAATTTTACATTGATTATTGAAACGAGAATATTTTAAGTTTAGCCTCTTTTTAAAACTCTACTTGGTTCCCATGTTGGAGTATACCACCTCTTTCCTGTATGGATCTTGACTAACAAAACACTAAAATGAAATGTACTTTTGAATCTTTTGTGTATATCATGTTATATTTCTTACTTATTTAGACGAATTGAAACTTTTTTCTCCCATACACACCCATGTGCACACACATGCAAAACCTAGCTCTATAGTTTCATGTTTTTATTTATATCAGATGAACCCATTTCTGCTCTTGTAGGTTCATAGAAAAAAATCACTACCTTGCAAAGGAACAGGGTTAGAAGAACAGATTCTGAATACTGAGTGAAAATCTAGAGATGAATAATAATTAACTATAGCCAATGAGTGGGCAATCCAATATTAAAATTAATTAATAGTGACTCATTTTATTTGGTCTGCTCCACACAGAAGGACCCAAAGAAGATCCCTAGATTAACGTTCCCTCCAATGAAACTGAGATTAGGTTGTATCTAATTGTCTCCATTATTATTATTATTTTGAATCTGGAAAACAAGACAAAAATGTGATTTTTGTTCTTTGAAGGAAACTTGTTGTTTTGAATTCCAACATATTGGCAGTGCTGGTGGCAGTGAGTGTTAAAAAGGAGAAAACATGGCCAGTTGTAGTAGCCCACGCCTTTAATCCCAAGGAGGCAAGAGCAGGTGGAGATCTGAGTTCGAGGCTAGCCTGGTCTTCAGATAAATGAGTTCTAGGACAGCCAGGGCTACACAGAGAAATCATGTCTTGAAAAGCCAAAAATAAAACAAAACAAAACAATAACAACAAAAACAAAAGAAAAAAAGGTAGTCTTGAGGCAGATGTGAGTTTGAACATGCTCTATCATGAGCATTGGGAGTGGTAAAAGCCACCTTCTTCTGACTGTTGTGAGAATAGAATGGGAAGATGAACACAATGCATCTAAGCACAGAACATAACCACGGATGCTCAGTCAATGGTTAATGGCAGCTGCACATTCAACTGTGAACAACAGAAGAGACTCATAAAAAAGAAAGATGACTTGACTACCCAAGAGATATGGGGGCATTTAGCTTCTAGTTTATGGGAAACTTTCCTTTCTGAGTGTCCAGTACCCAGATCAGAGATGGACAGACAGCTTGGGTATAGGGTGAGAATACATCACTGCTCAAGTCTGCTCAGCAGCTAATTATTGCAACAATACTCATAGGAAAGGTACAAGATCTCTCCACTTTTCCAGAATAAAAGTCCATAATCACTTATTTGTTACCCATGAAACACTCCATGAAATACGGAAATAAGGCATGTGTTGCATGGCAGAGGGGTAGTAACACTTGAAATGTAAATACCCCAACAGGGCAAAAGTCTGCCACCCTTCACTAAATTCAGTCTTGGGACAATAAGATATGGTGTGGCTCTCAAACCCAGTGAGCCTCTCTGTGGATCAGAGTCTACTTAGTGATCAATGGAATGGTTTGTGGTTTGAGAAAACTCATGTATGGTCTTGTCCCCAGGCAACCTCTTGGTTATAGACCGTTATAAAATTGTAGCACAGGGCCTGGAGAGGCGGTTCAGAGGTTAAGAGCACACATTGTTCTTGCAGAGGATCTGTTTGAATTCTAGCACCCACACTGGACAGCTCACAATTCCAGTTCTAAGGGATTGACACCCTCCTCTGGCCACCATGTTAACTGCACTCATGCGCACAGACCCATCATACACACACAATTAGAAACAAAATCTTGAAAGTAGTGATAATTGTATAACATTGTAAATGTACTAAATGCCATTCAGTTGTACTGAGTGGAATGTAAATATGGTGAAATTTGTGTTATGTGTATTTTAACATAAAAACCACAAACTCTAAAAGATGCATTAGAGGGGATATTTTCCCAGTCCTGAGTGGTAGCTGTAATATTCTTCCTAGCACATTCACTACTGTCACATAGTAGCCCCTAAATGCCTATGTGTGCATCTGCTTTTCAAAACCCCTGGCCGGTGTGTTCTACTTGAGAGCATTTCGGCATCATGCAGGAATATACAATGTGTTTCCATCTTATTTTCAGCAGATGATGAATCACATTGGCTGCACAGGCACATAGGCTCCTTTGCAAAAAACTCTTTGGCTTTAGCACATAATTCCCTACTTTAGAAAATTCTCCTATCCAAAGGGCAGGCTTGTGTCTCCTCGCTCCAAAGGCACTGCATGGCTTTCTTAGGAGGTGGGGGAGGGTGAGTTCCCAAAGCTATGACCGCCAGCTCACATTGGGCATTGTGGAACTTGGGATTCTTAGTTCTTTGAGACAAAGTTGATACTGTTCTTTTTTGAAGCACAGACCATGAAAGTCATGATCAGAAGCACAGAGGACAAAGGAGAAGGAAGGCAGCTGGGAATGACAAGAAAGTATCACCAGGAAGTCACTGCAGCAGAGGAACTGTCCCCAAGGAAAGCCTTCAGCAAAAGCCTCCGATGCTTCATGCTGGTTGAGACTGTCCCCGGGAAGCAGGGACTCCCCTGCAGGGAGGAACAGGCTCCCTGGGCAAGCTGCTTTCTCACTCCAGACAGCAAATTTCGGCTGCTGCTGCTATACCGCTTCTTTCCAGAAACACGAAGGCTTGCTACAGATTAACAGGCCAATGATGACCACAGCCACCAAGATCAGGGAGAAGATAACCATGAGGGCGATGTAGGTGGAGTGAGGGAGAGGTGGGGATAGCGGCTGTTCAGCTGGGATCATGTTGGTCAAGTTCAGCATGTAGCCCAAAGTCCACCCTGCATTGCTGTCCTTGATCTGAAAACAATAGGAAAAAATCTTGTTGTTCATGGTCCAAAAAGATGATGTGTAGTATTCATGTAACCATACCCATGAACTGAGCAGCCAATAGGAAGAGAACACCTTGTGCAGTTGACACAACAGATTAACTTTATATGCTACATTGGGAATGGTGTGTGTGTAGGGGGGGGATCCAAGCAAATGATTAAAATAGAGTTTGGAGCCTCACCAATATATTCTAGAAGTTTAGAAAGTTTACTGAAATGCCTATCCAGCTCACCTGCCTGGGAACACTTAATTCGAAGAGACCATGAGAGGTCTGCATTCTTTCTATTTCATGAGTTGGGGAACTAAGTGAGAGATGACAGGAAATAGGCAAAAAGATGAGGGAATAATAATTGGCTCTAGCCTTTTACATCCTTGCCAGGCCCGAGAAGTGACCCAGACCCAGGGCTTAATGAGGGAAAACTTGGAGAAATAATTCCAGCAAGTCAATTTTATGAAGTTGGAAGGCTGCGCCTCGCTGCTAGTAAACAATTCTTATTAAGTTATAAGGTGTTCTCTGACCTTCTAACCTTTGGAAAAAATAATTTCCAGTCACTGAGAGCTTACAGTAATATAGGTGATATTGTACCAATAGGTTTGGAAAGATTTTATCACAAGATCTGTTCATGATGACATAGAGAAGTTAGCAAGCACACAGTGCCACTCAGGACTTGCTGATGTCTTTTCTTTGTGACATTTCCTTCTGGTCCTCTGTGAACATGTTGCTGTTGTTTTTACAAAATAAGTAAGTAAATAAAAATATATTCAGAATAACTCGGTTAGTAATACTTTATCTCCAGTGTCTTAACATATTTCTGGATCACGTCCAGCATGGGCTGCTTTTTCACCCATTTTAACCAATCACTTAATATCCAAATAATGGAATGACTGGAGAAAATGATGTGTACATCCTTAAGGCTTTCAGGACATATAAAGAAAAATCTCCTTACAATACCCCTTTCTTCCAAACCATAACCCAGGTTGACACTAATGTGTAAGAGGACTATTTTCCCTCTCATTGTGGGATGGACACCTTATCTGACTGCACATGTCAAAGAAGTCTTGAGATTTAGGGGAGTCATCACCCAGACTTAGAGCCATCAGATCATGCAGTAGCATTCCAAGAATATAAATCAACACTACCTTCTGTATCAACCGAATTTAATTGTTAGATCCTTCTAACAAATGAAATAGACTTATATAATGGAAGGAAGCCTGGGATGTTAGAGTAAGGAAAAGATTCGTTTGAATGAGCAAGTTCCCTAAGGAAGACAGTATTATTATTATTATTATATGAGTATCCCTAGAGCTGCCATAGTCCTGATTTTATGTTTTGGCTCATCTGAGATCACTGTATTTTAAAAGGTGGTAAAATATTTTAGGCATTAGCAGTCATGGGGCTAGCAACACAGAGAATCCTGTGGTATTTCCCTTCAAGCGGGGATGCTGGGGTAGGGATGGTAGTGTTGCAAAGCTGCTTGCTTCTTTATTCCTGGAAGCCTGCAGGTGGCGCTGTGGCAAAGCACAGCAGGGAGGTTATTTCCTAGATCTCACTCTAGGCCAGGCTGCCAAGAATGAGCCCATTAGCAAGGCTGATGAGAAACCATGATGCATTCGGGGAATTCTGAAGTCAGGACAGTGACTAATGAAATACTAGTAAATGAATAAACTGACTTTGAGAACCACTTACAGCTATGTGTGCAGAAAGGTGAAATGTAGACTGTGCATCCAATCATTAGAGACAGCCTATGGCTGCCTGCTGTTTCCAGAAGGGCTTACACCAGTGCCAGCTGGTGGGGATGGTGGTGGGGCAGACATCAAGTCAAAACCTGACTTGGACTCCCACCTTTTCCAAGTTCAAAATGACTTTGTCGCCAACTTCCACCCAACTTTTACACCCCCAACAGATTCCCATTACCTTGCCCATAAAATGAATCTGGTCCCAGGAATTGCCTGTGAAGTTATAGCCTTGCAGAAGGAGGGTAAGGATGTAAGCACCCGAGAAGCAGTACTCATTCAGGTACTTCTCCTTTACTGTAGGGTGAGCGGTTTTCACCTAGAAGTCAAAGAAGGAAATATCAAACCTGTAGAACAGGCCCCACTCTGTGGCTCATTTTCACTATTAGATGCAATAAAGAGACCAGGGAGTCCCCAGCTCACTCGGGTCTAAGAGTCAGGCTCTCTCACAGGCTGTGGGGTGGTGCTTCAGTCCTTAGAGGGAACAGGGTTTTCAGTTAGAGTCTCCCAAAGTTTTCCTCCTCAGGGTTCTCAGTGAGAACAGCAAGTATTCTAGGGAAAAGATAGTTCCTTCCTTCCTTCCTTCCTTCCTTCCTTCCTTCCTTCCTTCCTTCCTTCCTTCTGTCTAGGAGTTTCAGAAACAGGTTCAGCATCTCATTCCATCCCTTATGCTTGGAGTAACTTATCAATTGTGTTCATTAGAAGCTGTGAAAGCATCATCTGAAGGAAGTCCATCGGTCTCTGTTTAATCAGAGTGTTTTACATTCTGTTCACCTAGTCATTAGTGCAGAGCCTCTACAGGCATCTTAAGGAAATAATGCCCAACAAAGACTTACATTCAGGTTAGCCCTGGGATGACAGACAGCATCAGCACCCCTTAGGAAGGCATCATTCTTCACCCCAGGGGTACCAACTCAGGACCTGCATTTTCACCTGATTCTCTCTCTGTCTCTTTGTCTGTCTCTGTCTCTGTCTGTCTGTCTGTCTGTATCACACACACACACACATATACACCACACACACACACACACACACACACACACACACACACACACACAGAGTCGTTTTACAAAAACAGTCTTGGAAGATGCCTTCAGAAGCCTCCTGCTAACCAACACTGAGCATGCTGACATCCTGCCGTCTGTCTTCAGCTCTTAATCTCCCTTCCACATCTACATTATACAAAGCAGTCTTTTCATCCATCCTGTTCTCTAGAGTAAGAGCTGCCTGCCACTCCTTAACCTTACCCACTCCAGCTGCTGGAAACAGAGCCAAAAAGCTCACAGCTTGCCTGGCCCCCTTCCTACCAAGAGAGCAGGTGGCCAGGACACCACCAGCTCAGCACGTGGGTCTGTCTAATGCTGTCTTTCTCAGAGGGGCCTTTCCTTCTGGCCACTGTGGGGTAAGAGACAACCGCCACCTGTCAAACATGTGCTGTACACTCAGAAGCACGCTGAACATTCTAGATGTAAGATTTCCTTGCCTCATTGCTTTCAAGAGCTTGCCCATCAAACGAAATGTGCCATTGGTAAACCCTTTCAGACTGTGATCTACTAAATGCAGGGGAAAACATTCTATAAGATACAATATTTCCTCACAATAAAACTCTTAACAAATCAGGTATACAGGGAATAGATCCCAATGTAACAAAGAATAAAGACAGCTCTAAGGCAAACCAGCAGCCAATATCACACCGAATGAAGGAAAAGCTGAACAGTTTTTGCACCTATGTTCATCAAGAAAATTGGCACCTCCCTCTCCTGCCTTCCTATTTCTCTATCTAGTTCTGATATCGGTGTCATACTGAATTTGCAGAATGAGTCTGGAAGTATCACTTCCTGTTTATTGTATGCAGTGCTGCCGTTGGATCTTCCTTAAAGGTTTAGTAGAATTCATCATATGGCTTTCCTTGCAAATCAAATTCTATAAAACACTGCAAAAATCATGTACCACGATCAAGTTTGGTTTCATTCTAGAGGTGTGAGAATGGTCCAACATATGTAAATCAGTAAGTGTAATACAGAATATAAACAAAACCAAGCACAAAAAACCCCACACAATCATCTTAACAGATACATAAAAACCTTTGGATAAAGTATTACATTTCATTCCTTCTGATAGAGTCCTGAAGGAATTGAAAGACATATCCCAGCACATGACCGCTGCTTACCACCAAGCCACAGTCAACATTTTATTCAATGGAGAAAAGCTGAAAGCATTGCCTATGTACTCAGGACTGAGACAAATGTGCCCGCTCTTTCCACTGATGATCAATACTGCGTGTACATTCTGAGCGAACAGCCAGACATGATAATTATGACCATTATTCTGATATGATATGTGCATAATGCACATGTAATATTGAAATATCGTATTGTATACCATAAAATGCATCAACCAAAAATAAAAGAATAGAAAAGCCCACTTTTAAAAAATAAAGGGATGACTTTATCTTTGATGAGTCATCTATGGTCTTTTTCATCTATGAAAGGATAGATATATCTGCTTCTTCCTTTTTTTGACCTTAACTGTGAAGGCCATGGTAGCCATCCTGTATCCCATGACAACCGAACTGAAGCAGCAATGGCTGAGTTAGAGAGAGGTTACCCATGCAAGCAGCTGCTTGTTACAAAACCGTGTGTTAAGTAAGAAATGTAGGATGTTGCTTAAACCATTATAAATTATCAGGGAATGGTGGTAAAGGCATTCCTAGGCCCACTCTCTGGCCTTCTCTAACACATTTGCTGGGCCTTTGCCAACTCAGCATTATGTCATGGGCAGATTCACACTCTCTATGACATTGCGGGTACAGGGTCAACTTCACAGTTGTGTTTTCTGGTCACTTACCTCCTCCCAAGGCTTTGAGCAAAAAATTTTTAAGGTCTCCGTCATCTTTTCCGGAGAGGAGACACTGTCTTTTGCCATCTTCTTAAAAAAATCCATCACAAAGTAGAAAGCTGAAAATGCCTGTGGGAGCAGAGTGCAGAGTGTCAGGCTGTGTCCAACACATAGGGACACGTCACCCCGGACCCTTCCAGAGCTCAGGTCCTGCTCTAACAACAAGGGAGCCTCTATTGGCAGTCTCATGGTGTGTTTCAATTTCATATAAGATAAACCCAGTGGAAGTTTCTTAAAGATGCATAATTTTAAATACTTGGTTTCTAAAGAACACATACCTAATTTACAAAAACAAGTAACTATGTGCACTAGTCCATTTGGATAACACATGGTCCATTTGGATGCAATGAGATATCTTTTCATTTTTTAACCTCAAATTTTCTTGCATTTCCAGTCTAAGCAGTTGATACAGCTGACAATCTACTTTTACCAGCTTTCTAAGAAAACAATGCAAGTGAACTCAATGTCAAATTTGTCCATAAACCAATAAAAAGGCACAGCCAAAATACACTGAGGGGGCATTGGCATTCTTTAGATGAAGCTGTGGTAAGCACATTTGTGGAAACAGAAACAGGCCTCACATCTGGCTGGGATCAGGCTCTTGCCCCCAGACTGACCGACTGACACATCCCTACCCGCTCCTGCATTCTGTCTTGCTCATTCATTCCAAATTGCTTGTCTGCCTACCAAACACTAGGGATTAGGTTGGCTCTGCCTCAGCAGGAAGCATTATAGAGGTAGGGGTGGTATCAGGACTGGACTCACATGTCTGGGCATTTATGTCTGAATCTGCCTTCCAAACTTTTATGTGGACTTGGCTCTCGGTGCCTGTAAGAGTGTTCACTGCTAGACACTGTCCTGCTTAGTTAAGTTCAGGTTTGGACTTCAATCTCTATTCTCCATGTACTTTTTAGTGTAGGACACAGGCCCATAAACTGGGGATCATGGATCCACCACAAGGGACTGTATAATAAATTTTATGCTGATTTTTCAGTTTACTTCTTGATGTCCATTGTTCTAATTGGAAGATCCTTAGTTTTCATCAAATTCTTCACAAGTTTGTGGTTCCTTGAATGGTTAAGCAAGACTGAACTGTTGAAGACATTATGCTAAGTGAAATGAACCAGTCACAAAAGTACCAATGGCCTTTGAGTCTGCTGAGATGGTGGCACACCTGGAATGGCCTGTGTGTGTGTGTGTGTGTGTGTGTGTGTGTGTGTGTGTGTGTGTGTGTATGTGTGTGTGTGTGTGTGTGTGGTTGTTCTCATAGAAACGAAGACAGGAAAGGGAATGGGGTCTGATCATCCCCTCCAAGGACCTCCACCCTATGACCTTTGAAGGGTGTTCAGCAGTCAAATGACAGCATTCTGAAATCTGAATCTCAGATCTCAGACTTTCAGACTGTGGGGCATTGTGGATTTTGAAGCTATTTCATCATTTACTACCACAAAACACAGATAAACCTAAGAGAAAAGACCAAATTTTATGCACACCAACATTGATGTGTAACACTATAGGACACCATTAACATTCAAGGGAAACTTAAATGGTGCAGTATCAAGGCATAATGCCCGAGTCACTGCCCCAGTGTGACCACTGTATGGTCCTTTGTGTTGCTTTATGGTGAGCTCCAGTGTTGCAAACCTCTGGTTGACAGACATGCCACACCACATTTTTGTTCTTCTCATGAACTACTTATCTTTTTAGTGCAGTTTGTATTGCAGTAAAAAGCTATCTCTTGTTGTTCCTGCATATTTCTACTGCATGTAATATGTATTGTTGGGCCCCAGCCCCACTGGGTCTCTGTGAGTTGCTGGCCAGCCTACAAGTGCAACTTGTTTTCCAGTCCAAGTGCTTTCTGTTTTCTAGTACTGGCAGGAGGAAAACACGCTCTCTTCCACCTGGGGTTTTTCCACTGTGCTGTAAGCCTGTTTATAAGACTGCTCCCTCCCTACAAGAGAGAGACCTCTCAACACTTGCAATATAGACTCTCTCTCTCCCCTTCCCACCCTCCCTCCCTCCCTCCCTCTCTCTCCCCTCTCTTTCTGTCTCTCTCCTGGCAATAAAGGCAGCACATGCATTCTCTTAGTACAAACAGCTGGATGTCTTGTCTTTCTTTTCCTGATATCTTGGACTTGCTTGTGGCATGGGTACCACAATGTATAACATAGAAACTATTTTTTACTCGACTGTCAAGGTCATTTGCAATGTTTCTAGTCAACAGCAATATATTACTAGCAGTTAAGTTTTCGGGGAGCTCAAAGTCTAGTCAGTAGCAAGAACAGAGAATAGACTTCAGAGACACCCGACTGTCTGTCATCATGGCCATCATGAGCAATGCAGCAAAGACCCCAAAGCCACCACTGCCCTCTAAACCAACACTCAGGGTGTTCTGGCTCCGGTAGCTTCATATCAGTGGTGGTGGCAGCCAGTGGCCAAAAAGGACATTGTGAAAGACTCTAACAATAAAATGGTTCCAAGTAATAAATGGGTATGACATCATCAGCAGAAGCGAGTAACACCAAGATTATGCCACCAAAGATAACAACCCAGCAGGTAACTCATCAGTGTTCAGACAGACAGACAGAGTGTGGATCTTCATGTTGCTGGAGGAGAAAAGGGTGCACAGGCAGCAGCTCTGCTGCAGTCCATCTCAGTGCAGGAAACATGCAGCAGATAGCAATTAGATGCATCACATAACAGGGTTGCTCCACACTGTCCCCAAAAGAACTGCGGGGAATAAGCAGGGAAGACGTTGAAAAGTGCTCCTGGAGGACAGGCTAGCCCTGCAGCACATGGGTTTCTGCTTTCTTTTTCTTTCTTTCTTTCTTTCTTTCTTTCTTTCTTTCTTTCTTTCTTTCTTTCTTTCTTCCTGTTTTAGATTTATTTATTTATCATGTATACAATATTCTGCCTGCATGTATGCTTTCACACCAGAAGAGGGCACCAGATCTCATTACAGATGGTTGTGAGCCATCATGTGGTTGCTGGGAATTGAACTCAGAACCTCTGGAAGAGTACCCAGTGCTCTTAACCTCTGAGCCATCTCTCCAGCCCCTGCTTTATTTCTTATGGAGAGTCTATGGACACTGACCACAGGAGTCAACCCCATGTGGGAATAAGTGGGAATGTGATAGCCTGGGTGCAGGACTGCAGAGTAGACCGGTGTGGCAGAATCTCTATGGGGGATGTGGGCACAGGTCACCACTCAGCAGAAACCTTCTCACCAGACACAAGCAGAGTGGGCAGCAGCAAAACTGATAAGAAAATCCAGATGCACCCCAAGGCCAGCACGCCCCCGCCAGGTCAGTATCACTTCATTTCAACCATTAACACAGGTGCCCGGATATCTCAGAACCACAGATGGCAAAGAGACAAAAGCAGCTGATCTGACAGCTGAGGATCCATGCATACGGAGACTGGGCAGGGGTACAGCTGAGTAAGTGCCAGCCAGTCTTATCCACCATCCAACAGTCCAACCGCAGAGGGTGAGCATGAAGTCTTGGCAGTAGAAAACCAAGGGAGAGTGAAGCTGCGATCTTAGCTGTTGGATTTTGTCCCTTGACCAGATAAGGAGAACAGCATTATCTGGGCAGTGTGGGGCTTTGGACATTTTCCTAAGGATGTCTGTGTTTGTTAACAACAAATGTGTCTTTGTAAGCATTGATTTTCTCACTGTACCTTAAAAAAATATTAGATTGTTTCATGTCTGTCACATTCAGATTCTTTGAGAACTTCATTTTTTAAATTTGTAATAAATATTTACAAAACTGACTTCTTTCAAAGGAGGAGGAAAAGGAGGACAAAGGGGAAAGGAAGAGGAGGAGGTGGAAAGGGACATCTGGTGGCAAATGTCTATCATCCCAACTGGCTACTTGGGAGTTGGAGGCAGGAGGTTTGCAAGAGAAGGCCTGCCTGGACAGCTTCATAAATCCCTGATTCAAAATTAAAAAGCACCCATTAATAAGTTCTTAAGTGATTTTTAAATTGTTTTCTGTGGTTTTTCAACCGTGTTGCTCACTGGCCAGCAGAGCACACACATGTATGTAAAGCGTTTTACATGTGTTTTTGTTATACTTCTCTATTTCTGCTCTTCCTTGTTTTTGTAAAGTTGTACAATGCGTTCTTAAGAAGCAATTTCTAAATTACCTCATAAATAATTCTCAACAGATGTTCTCTCTCTCCTCTTGATGTTTCTACTTTGCTTTGACATTAGATTCGATGTAGATGCCAAGGCCACAGCGCAGCCAGACTAGAGAACACGGGCTGATATTAGTGCCGCACTCACAGGGTGGGACACAGAGCACCAGGCTGACTGCAATTGCAGCACAGCCTCCTTCTCCACAGATGCTCTGCGCTGCACAACTCTGGGCTCACTGGCTCTAGAAAGGACAGGAATGCATTCTTCCCGGCAGGAGACCGCTCATTTCCTTAAATTTATCCTTCCTAGCTCCAACTAGAATGAAAAAGTCCTTAGCTGGCTCCAGAGACCTTAGCCGTGTGCCTCCCTCTTGTGTCTCCTTTCTTCCTCTTCTGAAAGTTCCTCTCAAGCCAGGGAAGGTCCCTGGGTTCCCCAAAAGCCCTATGGCAGGAAGCCAGTACCAGTTCAGTCACACGGCACCCAAGCCAGGTTTCGGGTTGGAAATGATACCAACAGCTGAAATGATACTCAGCAGTCATTGCTGGCGCTGCACCCATCCCAGGAGCCTGCAAAAGGGAAAGCTGTGGTCTTGCCACAAGGCAGACCTGGGTCCATGGCTCTTCCCACTGTTTCTTCTAAGGCCACTCGAACTGAGAGCACCTACAATTCACAGAGCAGGGGTTCAGTCGGGTCTGTGCTTTCTCCCCGGAGCTCTTTCTGTGACATTAGATTGGGCATGCAGACCTCACAAACACATAAAGCCCCTTCACGTGAGGTCCACAGGCAAAACTGAACCTCCCCTTGTCATCTGTTCTGCTTTCTGGAAAGGGAGAAAGGATGACAACGGATGAGTCTGGAACCATTGCTTTGCAGTTGGTTTGCACTGGTGGATGGTAGGTAACCCCTGCAATGTACTTCTGAACTGTGGTTACAGTCAGGCTCGCTCTCAGGAAACACACAGGCAGTGTGAACAATGAACAGGTCAAGGGGCATCTCTTCCTCTCAGCACTGGCACTTTATCCTGTTCTGGAGTGATCAGGACTAGAAGGAATGAGAAGTCAGGAGCCACTAATCCCCCAGTCCTCCAAACTTTGAGGGATGCTTATTTACTATTATTAATGAAACGGGCACTTATTTAAGTCTTCCCTTGGTGGTTCTGGATTTTCTGCTTCCTCAATGTTTCTTAGAGAAGGAATCCCCCAGTGGAGTTGTCCCACGGCTGCTGCTACTCGGACACCCTTATCTGCGTGCTCAGCACTAAGAGCCAGCCAGGTTGCAGCCCACTCCTTGCAGCCAACTCTGAGGGTGTATATCCCGCAGCTAGCCTCTGCCTTCCTTGCTTATGGAACCCTCATTTTACCCAGGCAGAAGAAACAAACAATAGTTAACCTAAGGCAAACATGCTATTAATTCCCTTTATCAGATGGCTTCAAGATGTGCATTTCTCAAGGTCTGGCCAACAGAAGAGAAAGATCTGGCCATCATTCTCTTTCCTACCTGGACCTGGCTGGTGAAGATGTGATACTTGGAGCAGTAGCCACACTCTTAGCACCATGACAAAACCAAGAAGATAACGGAGAAGGTGATCCTAAATACTGACAAGTTATTTAGGCCAAGCAACAAACCCTGAGTTGTATCAAGACATTATTATGTGTAAGAAAAGAAGTTTAAATTATTTAAATACTTTATAGGCACATCTTTTACAACTTGTAACCCAAAGCACTCTAACCAGTATAGTTCCTCGTTTCACAAACTTACCCCAAAACTCCCATGGAGAGGGGGCAAAAAGACACCATTGAAGGCACACTGGGAGTAAGGGCAGTAGCTGTTGTTGAAGAGCTGGCGGATGCTCTGTTGGCACTGTGTGTAGTTTCCAGTGCCCTGGATTTGAAACTGATCAAATGGTAGCTTCTTTTTAAATCTCTTGGTGCAGGGGGTGCCGTAGAGTTCACTAACATTCACCACCTTCTTGTATCCCGGGTGAAAGCATGGGTCCCTGAGAGTCCCGCCACTTGAAACCTAAATGGAAGAAGCATTTGAATGCCAAAAAGATCATACCCAGAATGGCATCCCCATGACCCTGTCCTGCCTCTGTCACCCTGGAGAATAAGCTTTTTTTAAAGGAGGTTTATAGACTAGGTCCTGTGTGCTACGCACACAGATAAGGAGCAGGTTCACGAGGACAAGCGTCCAGTGTCTCCAGCCTGGGTCGAGCTGTGTCTGCATGCTGTCCCTTTTCCTCCCCAAGCAGATTGGGAGCTCCAGGAGTGGGAGGTGCCTCTAGGCTTTTATCCCAGCGAAGAAAAATAGACTGAATCCCCAAGAAACAAGAGAGGCTGCAGTGGGTAAGAGTCACGTGGACTTTGAGGTGTGGGGGCACCTCTCAATTACACCTGCTTCAAGATGGCAGCCTTGATGGTGGTTTTAGGGACAAGAAAGTGCATGAAGAGGAGTGGAGGACTGTCCTTTCTGAGAGACGGGACAGCTGGATGTGACAGCCAGGGTGTGTCCGGTACTCTCATTACATCAAGTATTTATTCTTGAGTTGAAAACGCAGAAAACATCTGGGGACAATCTTTAAAGTGTGGATGGACAAATTCTGTATTTTCCCTGCAGTGTTTTTCTCTCTCTGATTAAAAAATCGTGTAGACAAACTTAGAAATGGCCACTCCTACCCCCAAAAATACTCTTGCATGTAACTTGCACTATCAACACCACTGAGGCCAGAAATTAATTCCCAAGAAAAGACCTGAGTGATGTCCTTGGAGACAGTGCAGTAAACAAGCATGGGAGGGATGTCTGGATGGAACCATTCACAGGGGTCCACCAGATGTAGTTTGGTGTCCTGCCTGAGAAGGGTGGGAAAGAGCAATGATCAGCTTCAGACCAATTACTCAATTATAAAGGGGGAATAACAGGATGTGGGGCTGAGGACCAGATGTGGGGGGGCAGAATTGAATTCAGTTGCACTTGCCTGAATGTCCTTGGCTAGTTTCTGCCAGAGCGCCTGGTCCTTCCCATAGCACAGGAAGCTGTGTGTGTACACAGTGTAGTCCTCACCATAGAGGCGAAATTGCAGAGAGTTTTCTGGGGCCTCTATAGTGCTGTTTAGGGGCACGAAGGTGATTTGTGTAGAGGCGCCACCGAGATCCAAAGCACCGAAGGTTTCCTGTTTCTGGTGGTCTGTGGAGATGAGGTTTAGCCAACTCGGTTTCTGAAAGAAAGGACAGTGCTGGCAGTCTCTGGACATCCTATCTCCTAAAGATGGAGGACCAGGGTCAGAGAGGGGGCAAAGACCACTCTGGGTCCCGAATCTTTACCAGATTGATAGCCAGCAAGAGGGCTTTGAGGACTAAGCTCAGAGAACAGCAGTGTAGACCAGGAAAACCGTGGCTCACAAGCAAGAGCAAAGGCTTACTCAGTCACCAGCTAATTCCCTGGGCCAGAAAAGATTCTAGTTTAAGCATCACTATGGGGAGGGGCTGCTAAGAGGGGTGACAATGTGCTGTGGGTGGGTGTCCTGAGAGTTGAGCTACACCACAGGAAGGGCACTAAGTACTCCCTACTTAGCAACTACTGCCTCAGTTTGTTTTGTTTTAAACCTGTTCTTATTATGTTGCTCAGGCTGGGCTCCAGCTTGCAATTCTCCTGCCTCAGTCTCACTCAGTCTCTGCCCAGTGAGTCTTTTTGTTTGTTTGTTTTTGGTTTTTCAAGGCAGGGTTTTTCTATATTGTTTTGGAGGCTGTCCTGGAACTCACTCTGTAGACCAGGCTGGCCTCTTAACACATATAGATCCGCCTGCTTCTGCCGCCCGAGTCCTGGGATTAAAGGTGTGCGCCACCAACGCCCAGTGAGTCTTAAATAAGATTAAAATTATTTTAAATGAAATAGATGTGGGGGCTGAAGAACTCAGTGACTTAGTGCACATACTGCCCTTGCCGAGGACTTCAATGTGTTTCCTAACATAGGGAGGCTCACAACTGTGTGTAACTCCAGTTCCAGGAGATCCAACAGACTCTTCTGACCTCCGAAAGCACTTACGCCCATGTGCATGTACCCACACAGAGACACATCATACACACATTTTTTAAAAATAAAAATAAAAACTTGAAAATAGATTTTAATTTCCTCTGTGTCTCCCTGGGATTAAGACACAGCTTCAATACTCTCCAGTAGTAGCAGTAAAGTAAATATACCTCTAGTGATGGCTGCAAATGTAAGAGTCATTTGTTCGTTCATTCGTTCACTCACCCTTTTGTCTGCCCATCCTTCATTTTGCTAAAGACCCAAATACTGCCTAAGACAACAATGGCATTGACCCCGTAGGAACCACCTTGTTGGTGTGAGGTATTTACCTGGGTGAATCTTCCCAGTAGGTAGTTGATAGTAATCCACCCATAGGCACCTTCCTCTTGGCCAGTGATGATCTTGGCACCCTGGAAGTCAAAGGGGTAGCTGCTGAGGCTTCTTGACACTGCAGCCAGGACCCTGTCTGCCGACTGTTCACTTTCCATTCTACACAAAAGAAGAGGTGAGGTTATTGGTTTTGTTGTCACACCTACCCATTTCAGCTAGGGAAAACAACACACTGGAATGGGAGACAGAAGGGTCCTGCGCATGGCTTGCATAGGAGCTGCGCATGGCTTGCACAGGAGCTATGCATGGCTTGCACAGGAGCTGTATATGGCTTGCACAGGAGCTGTGCGTAGCTTGTACAGGAGCTATAATCCTTTTGGCTCTGCCACTCCAAATCCAAATCCTCCAGTCATTGAGTAGATGTATCTTTTCAAAGTACCAGTTTGACATTGCTCCCTAGCTCAAAAAGTATCAGAGGGTTTAAAATGGCTGTGGTGGTGGCTTGCTGTTGTCTGGCCATATTGAGAGAGGGTATGTACTGCTTTTAGTCCTTGCTTGCTTATACTTTAGACTCTGAGGGGTGTCAGTTAGAGCTGTAGAAATGGTAACTGATGCCCAAATTCCCCCGAAGCCAGCCTGGGAGAATCTTCCTCTAGTTATCACCCAGTTATCAGGTCTGTTTGAAACGTTGAGACCTAAAGGAAGTCTTCAGGGTTGTCACATGAAGATGTGATTGTGCCCAAGACCCAGTCTGAAACCCCTAAGAACCCTGAGTGAGAGAGTGCACCTTCCAGCTACGGCTCACATAGACATAATTCCCCAAGCCTTTCTGCTCCAGGCCACCCTTTAGTACCAACAACTGTGTTACATCCTTCAACAGCATCTCAGTTCTCCAACCTTCCTGGCATGGTCCAGAAGGCACTTTCTGGTCTAGGTCCTGCCACTCACTGCCCTAGTTCTGCCACTTTCCAGCCATGTGGCCTCAGGTGAGTGACAACATTTCTAAACTGCAGCTTCTTTCTCTGGTTAATTAGTGTCTCTGCTTCATAGTGGCCTTGACTAGATGAATGCATGTCAAGTTCTTAGCACAGTGCTGAGAACACAAGCTTCTATTAGTATTTTACTGCTCCGCCCACCTCCTTTCTATGCAGACGCTTCTGCATATGACAGTTCTGTGAGGATCCTTGCCTCTGCCCTGGTCTCTCTCATTTCCCCCTCTTTGCACATCCGCTAGAGCACAAACTCATGAAGTCAGGAGCTGTGTTTTGTTTGATACCTTACCCGCAGCACTTAAAACCATCCCTGGCACATAATAGGTGCTGAATAGATGCCTAGCTGAATGGATGCTGGGCTTTGGCAGCACTGCCCTTCCTTCCCTCCCCCACTCCCCGCCCCGCCCCGCCCCTCCTTGCTGATACAGCTCATACAGCCCTGCTATGGCAGGCCTTTCTGACCACCTTCCATCCTGAGCCAGGCCAAGCGCTCCCTCAGCAGCTTTGCCTATTCCTCAAATGACGGTCGCCCTGGATGGAAGTCTGACTTCCTTGAGGGCCGAGTCACCTACTCACAGATTGTGCACAGAGTAGGCAGGCACTCACGATACCCTGGATGAATGGAAGAAGGTGTAAACAATTCACGCAGATACTAATGGGGTGACCAACCAAGCTTCACTAGCTGCAATTACTTGTCTTGGGATATTAGTGGGTCTTCTTCCTCCCAGACATTGATTCTTTCTTCAGCCCCAAATCTAAGATTGCACGTTCTTAATCTTTCTCTCCAATACACTGTCCTCTTCGACTTCCTCAAGGGAGATACTTAAAATTTATCATTACATACACTTAATAAAATTTATTTCGTATCATGGGATTTGGTGTGTGAGGTAGCTATAAGTCCCGTTAACTCTAGACATCCTACACTGCCTCTAACTCGTAGTACTCTATAATGGGGGGGGGATGTCCTTCTGTATATATGATTCTCTTATTGGTTGATGAATAAAACACTGTTCGGACAATGGAGGCAGGAAGATAGGCCGGATGAGGAGACGAGGTGAATTCTGGGTAAGGTAGGCAGAGGAAGACCACGAGACAGTTGCCATGTAGACCACAAAGGAGAAACAGGTACAGGCATTCTCTTGAAAGCCAAGACCATGTAGAAATATATAGATTAGTAGTTATGGCTTAATAATTAGGACAGAGTTAGCCAATAAGAAACCCTAGCTATGGGCAGTTTATAATTAATATGGAGTCTCTGTGTGTTCATTTGGGGTTGAGGTGGCTGCAGAACCAGGTTGGCAGGACAGAAACTGTTAATCTACAACCCTAGTCTATACATGCTGCCCCACCTAAGTAAGCGCATGCCCGCCGTGGCTCCCAGGTAAACAGGTGTTTCACGATGCTTAGATGCTGGGATCAACTTAGTGGACATTTCCATGCATTCAGCCAGGTATGTGTCTAGTTCATTTGTCTTCTGAGCATATTTTGAAATTCCAGGACCTAAAGAAAGATACAGAAGATGAAAAAGAAATAATGAATGCATTCATAACTAACTAACTAAATAAATAAAGGTGTGGAGCATACCTTGACCATATCAAAGAAAAGTGCTTGCAAAGATGGAAGGAAACACTTCTCAATATGACCTACATTATGCTGTGCTACTTAGAGTTCCGGAATAGTGATTAATGTTGATTGTCAACTTAATTGCAGTAAGAAGCACCTAGAGAATGAAGGAGGTGCCCTTTGGGCACATCTGTGAGACTGGATGGAGAGGGTTAACTGGGGGGAAAGATGTGAGCAGCACTCCTCTGGGGCTCGGGTTCAGAACTGAACACAAAAGGGGAAGGAGCTTCATCTGCCCAGATATAAAGGGATCCCTCCTTCCCTGTGCTTTTCCACCATGATGGACTGACTCCCTTAGAGCCAAGAACCAATATAAATACTTCTTCCCTTAAGCTGCTCTCTCGAGTATTTAATCATAGTCACGAAAAAGTAGCTAATGACACCGGTAATGCCTGGTGTTCACAGATTTAGCCACAAGGTGGTGTAGTTTCACATTCAATTCAGTAATGTCTTCTTTCAAGACAGTGGCCTCTCTGCTAAGCACTTTGGGTGATCCCGTCACAGAGTTGTAATTAGCAAGTTCCCAGAGAGCCAAGGTAAGATGGCATTTAGCATAAAAATGAAAGCAAAGCAACTGGCACACTGGCTTTTCCTGAAAAGACAGAACATGTCAGCAACTAGCTGTGTTATAGCGTGTGCCCTAAAATTTATGTGGTTTCTTCCTTTGGTAGAATAAACAGAAGCAGAATCTCTGTATCCCGAGAGCCTTTCCCCCTCCAGCACCCTGCCTCCCGAAGACTGTTATTCCAATTTTAGAGCAAACTAATGGTTGCTATGGAGAGTACTGGAGCAAACTCCTGAGCGTTGGGAGTTTAACACTGCCATGTTTCCACCTCACTCTGAGGTGAATTCCAGAGTGCTTCCTAGCAAGAATCTGCTTGCTAGGTGATTATTTAAATGAGTTTTTAAACAGTCTGTCTGTTTAACATAATGAGAGGGTCCATGCTGTGTTAGCAGCTCACTTCTGACTCAGGGCATGGTCCTTTGTTTCATTAATTGGGTTTGGAGGAGAAACTCCTGCATTTGTTGGGCCAAACACCTGCATTCATGGGATGAGTCTCAGAAGAAAGACATCTGGTGTAGTTTTTTTGTTTTTGTTTTTTTTGGTTTTTTTTTTTTTTTTTTTTTTTCGAGACAGGGTTTCTCTGTGGCTTTGGAGGCTGTCCTGGAACTCACTTGGTAGTCCAGGCTGGCCTCGAACTCACAGAGATCCACCTGCCTCTTCCTTCCGAGTGCTGGGATTAAAGGCGTGCGCCACCAACGCCCGGCTGGTGTAGTTTTTTATTTTATTTTAAAACTGAAAGTCCGTGAAGTGAAGGGTGGAATTTCTGGGAACTCAGGGAGCACCTGTCTCACTGCAGCGAGGCTCACGAGGCTCTGGGCAGAATGGCATTCTCTGTCTATCCCTGCCTAGTTCCTTGGCAGATTTGCAAAAATCTGTCAGTGAAAGCTACAGGCCAGCAGATAAAAAGGCACTTCTCTTCTGGGATCTAGTTTACCTGTGTGAAAAGAAACTGTGTTCCTGGCTAAAAGGCCAAGAGACAATGATCACAGAGATGGTGGTGAGATGCGGTGTCTGGTGTATGATGGAGAGCAGGATGGTGGTGAGATGCGGTGTCTGGTGTATGATGGAGAGCAGGATGGTGGTGAGATGCGGTGTCTGGTGTATGATGGAGAGCAGGATGGTGGTGAGATGCGGTGTCTGGTGTATGATGGAGAGCAGGATGGAGCAAGCTAGGGAGCTGGGCACTCAGCCATCCTCCCTTGTGACCTTAAAGTTGACTCGGGCAGTGGGCGGGGTTGGGGTGGGGGGTATGTAAAGCAGCACTTCCGAGGTGCTTATAGTACAGCAAGGGACCTGGACCACCAGCCAGATTTTTGCCATTTATGGGGCACTGATCCTCCAGGCTTTTGTTTCCTTCCCTGGAAAATGAGATTTAAAGGACCCCAGCCCTAAAAGCCTGTGATCTGCTCTTCCCTGCCTGTAAAGAGACCGAAAGCATTTGAAATTTTCCTCCAAGCTGCAGATCTGAGTCTAAAAATAAAGAGAGCCCAAGGTCGTGCCATCAAAAGCAGCAGGGGACTTTTAGAAACGTAAATCCCCAGGCTCCAGCCCAGATATGTTGACTCAAGGAACTCTGGTAGTAGGGGACCTACATCCATGCTCTAAGAGCCCTGCCCCTGCCCCCCCACACCTACCCCTACCCAGTAGTTCATGGCTCAGATGGGAGTTTGACAGCCAGCTCCATCAGTCACCAGCCTAAGTAACTTTAAACAAGCGGCATGGTCTGTCTAAATCTTACTGCCCTCGTTTTTAAAACAAGGCTGCTGCTTCTTACCCAACTGATCCCGAGAGAGAGAAAACACACGTTGCGTTCTTAGTGCAGGACACACAGAAGAGCCCTACAGAGGAGAACTATTACTGCTCGATTCTGTTTATGTGTGGGTGCCTGCGTGCGTGCGTGCGTGCGTGCGTGCGTGCGTGCGTGTGTGTGTGTGTGTGTGTGTGTGTGTGTGTGTGCTGGGACTCTAACCTAGGACACCATGACTATTAAGCCTGCACCCATCACTGAACCACTCCTTCTTCACCTTCAGCTTTTTAAAAATTTGCTTATTTTTCAAAGATTTATTTCAATATTATTATCATCATTATTGTTGTTGTTGACAGTAAGAGGGGTTGACCAGGTGAGGCATATGTCTAATGCTGAACTACATCCATAACTTGTTTGAGTTAGAGTCCTACTATGCTGTCCCAACTAGCCATGAGCTCACTGTGTGGTCCAGGCTGACCTGAAGCTTGTGAGCCTCCCACACAGCAGCCTGTGCTATGAGGCCTGGCTCAACGTCACAGTTGACAGTGACAATAAGACACCAGCGACAGCTCCACTGTGCTCCTCACGTGGCTCGGTGCTGGCTCCCTTCGCTCTTCTGTAGTATGGGCGCCTCGCGTGCTCTCGCATCCCGTTCCCCGCTTCCCTGGCCTCCATCTTACCTTTCACTGAACATTCTTGCAACTGTTGCACCACCCCGGTGTCATTCTCCTTCTCGGCTGGCCACTTGTAGATGTACAAGTTGGTGTGAGAAGAGCCCGCGTCCAGCACAATCCCGAACTGAGGGTGAAGCACATTTAACACGCTTATCAGCACGATGGGCTTCTCCATAGTTAGCTTGCACAGGAAGTGGACAGGGACAGAAATGGTCAAACCACAAAGAGAAAGCACTCTAACCTAGGGGGAGCATTGGTACTGGGGACTAGAGTCACCCCAATCCCAAGGATTACCAGTGTACGTTCCTCTAGATAAGGGCTCCTAATGCTGGCTGCACCTTACAAATGTTCGGGCCATGCCTGCTCTGGGGTCTGAGCCATGGGGTTATTTAGAAAACGCTCAGTCATTCTGGCGCCGAAACAGCTGAGACACTGTGGAAGGATCAGAAGGTGGACCCAGTGCTTCTCAAACTTGTCCACACCCTGGGATCACCAGAGAGTTCCAGAGGCTGAGGCCCAGTCCCACCTCAGGTTGGTTTCAAAGTGGTCTGGTCAAGATCATATGGGAGCCTGGTGGGCAGACAAGCCCGGAAACCACTGAGCTAACCCATGGAGGCTGCATAGACATAGCAAACATGTTCATCTGATTCGGGTTCAGTGAGTGTGGCATTGTATTTTAAGAGAGAGAAACGCTAAGTGTGCTTGCCTTTTTTATTCAGAAAATAACTGTGAAGTTGTATTCCATGTATTTTAAGACATATAAACTTCATGTTTGCAAAAAGGAGGCGGAGGTCGCAGGAATAAATGAAATTGGGAGGAAGGGAGTACAGGAAGGAAGCTTAGGCAATAAAGCGCTTCGAGCCCCAGCAGGCACATGAGAAGCCAGGCATGGTGGCCTATGCTTCCAATCCCAACGCTGTGGCAGGAGGCAGAGGGCTGGGTCTGAGGCTCACTGGTCGGCTAGCCCAGCCTAATCAGCAAGGCCCAGGCCCCAGCGAGGGCACTGTTCAAAGAATAAGGTAGATGGTACCTGGGGGGAACGACACCTGAGGTTGCCTTCTGGCCTCCATGTGCAAATGCACACATGTGTAGGTGTGCCCATACCCGCATGTGTTCCTGACACACAGAAAACAGGAGGAAACGGTAGTGTGAAGATGCCCTAAGTGGTTAGAGGAGAAAAGAGGAAGAGTTAAGTCCCCACACTGAGTTTCATGAGTGTGTGGGTGACGTACCAAGCAGGGATCCTGTGAAGCGCTGTAGATGTGAGTTATCTTATATGAACTCAGAACAATGCCAGGGGGCAGGGGCTGTCTTTATCCTTCCTATATGGATAAGAAACTACCAGGAGGTTAAACAATCTAGTTTAAATCAGACTCAGAGTCAAGACCGTAACCCTGGAACATGGAGCAAAGGCTGACAGAGTGCCAGGCTTCAGGGAGGCTCTCCCTCTTCAAGACAACCCATAGAGCAACTCTGGCATGGCACGCAGATGCGAGGGTGGACCCAGTGAGCTTCCGCACAGTGCATGCTCATCTGACATCAGCAAAATCAAGATACACAATGTTTGCTAGCCCCAGCAGACTTCCTAACACTCCTCTTAGTCATTTTCCCCAAGAGCAACCACGATTTTGACGTTTGTCACCACAAATGACTTCTGTCTGTTGTGAATGTAGCAAAAGGAAATTACATGGCATGCCCACTAGGTGCAATCTCTTTTGCTCTACACTGTAAAATGCATCCAAACTGTGTCCTCTGTTCATGCTTTTCCATTGCTGTCGAGTATTCTACTATGTGCCTACACTATGTTGATGGACATTCGGATTACTCATAATTGAGACTATTAGGAATATAGCTGCCTTGAACATTCTTGTGAATTTCGTGTTTATGGAATAAAAGCTTACATATATATATGTGTGTGTGTGTGTGTGTGTGTGTGTGTGTGTGTGTGTGTGTGTATTTTTCTTTTAGCTCTTTCTCCCCTGGAGTAGACCATTTCCATTTTGATAAACTGATATTCACTTTTGATTATACTCCTAAATTGGGTATAGATCTAATGTTGATTAGTGATGTCTGCCATGGGCTTTGTGAGAATAACATGGTGGCACATATAGTTTTTTTCTTATATAAATAACTATGTATAAGTGGTGTTCTGTGAGTATGTATGTTCATGTACATGCTGGCGCATGTGTGTGAGTACATGTGGAAGCCCAAGGATGACACCAGGAGTCTTCCTTAGTTGCTCTCCCCTTGTTCACTAAGCAGGATCACAGACAGCTAGTCTGTCTGGCCAGTTTGCTATGGGGATCCCCTATCTCCCCCTTCTGAATGGTGGGACTGTAGATGGGTTGCCATGCCCTCCAACATTTATGTGGTTCTGGGACTGGAACTCTGGTCCCCCTGCTTGCTAGCAAGTGCTTACTAGAGCCATCTTCCCGGGCCTCGAACATGTAGGTTTTACTCATCTCTAATGGGGAAGCAAGAGAAGAAAAGCAGAAAAAATGGTGTCATTTGAGCTGTGCAGTCCAAAATGTGGTCTCCACTTGAAAATGATTAATATATATGTATCTATATAAGCATACATATATATATTTTTAATATGCATTTATGTTATATAAATCCATATTGCCTCATTTATTAATACCCAAGAGCTTATAGTCAAAAAAGACAGGAGTGTGTAAGAGACCTCCCTGGGCCACTAGGACTAGCTAAAGGAAGAGCCTCTTGGGTACCTAGAGTCATTTCATTTCACTGGGAGGCACCACTGTACAGACCTCCTGAGGATCTTTGATCCCCCATCTCCTCAGTGTTCTGTGCCTCCTTTTGCACAGTGTGGGGGTCTCTTTAATTATTAGCTTTTTGCGCTCAAAAAAGTAGTATTCTTGGTTCTAAGCATAACCAAGAAGCAAACAGGGAGACTCCTTGAGTCATGGGAATTAAAGAATGGGCTTAATTAGGTGACCCTGGTGGGTGGGGTGGGGGGTGTTGCTGATTGGGTTCTGGGGCCTTTAGACCCAGGAAACCTCCCAGGGTTTGAGAAAAGGCTTTCCAGTTATACAATTTTAAAAAATTCCATTGACCCCCAGCAGGGCCCCTGAATTCTTCCCACCCAATGTTCCAACCACAGTGACATATGATAAAAACTATCGAGACAGCAGCAACATTTATCTGGCACCAGGACGTCTTTCTTAGTCTTTCTATTTTTGTCATCATGAAAGCCTCCCTTCCAGGAGCGCCAAGGAACTGGCCTCAGTTCTGTCAGCCTGTTTCTCTAAGGCCCTATGCAGTGAGACAGTGGGGAGATGAAAGCGTTAGTACATTTGCAAGTATTTAAGACAGTGACCCTGGACATCCCACAAGGACATGCACGGCACTGAGGGCTAACCTGTGAACCATGCCTGGCACTGAGGGCTAACCTGTGAACCATGCCTGGCACTGAGGGCTAACCTGTGAACCATGCCTGGCACTGAGGACTAACCTGTGAACCATGCCTGCACTGAAGGCTAACCTGTGAACCATGCCCACTGAGGGTTAACCTGTGAACCATGCCCACTGAGGGCTAACCTGTGAACCATGCCTGGTACTAAAGGCTAATCTGTGAACCATACCTAGCACTGAGGGCTAGCCTGTGAACCATGCCTGGCACTGAGGGCTAACCTGTGAACCATGCCCACTGAGGGCTGGTTTAGGTGGCCTCTAAATTGTTTCATAGAACAAACAGTTGACATTTTGAGAACAGCTAAAGCAGGACAGTCTATGTGATCACTCTACACATTTGGGGAGTTTGCCTCTTGGGGTTGCAGTGTCCCCTAGGAGCCCAGATCGTCCCCACCTCACACCTGTGCCCCACCACAACAGCATCCTCCAGAGTATGTTCCGGGAAGCACAGGGGCACAGGATCTCAGCAAATCAACCTTGCACAAGTTTGGGGAATGTCCCTTCTCCCTCCCTCCTGGATTTGCCATCCCATTAGCTAGTGAATACTTTAGAGAAATTTGACCAGGAGGGAAAAAAAGCAAAGCAAAACAAAACAAAAGTCTTCCTGCAGCTCATATGTAAAGCAGTTCTAAAAATTCCTGAGTATGACTTTTATATTAAAGAAAAAGATTAAAATTCCAATGGTGAGGAAGAAATCTGGGAATTCCACTATTATTATCATTATATTATTTTTATTATTTCAATAGTATTTTCCATTTTAAGAGTACCAAGGAGCCGGGCGGTAGTGGCACACGCCTTGAGTCCCAGCACTCGGGAGGCAGAGGCAGGTGGATCTCTGTGAGTTCGAGGCCAGGCTGAACCGACAGCCTCCAAAACAATACAGAGAAACCCTGTCTTGTAAAACAAAGAGAGAGAGAGACAGGGACAGAGAGGGACAGAGAGAGAGAGAGAGAGAGAGAGAGAGAGAGAGAGAGAGAGAGAGAGAGAGAGAGAGAGAGAGTACCAAGGATCTATTAAACATCTAAACCACAAGGGGAAAGATATAAAATTTATATAAAAAAATTAAATTCCATCTAGATGCTTTTTTTTTTTTTTTTCAACATCCAAAGTTTTTTTTTTTTAATAACAGTAAGATCCAGGGTTAGTTTTTGTAGCCGCGGCTGGCCCTTCTGCCTCTGGCACGTTCGAACTTCCGGCCCTTGGAGCGGACATAGGGTTTGGTATGGCTGTGTGGCGTTCCTGGGGCCTTGCCAAAATGTCGGTATACCTCTCGGCCCTTCCGAGGACCAGACAGGAGCACAGTGCCACGGCCCTTGGGAGACTCCAGGGCTAGCTGGTCAAAGGTGAGGATCTTGCCCCCAGCCTTCAGGATGCGAGTTCGGGCACGGCTGCTCACCCGCAGTGCACACACCTTCAGCTTGGGCACTTCGAGAATCCTCACGTCATCTGTGACAGTCCCCACAACCACGGCAGTCTTGTTCTCTCGGCCAGGAAGCTTCATCTTTCGGATCATCCGGGACAGGGACAGAGGCGGCCGGTTAGTGCGACTCATAAACAACCTTTTCAGCACAACCTGATTGAAGGTGGAGTTGGTTCTTCTGGCCAGAAACCTGTACAGCTTGACTAGCAGCCGCAGGTAGATGTCCTGGCTCTTGGGCTCCTTGCGCCGAACCTTTCGGTCCTTGTTGTGTCGAATGTCAACACCCATGATGGCGCCTCCTGCTCGGCCAGGTCCGGAAACTAGATGCTTTTATTATCACGTTATCACCAGATCTTTGCTTCCTTCCAGTTTTACGTGTGCATTTTCCACAGGGTGGTGATCTTTTTGTACAACCGACCTTGCTCTAAACCACCTTCAGTCTCATACTAGAAGCAATGACCGGGGCTGCTTTATACACTCTACCCCAAACCGCCCAGCCTGCTGCTGTGGCTTAATGGTTTCCTCTCCAAAATGAATGTGGTGGGAATTGACTCCCCATGTGAGTACACTGGTAGGTGGGGCCTGATGGGAGTGTGTGTGCCTTTGGGACAAGAAAATGCTACTTTTATGAGGAAACCTGTGAGCCGATGAAGCGGGCTTTGGGAAGCTGGCCTGTCTTTTCCTAACCCACTGCCATGTGAAGATGGGTGGTGTTCCCCTGCCAAGAAGGCAGAATCCAGGATATCATTTTGGAGACAGAGATGTGTACTTGCTAGACTTGGAGCACACAAGTTCATGAACCTTGGACTTCCCACTCTCCAGAAGTTGGAGAAAGTAAATTACACTTTTGTGGTAGTGTGTTATAGCAGTTCGAGAGGGACTGTGACTCCAGCTGCCAGGAGCAACTTCACAGGTCCCCTTTAGAAATACTGGCTCTTTAAACCCTCCCCCTACTCACTTAAAGACCTTTAACTTCAGCAGCCCTGTTGGTCTGACTCAGGAAGCCTGGGTTTATAAACAAAGCTTATCTTTTACAATGTATTTCTAATCCCTATAAACAGGCTAAACTAGCCACAGAGATGCCAGCAGAGCTGATAAACATCTAGAAACTATTCTTTTCCTTTTTCTTTAGTTAGAGTTATTAGTTCTTGAATAGAAACTTTTATTTTGTTGTTGTTTTTAAACCTGTGGTAAAACATGCATAACACAAAATGTACTATGTGAACCATTTATGGTTTGCGATTACATTCTCATTGTTGTACACCAATCATCGCCATTCATTTCCATGTGCTGGTTTAAAACTGGATAATGTTAAATTACATTAAAGTAAGCCGGGCGATGGTGGCGCACGCCTTGAGTCCCAGCACTCGGGAGGCAGAGGCAGGCGGATCTCTGTGAGTTCGAGGCCGGGCTGGACCGATAGCCTCCAAAACAATACAGAGAAACCCTGTCTCGTAAAAACCAAAAAAAAAAAAAAAATTACATTAAAGTAAAAATAACAACAGATTACATTAAAGTAAAAAATAACAACTGTTTTACAAGAGCCTTTGGGAGTGCAAGCCAAAGCAAACTCTTTTAAATTCTCCATAAAAAGATAGAATCGCAAATGCCAATTCCAAAGCACCATTTTAGTCTTCTTTGGAAAAGTAAATCTGGGGATGTCCACCACCCTTCAGCAGTAGTGAGAATCCCTGCCGAGTGCTGGCTCAGAAACCCCAAGGCACTAAGGGGGAAGGGGCTTCCACGAGTCCATCTTCTGTAAAGAGGCATCTACAGTGGACCACCGCCCACAGCTCATGTTTCCATAGATGTTCTGACAAGCCATCTCTTTATTCCATTTAATCCCACCCCATCCTCCAAATAGATGTTATTACCATTCACTTGACATGTAGGGAAAATGAGGTGTAGAGGAAGGAATGTACCTGTTTAAACCCACCGTTACTGTGATTGAAATAAAATATCCTGCCCCTTGAGCCTACTTTCCACAGGAAGGGCATCTTAAACACAAGTCTGAGATTCGTTATAGAGCTATCTAGCATATCAAAATATGAATGCTCATGCTAAAAGACTTACCAGTGGCCAGTGGCCATATGAGCAGAGAGTTAAGGAGTGGTAGACAGAGCAAAATTCAAAGCATTTTCCCCACCTAGACCCATGGAGACAAAAGCATTCTTTCAAGAACAAAATTAAACATTGCTATTGACTGTCCACTTGGATGAAGTCTTTGTTTTTAGAAGCATAGATCTATCATCTAAAAGTGCATACTTAGTACTAATACTCAGAAATTCACTGACTTCCGTGGCAAGAGAATGCCTTAGGATGTCTGTTGAGGATAGATTCCTGATCCTTCTTTTGGAACATTAATACTGAGGGGAAACAGGATGTCTGGAGGGTCCTGGGCTGGTGGTCTGTCACCTCCATTGACACACCCCTACATCTAAGAAGGAAGCAGTTTTTTCTTCAGATCCTGTTCACTCTACTGAGTCAGCAAATTTCTATAGTATCACCATTCAATTCAAGTTCTGGACTGGCTGTGAGTTAACACTTGCATTGTGACTATTATTTGGTCAATGGTTATTTATTCCCTCTCCGTGTATATACTTTTCTAGTGTTGCTCACTGGTATATTCCCAGAACCTCAAACAAAGCAAACATTCAATGACTGTCTATTAAATGGGTACAAAAAATGTATGCAAAGACAAATGAAACCCAGTCCCTGTCCTTAGTATGTTTAGAACTGAGTAGTAGCCGGCCAAATAAGTATGTGGACACAATAAAGTGCTCTTACTGTGTTATGCCAGATGTGCCCCAGGCATGAGGCCGCCACCTCCTCAGCAATACTGAACCCAAACCATGTTAAGCAGAAATAAAACTAGGGTAGATCATCTGCATAAAACATAAGACTCTGTGTACAAACAGTCAAATAAATGTGTCTTTTATATGGTTATTTTAGAAGTGAATATAATCAATTCTGCATATCTGTAGATTCTGCACTCATGGAGAATGGCAGAGGGCAAAGCAAAAGTATGAAACAACAAAACATTTCCTAAAATTTGTTCATACTAACCCTGTACAGACTCCTCTTGCCATTGTTCCCTAAACAATACAGCATGATAACTATTTGCACAGACTTTATATTATATTGGGTTTTATGGAGATGATTAAAATATATAAAAATTATATCTCAGAACTTCAGATGGGTTATATGCAAGTGGTACTCTTTGGGTATCATAAAGGGCTTGAGTAGCCACAGATACTTTTTAAGTATTTTTTTATTGATTCTTTAGGAATTTCACATCATGTACCCCAACCCCACTCATTTCCTAGTCCTCTCAAATTCACCATTCACCCTTGTAACCCCCCAAAATAAAATAAAAAATAAGGAGCCAATCTTGCCAGCCTTCTGGACAGCGACCTGCTCCCTCTATCAGTCACAACCTTTTCTCACGGCTGTCACAGCATCTCCAGGTCTGTATTGTACCACTCCTGCCTCTCCATCACAAATCTGTTTACTTACAAATGTTCACTGCAATGAGTCCTTGTTCTGGTTCAAGGCCCCTGGCTTCTGCTACACCATAAATACTAGACTTTCTCCAAAACTCCTCTCAGATACACTGTTGTTGCCCAGAGTCAGGGAGATCCTGTGCCTGTGGTTTCATTGGACTGGCCCCTTCACGCCCTCCAGCTGCTCATGGATGGAGTAGATGTTGGGGTGGGCTAACTCAAGGCCCTAGATGGTAACTAAGTTGGTCAGCCCACTGTCTCCTCTGGGTCTCACCCTACCCCTACAAGGAGCAGGGCCAGTTCTCCCATGCCCACAGATTGTGATACTCAAGGTGGGTGACTTGGAACCCATAGACTCTGAGGGCCAACTGTGCTTTTACCAATAAACTTCTCAACATAGTTTAGTAGGTTGTAATGTGTCAACCACACAATTTTAATGTTCCATATTCACTCAACTGAGGTTTGAACCATTTCAGAGATGTCACCAGAGAGTACATTCCAAAGTAGCAATGTCCAATAGGCCCTCTATAGTGGTGGACATCTGTCTCTATTGTCCAACATTTCATTCCCAATATGAGATAGAAATTTTACCGAAATCAGTAAGGAACGTCAACAAATGAGCAGCTTTCGTATGTAAAATTATCTTTGTACAAAATGAATCAGCAACGCTCCCATATCCACTTGGATGTCAGTAGCTGCTCTCCTATTACCTTTTAGTTAATAAATGTCAAAGACATGGCTCCCTTTTCCCAAACAACATAACAACACAGAAGCACAACAGACTTGAAGATCACTGCGAGTGAAGGAGCCAGCCCTGACCACAGCAAACACTGGGAACACAGAGCTCAAGTGTACCTCCTCAGCAACCCCTTTCCCCCTTGACGCAATACTGAACATGCAGAAAGGTCAGATCAAGAAGGCGCTCGCTTGCTTTTGGAGCTGGTAAACAAATAGCAAAACCAAGATGTCATGAGGCTTCAACTGCGAGTGAAGTCTTGCCAAGAGAACCAATGCCACTAAACACTAAAAGACAAGAGACCACCATCAATGAGACAGCGCCAGCTTCTGTGCTGACAAAGCGACTGCTGTACACAGCACAACTGGGATGAACTTGTGTGACAGACAGATGCCAATGGAACACCCACGCCTTTCTACACAGCAAGTGCTGTGGGTGGGTGGCAAAGGTTTCAGAAGCAGGGCGAGCATCTGACTTTCCAGGCTCATAGGTCATCAGCTTCTCATCAGTAGAACGAATATACTTCAAAATGTGTGACTTCACTTCTACACAGGTCACTTTCCACATACACGTAGGCGTTCACTGGCCCCTCATGCCAGGTGGCCCCCTATAGATAGATATGTTTACTGTCTTTTCAGCTCAAATGTAAAATGGTATACTAAGAATGCATATATATAAACTTACCACTTTTTAAATGAAAAGATAAAAAAATAATGACTGCATTACAACTATTTGTGATTTCACTTGCCTTAACATTTTCTGGCAATGGTTTGTTCTGGGTCAATCCCACAGCAATCAAAGCTATCACGGCCAAGACAGAGGAGAAACCGAGGATGATCAGGATATTTTTGGAGCAAAATCTCTTCACCTTCGAATCTAAAACCAAAAATAAGACATGAGTAAGAAATAAATAAACAATGATTTTTCATGCCTTTTTGTCTGGTTTTAAGATGACTATCCAGAAACACCAGAGACATTAATAAGAGGCCTATCTGTATCCACAAAATACTTCCAAACAATTGGAAATAATTCAATAACAAACTTGTCTATACCATGAAGACTAAGTCAAGCTGGTGATAAGGAAGGAAGAATGGGAAAAACTGGGACACTCGCAGGGGTGGGATGAGGAAGAGTATCATGAATGCCTTATTTCATGGGTCTGATGCATCTATAAAAGACAAGTAATAACTACCAGAAGACAGAACAGACCTCTTCATCCTTAAAATATACACATAAAATATTGAATTTGCTAAAAAAATGACATCAAGCATAGGCACACCATTAAGCATCAAATACCATCACCACTGCAGAACATTTTCTGGCTTGACAGAGTTTTTGGATCCTAATACCTTTATATGGTAAGCTGACAGAGTTTTGAACTCTTTAGACTGTTATTCCATTAGCTAATCTATTTTAGTTTTAGTCAGACCCTAACAAAGGACATTTTAAACATAGTTGCTTCACCTGGACTTAAAGAGATCACAGAGAGTACATGAATCAGAAATGGAAGTTTGCATCAATACTCAACCTCTTCTTCAGTCAATTTCTCAAACTATCTTCCCACTTTTCCTTTGGCTTTGGGCAAGGATGGGAACACTTAATACAGAATTATCTGAAAAGGAGATGGGCTCTCCAAAGAAGTTTACCTTTCTCTGAGGACAGAGTGAGAACAAGGGAGGTGGGAGAGAGGACTAAGCTTCCCCCTCCTCGCTTCCCCTCTTTGTCAGCAGAGGCTGGCAAGGCACTGACATGGGAATTCTTCCTTATGCTCTTGAGGAGAAACCTAAACTTTTCCAAGACTGTAACATGAGTGCTTAGTCTGTCCCAAACCCCAGAGTCTTTAAGAAGTCTCAATCCATCAGGCCAAATGGTACAAAACTCAGGACAAAACTGCTAGCAATACCATTACCTCTTACTTCCAAAGAAGGAACAATAAATTAAACCCACAGTACTTATGTGCTCTCTTGCTGAATAAACATACACCTTGTTTAGATACCTGCCTCCCCCCAAGGTAAGGGATGGACATGCTCAGTTTGTGTGATCGCACGTCCCTACCAGTGAAGCTTTCTACAGTGGGTACATACCTAATCTCTGCTCCTGACAACCTGACACCTGCTTGAGCAAGACAGGGGAGAAGTGGACACTCTCTTTTCCACGGCCCTGCCTGGATGAGATGACAGACACTGATGGCAGAGCTGAGAGATGGAAGGAATCCGAGACTCAGGGTCAGTTTGAGATGCTAAATTGACCAACCTTGAGCTCATCTTCCCATAAGATTACACTTTGACCCAATGCTAGATATTAATTAACTGAAGCTAAAACATCCATGTACAGATGCTTTGGCAGAAAAATCTGTCCTCTTTGATGCCAGACCTCTACAGTCTGGGGATCAGGAGGGATGTCCTCTTCTTCATTTCCAAAGTGATGAAATTAAAACAGAGCTATCAAGATGGACTCTGGTTAATCAGTTATAATGTGGATGGGTAGCATTTTGTAGCTGTGTATCACTTGTAATAGAATTTTAAATGTTATTTTTCCATTTCTGAGGCTGCTGTAAAAATACTACCCATACAGTTATTTCCTTTTCATAATGATAATTTTGCTAATTCATTTTCTTACCACATCTTTTATAAACATTATTCTTAGCAGTTATTCTACTGCTAAGTAGAATAGTTATTCTACTACAATAGTATTCTACTACAATAAAAGAAATCAACATGACCTCTACTCTTTAGAATTAGCCTTTCATCGAGAGAGACAGGCAAACCAAAAGAAAAAGAGATTACATGAATAAATGATTTCAGGTTATAAGTACTAAAAAGAAACTAAAACCAAGAAATGTGATCAATTGATTGCTGTAGAGTTGGGGCTTGAGGTAGACAGTGTCAGATTACAGGTCAAGAAATCGTGTCTGATGTTTCTGTTAAGAACTGGGTGATGGGAAAATACCAGCTATGAGAGGTAATAGGAACATTCCAGAAAGAAGGAACAGGAACTACAGAAGCTCCAAGGTGATAGGTTAATACAACTTTGCTTTTCCTTTTCCTGAGCAAATATTTGTTAACCACTTTCCACATTTACCTGGCTCTTGTAATGATATCCACAAGTCTAGAATACATCAGAGTTCTTCACCATATTCTTATTTTTTATACCCCAAGAGGAGTAACGAAAATGCTGTGTCTTCCACAGACTTCTCAAAAGCCCTGATCACAGGCAGGAAACCAGACATTTCACAGGAAGTGGTACTAGATGTGGAGGTCCAGGCTGGCAGAAAAGGGAAGGATAGACTGCAGGGACACCCCTGCCCAGCATGTGGAAGTCTCTGGGTTCCATTTCCAAGAGTGAAAAGGGGAAAAGGGTTTGGGGAACCACCTTCGTCACTCTTGGCTTTGGCCTACAGGTCTTTCAGATCCGGTTTTACTAAATCAGTCATGTTTATTATGAAAACCCATGCCAACTATCTTCTGCATAGAAAGTCTCACCTCACTGATTCATGGGTAACAAGAGGAGGTTTCCATCACTCAACATAAAGTGGTGTGTGGGTTTTTTGTTTTGTTTTTGTTGTTTGTTTGTTTGAGACAGGGCTCAAATAATCCAGGCTGGCCTTGAACTTGACAAGTAACTGAGGATGACCTTGAACTTCTGGTTTACAAGTGTAACAAGAGGTTCTTTGTCCCAGCTGCTCTTGAGAGCCCCAAATGAACACACAGAAGCTATATTAATTATGAACTTTTGGATGGTGACTAGGGCTTCTTACTGGCTAGCTCTGTCTTAATTATTAACTCATTTCTATCAATCTATGTACTCCTCCGGCAGTATTGCAACTCTGGAAGGCCCTTGCCTACCTTTCCAAGAATCCTCCTCTTCTCCTAGTCCTGCCTATTTTCCTGCTTCATCAGCTGAATGGTGTTTTACTCATCAACCAATAAGAAAACCATATACAGAAGGACATTCCCCATCATACAAGCATGTGACATTTATCAGTTTTATATGATTCTGGGGACCAGACTCAAGGACTTATACATGATAGGCAAGCACTCTGCCAATTGACCTACCCATAGCATGGTACTTTTTAAGACTTCAAGAGATGATTTTACCAAAAATATCCAAGCACACAGTGTTGCTTTTTTCTTTGAATTGATTATACTGCAAAGTTCAAAGCGGCCACCTTCTTCACATTTCCTCCCTTTCCTATGACAGGTAAACAGGTTTTCTGTTTAACATCAGAGAGCCAGGTACCAAGTACTAACTTCCACTCTCCATTGGACAGAAAGATCGGAAAGAAGACAAAATTTTACTAAAATACAAACTAGTTTCAAGCCAATAAACTACAGAAAAACACCCCTAAAAATCCCTACTTCAATTCTTCATTCTTGAGATATCCTGTTAGAATCTTATTAAAGTGAAAAATCACAATTAATTTATCAAAATGCCACTCTAGAGAGAAATCCTAGGATCTCTGTTTCATGCTACCAAAAATATAATCTTTTAAACATTTTTCCACCCATAAAAAGCTTTTTTATGTTGACAGATGTGGTGAGTCTCAGGCAAAGGCAATTGAGGTGACTGCATCCAATTTCCTGGGGGCCACATCTGGAGCAGTCCTGGCTTGTCATGGGAGAAAACAGCACCCATGGACAAGTGCTGACAAGAGACAGGGACACACGGAGGTGGCCTGTGTTTCCAGCCAGGAGTGGAATTCTCATGGGTGTTCAGAGGCATACTGTAGTCTCTTCCCCCTCCTCCTGGAGTCAGCCTCCCCACTGTCTCTGCCACTCCCCTCCTGTCCGTCAGAGGACACACCCTTAGTCCACCAGAGGACGCACCCTTAGTCCATCAGAGGACACACCCTTAGGCCACAGTCATGTTTGGGGGCTTTGTGCCAGGTTCCTTGGATACAGCCACCCCTTGCTCTTGACACTCCCATTTCATCTGACCCAGAAAGGCCTTTCTGGGACTCCCACACTTACTGGTTCCTTTCCTTCAGAATTCATCTTTGGGATGATTGTAGAGATTGTCTATAACCTAGACTCTTCCTGATCAAAACTCTATGGTAACTTCCTGCTGCCTGCTGTGTCCAAGATCACAATTACTGATAGTCCAGCACTATCGGTTGCCTGTGCTCCCTGAGGACAGGAACTATTTCTCTGGCTTGTTCACAGCTGTAAGCCCATGGTGAATGAATGACTGAATTTTGGATTCTCAAATTGTTTTGTTCAATGTGGCATTTCCTTCACTTGGAATTGTATTCTCCCCATTCTTCACCAAGTCCTTTTCTTTGTTGCCCCAATATCAGGCTCAAGTGAAGGTTAAACTCCTCTCTGTACCTTTCTTTCCCCCTCTTAAAATAAATAGATTTTTAAAAAATTTTAAATTGTATTTGTTCAGTTTGTGGGTGTGTTTCTAGGTGCACAGGAGCCATGGCACGTGTGTGGAGGTCAGAGGAAAAACTTGCATAAGTCAGTTCTCTCCTTCCATGTCAATTGTAGAGACTGAACTCAGGTCATCAGGCTTGGTTACAAGCACCTTTCCCTGCCAATCCAACTTGTTGGTCCCAGTAGTGTCTGTTCTTGTGTGCTACCTCTAGATAAACCACTTTTGCTTCAGAGTTCTACAGTTGTTGAATAGTAGGCTATGGTTTGTCCAATCTTTCAATTAGGTATTCAGTAATTATTGAATACACTGCACTATGAGACTAGACTTGTCTGTGGCTCTGTGCTATAGTAGTTTTAGTGAACAAAACACACAAATGTTTCTCACATTCATGGAGCTTATAATCTAGTTTGGAAGTCAGACAAAATAGTAAAATTTGGAGGATGTTAGATAATTATAAGTGCTAAAAAAATGGTACAAAGAGAGGAGTGAGGCAACCAAGG